TTAATATCATAGACTATGTTCTCGTTCAATTAATTAACGGTTTCTTCTTGGTCCTCTGACATAGTCAAGCACGTACTTCCATTGATTCCGATATTGTCCAAAAGCCACAAACTTTCGATATTATGAGCTTGTTTTGTGATTCATCTGAAGCGCGCGATGAATTCGCAACGACGTCTGTAGAGTTCTACTACCGATCGCCCGTTCGAGCTGTTTAGAAAATCGCCGACGGCTCTGAGCATGTTCAGCTTTACAATCGTGTAAGACTGGTTTATATCGAAGTGCATTATGGATGAAGGTTCTACCTGCGAGCTGATGATTCACACAAAACTTCTTCATAAAATTTAATAGATTCCGAGAATACTCACTAAACAGATTTAGACAGAATTCGTAAACGTGGGCTAACATTTGTACCCGGCCACTCCGATCGGAAGCACTAGCTGCGCTCAGACATTACACCAGTTTGTGCTGGCAGCAAAATAGCTCTCGAGGGCTAGAATTTGCAGATCAGTCACATGTTGAGGCGAAATATTGGGCAGCGATTCAGCAGACCTAGGAGCAACGACTACCAGGATGCTACCCGTATCCAAGGGCACGCACCGGGATAGCTTCTTCATTGAAGCTAACTTAAGCCTATGGCGTATACACGACTAATCGAACCAGAGAAATAGCTGATTTCGTTTGCAAGACAGCTGTTCGGTCATTGCATGTTGCATACATCGATTTGTTCATCCTGCCTGTGTTTCCTGTTAAGGCACTGATGACGTCGCTGATACTCAGCACACACCTGAAGCCTAGTTATCCGAAAGGAAAGCAATAACACTTTTGTAGTCTGCATACTCGATTAACACACAGAATAGTATAGCCTTACGAAAAGATGTCCTGAAAAGCTGTCCATGTGACAAACCCACCCATTGACATCGTGCTACCTTGTGTACGACCGAGCATTTATTGCAATCCTGCAAGATCTTGACATAATATATACTGATACACAAATCTCTAACCTTCGCCGTTTTCCGATGCTCAGTTTATGTATACTTGGCATCAAAGATACTCAGTGACACCTCATAATTCGCGACTCCGTTTACGAACCGTCTTCCAACAAGATCCTTCACTGGGTCATCTCGCAAGTTTCCTAAGACTGCGTCACGTCATAGTAGCACAGCAAGTAAGCATAAGCCGCCTGTTTAATGGTGGGCATTTGCTAAGGCTTCCTATGCGCCGTCGCCGCTTGAACGTTCGAACGTCATGGATGGTCACTGTAGGTACGTCTTTACTGTTGCCCGTTGCTGAAACGGGCGTGGCAGGCGAAGCGTTTTGAAACAAGTGTGTAAGATAAGCTTGACTCTAAAGTATGCTTTCGAAATTTTTACTAAATTCATCGAATGTAAGTGTATTTTTACTTTCCAAGAGATCTGGGTGGTTGAATAGTTTTTCGTCGAAACATCTAATGATGTTTTCGCACATGAGCATTTCCATGCTTCCCACTGTGACGGCCGACTGACAGTGTGCAGTATTATCGTAAAAAATGATATTGAGAGGCTGCATTGATGCAAAAACTTGCTTAAGAACTTAGAGTTAGCGAAAGTCTACGATTGAAGGCTATGGCTGGTTAGGCTGCTTAGAGAGTCAATAACTATATAAACTATCACGTGTCAATGCCAATATTCACAATTAGCACATAATATTCGGGTTATTCTATATTCATTCTGTGAAAGAACGTAGATACGCTATGCCTCAGAGGTTGTCATCATCTGGCTGTCGCTGCTACATAGACCGTGATGGCCATCCTGGCGTTACAACAAACTACCAAAGAAGGCAAGGAACATTTCTGTGGTGCATATAAAGGTAAATTGGGTCACAGTGCTGCTAATGTTTATACCGCCGCTGAATTTAACCAGTAGGACCGTTTTCTACTGTTTCTGACGCCGGCGTACGTTCAAAAGTAAAACATGCGTCACAACAAATCTATAATGTTATGTTATTTACTTAGCGTACTCTTCGACGCTCGTATACCACTAACACTAAAATCTATAGTCATAAAATTCGTTACATCACTCACACAAAAGTAAATCATAGAATATTATAAAAATGAGTTTATGATTTAAAAAAAAATCATCACTTTGCCCTCGATTAATTTAGAATAAATATAGAAAAACACATTAACTGTATGAAGTTGATGTTGTTGAAGTTTCCGCTATGATTCTACAAAAGATATGACACTGGCTCGAAATTAACCGCTCTACACTTGCAAATAAGTTGAGTGATTTATAATTGAAATGTACCTTTATTCGAGGATGACCATATTACAAGATATACACTATTTATGAGATACCCGAACAGGAGCCATGACCGCCTTTTCAAGTGAGTGAAGCGAAGCGGTTTGGTGTTTTTCTCAAATACAGCTGCTTGTTTAGGGTTTTGACGAAAAAAAAAAACACTTCAGAGAATTGCGATATAGAGGCTGGCGCTACTATACTACAACTCTACAAAATTTACCGGCTCTAAAAGATTTCACATTTTATACTCTTCGATATACCATAATTCCTACCTTTGTATATGTGTGCGTGTTATGGGATTTTTGAATTTCCGAACGAAACTGTATATTGTTTAACTTGTTTGTTTTTCCCAGTTCCATAGTAGATTATAATTGGCTCATGCCAAACAGCAGCTACTTTAAGCAGCCCTGGCCCGCGGCCCAATTCCATCTTTGTTTCAGTTTCTGCCGCTGGTCTTTTTCGAATGATTTTTCACGCAAACTTGATTTAGTTTGATACGAGACTGGTCGCTGCCTTGTATGTCATGACGATGCTGTCTTGTTGAGATAGATTCTCGGACAAATAGGACCATCGGCAACTCGATCCGTTTGAAAATTGATTGTGTCTCTTAATTCAAATTTTTTTTTTTTTGCCTTTTGGAAATTGGACAAAAATATAGCTCTTGTATTTACAGCTATCTAATATTGGCAGAGCTAGGTTTTGTAATCTATAAATGCTAGATGTTTGTGAAAGTTCCACAAAACAGGTTTTTGTATTATTTATTAAGAGGTGAATATGAATCTGACGCGTTTATCTAACAGAAGAAGTCGTGACAAGTGTCTTATTTTTTATTGGTAACTTGGGTAAAATTTATGAGTTCTTCTGCAGTTTTTACTTAATACGTTTAAGATTAACTAATGCTTAGTTTGCATATATATGCGTCGCCCTCGTATGTTTAAAGCGCTGAGTTATGGCGGTACCATTTTTCGGTACCGATAAAGAGCTGAAAGGTATCACAGCATAGAGTTGCCAATTAAATTAATGCCAGAAAACTAATAATTAATCAAAACGTACTTACGAAACCATTTTTCTCATACGAAATTCTATTCCATTTGCTACAGGAAATAAGGTTTTTTTGTTCTGTAAAGCCCGTATAATTCCTAGAAAGGATCATTATGCATTGTACAGTGAGCGAAGCGGTCGGAAGGTGCTACATATGAACATTTGATAAATCTGTCTATCTACCGTATTACTAGGACTAATATACATAGATATACTTTTTAAAAATTCGTTATGTAGGCCAGGATTCTCACGCACTAAACCCTGAAATCCGTATACTTGGACCTTAGTTCGGAACCCGGCGAACTCCAATTTACGTAGGCTAAGATCGGATTAACAAAGGTAATCGATAACAAAACGAGCAACGTATCCGGCCTCATGTAATTTTTCTTAACGTTTTTTTTACGCAACACACCATATATATGTATATATACATGGTTTACAAAGCTATTAGAGGCGCATGAATGAGAGAACTTCGATTTTGCCTACATCACTCGTGACGTAACTCTCTCTCCCCCCTCCCTCCCTTTCTCTCTATTACGAGGACGCCTTTTTCTGTGACAGTAGATTAAAGGATTAGCATCGTTGCAAAATGTTTATGGTTTAGTCAAGTGAATATATTTAAGTGCTGCGTTGGCATAGAGAAATTACTGGTGAATTTATCGAAGACGCGCAGCGAACTTGTAGTAGGGAGTCTGGAAAAGACCGGTATCGTCTTCCTTCCTTTCCCGATATGAACGATGTGCCCAAAGAAGCGCAAAGTGATCGACGGCCATCTATGGTAGCAATGTCGTAAATATAGAGTCATTCAAGATAATATCTGAAGTTCGTGGCCATATAAAATCATTGTTCTGTATGTTCTCTTCTTAGCTTTAAAATAAAATCTACTATCTAAATATAAAATAAAGAACAAAGATGTAAATAAAGTGTATAGAACGTTATTTTTTATCCTCAACTTTCAGCTCAGACAGTCACAATTGAACCCCACGAAGTTTGATTACGTTATCTCTAATAGTAATAGTTTTTTTCAATACATTGGTATAGTGAATAGGTAAGCTTGACGGCTATAGGAAAACTGGCTTGATCCCTTGTAAACGTATATATATATATATATATATATATACGAAACGATAGTTACCAATCATAATTTCGATTAATAAATAGATCGTAGAAGTTAAGCAGGATCGAGTTCATCTTCTGCGAAACTGCGACTTCGGACGACTAAATTGACGCGAATAAAAGTTATCAAACGTTTTTGGGTTTTCTATTGAAATGAGAGCGGCTTCCCTCAGGATTCTCATAAAGTCCACCAGGGGGTGCTTCCGTTCCGCCCATTGCTCCCTGGCATCCTCTTAACAGAGAGCAAAGAGTAGCACATGTTATGCCTCCGCTAAGCGTATGCAACTCAAATAATTCATGCATCTCTGCCCTTTGTTCTTCATTCATAACCTCTAACATTTACACTGTGTCGCGATAGTTTGATGCATCGGGTACCTGGAAAACGTGACAATTTGTCTCTTTCTATTATTGTGCGGCCGGGTGAAGACCATACGCAATCGTTGTTCGCTGGGCTTTTTATTAAACTGACATCGTGAATGTAAACGGCGATCAGATGAATAAGTGCGCGTTTGCCACCTTCCTATGGACATTTATACTGTTAACATTTCTTGGCATTTTTGGCTACAGTGCACTATTATGGCGATCGTTCCTCAACCGACGGCCGGACACTTCACGTGCCTCACGCCCGCCACGGCCTATGTTTTCGTGGCCCGCCTCGAACGATCCCAAAAGGACGCATTCGATACAGGATAGGCTACAGGTAATCCACAGGGATATGGAACTGAAGTAATCCATCGTTTTCAATTTGTAAACGTTCCTATTTTTCAGTGCAACGTAAATAAGGAGTAATAATAATGATGGTGGTGCAGTTCGCAGTGACGCAAAAGAATCAGAGCGCTATAGCCATTCTGGCACTAATATATGTCCGAAATAGAAAAGGATATACGAGTATGGTTGACGTACATTCCCGATCCGAAATTGGTTTTCGACTCGCAGATGATAAGTTCTCAATATAAGTTCAGCGTGCCGTCACACGAAATATAGAGTAGTGACATAAAGGAAAAAAGCTCGATATTCGATTGCAAACTTGGTTGTGTTTACCTTCGTTTAAGGTGTACCGACAACAGTTAATAATTCAATTCAGGAGGGTTCAGCTGGATAAAAATGCAGCCGATGAAGCAACAAAGGGAAATCGATATCGAGTTCCTATCAGGTAAAGGAGCAAAAATATCCTATGATAAACTATATATGTAAACTGAGACTTATTTCGAAAAAGCATCTTTGAAAATATGTTGAAAGAAATAGTTAACACGTTTTGTCTATGCAGGAAAAACAGCCTTAGACCTGCGCACCTTCCGGGTCCCTCCGCCTTATGCAAACTCCCGGAAGTAAAAGTGTTCCGGCGCGGAGACGAACCATTCCGTGCTCAAGGCTCTGACCTCTATTTTCCACTGACGACTCCGCAAGCTTTTAACACCTGTGCCATAGTTAGCAGCGCTGGATCTATACTCAAATCGCATCTAGGAAGGGAAATTGGTAAGGACTTATCAACGCAATTAGTTTTTGTTCCTGGTATAATCGACTCAACGAGACCGATATATGGACTAATATGGAACGAGACGAATTAAATGATGCCCCCGTCTTGCTGCAGCAATAGATAGAAAAAATTATCTTCTGTTTGTGATTTAGATGCCCACGACGTGGTCCTTCGATTTAACAACGCACCAGCCGGAGGATTTTTTGCTGAAGATGTCGGATCTCGGACCACCCACCGAGTCATCAATTCACAAGTTGTAACCAAACCTGAATTCGAGTTTTTTGACTCGCCGCTGTATCGAAATATCACGCTGCTGGTGTGGGATCCCAGCGGCTATCAGCAGCAACTCGACAAGGTTATTACTATTCCTATTAAAAATTGCATTGCACAACAATAGCTTCGTCAAGTGACCATGCATCTGATCCTGGTAGGAGGTTACCTTTCTAAAAATGTTTTTTTTTTCTGCCTTCGTGCCAGCCAGACATGAAGCTAAACGATACCTCATAGCGCATTTTTAATTGTGAGTGTAACTGTCCACGCTAATTCTTGAAGTACGGATTGGGTGCTTGAGGGAAGCTTTGATTCATAGTTTTACTTCAACCTAACCACGTGTTGGTACAACGATCGTAGCGCACATTAAAGCGTTTTGTGTAAATCTGCTATCTTTTCCATTAAAGACAACTGAGCAGACTAAACGAAATTTTCCTTCAGTGGGTTGAAAGGCCGGAGCACGACCTATTTTCATTGTATTTTCTGCGGCGCCAAATATTGCCTGACGAAGAGCTACTTCTCGTGGATCCCCGTTCTCTCTGGCAAATCTGGGATTTCATCAATGACAACTCACCGCTTCCAGTGGTAAAGAATCCACCCTCAAGCGGACTTATAGGCAAGTAGAACAAAACTTATTAGAGAGAAACTTCGTGTCTAGTTAACTAGAATAATTTTAGGATAACAAGATATTGCTACCTATCATATGAATCAAATAGCAGTAGGTGATCACACATAAAACCATCGGTTAGCAGTGTTTAGAAGTTGTGCTTGAGTCATGTTAACTTTGACATAATACAGTAGTTAATCATCGTGACAATTAACTACCGGCATTATTAGACATTTGTGAGAATTCGAAATTATCCGAGTTCGTCGCTGCGAACTGATTAATATTTGTACTAATTTGAAATAGCACCAAACAAGGACCAGTGCCACAATTTCGAGTTTGCACCGTGGATTTACATATGCCATTTACATACATAAGTTGACACCATTGCCACTCCTATTGTAAATTAAAAAAGATACTATATTGTAAATTTTACGCGTCCAGTAATTCCTATCGTACAATAAAGCATAATAATGAAACCTAAAATCGGGGCGTATACTTCATCTTTGGATATAGTAACATCATCAGCAAGCAGTAATAGGATAACGGAAAAGGACAATTATACGATCATATATTATGACAGTTTTTTTTTGTGTATTATTTTTTTCAGGACTTGCATACATGGTCCGACGATGTAAATATGTGAACTTCTATGAGTACATTCCGTCAATACGGCTCACAAAACGATGCCATTACTATGCAGAGCAAGAAGATCTGGGGTGTACAACTGGGGTTTGGCATCCGCTGGCAGCAGAGAAAATGCTCGTACTCAACCTGACAACCAACAATAACCATGATATTTTTGAGAAAGGCCGAGTTAGCTTCAGTCGAGACACCGTTTGTGTGTCATATCAAAAGAAAAAAAAGTAAAGCCATTTACGCTCGGCAGGCCGTTGTATTGCATTATGTAAATATATATACATATACTTCCGGACTTGCCTTCTTGAATACTAGGCCTGCTTTCCTGTCCATTATCGATTCCAGCGGTAGCAAATAATATATGTAAATTATTAGACCCAAGTAGGTCTCGTGCTAGACTAAACAAGAGCCGAAATGTCCGCCGCAGGTCTGGTCAGCATTTTGGCTTAAAGCCCCTGTCAAAATCAATCACAAGCAATACGCTAGATTATACCTTACTATTAAAAGTTGTTAGATTTGATAGCACAATCTGAAAGTATACAACATATTGAGCTGTTTTTTTTTTTTAAGTCACTATTACATGTATATATGGTCGGAGAAGATGGCGAACGAGATCTTTCAAACTATTGTTCACCTAATCAGATACATTATATAAAGATACTCTGGCTGAGCAAAACCTTGGTGCGTTCGCTCAGGCACCGCTACGCAGCATCATTGTGATTAAATGAAACAACAAACAATAGGATAGAGGTGCAGTCTTTCTCTAAATATTTTTGAACACATCTAATGTTTATATCGGTATATAATACACCGTGTGGCGCACGGACCCATTAAACGATCGCAAAATTGGAGATTAACGGGAAATTGTTCCGAAATCCTGCTAAATTATCCAGTTCAGCCATACTCGCATGCATATCAGCGTCTACTATAGTCTGAAATAGCAACTACACTCTAGATGGTAATCCTATAGATAAGGTTCTTTATAGAGACAAATCCATTTAGATAGACAAACCATTTGTTATTGCAGCCTCGACCGTTGCTTGTTACCTACTATTTTCGGCCATGCACTTAGGCTCAGCTAATATTATTGGATAATACAAGGGATAATGGATACAAAAATAGGTTTAACCTTCTCGTGGGCAGAGTAAAAGGGGTCCGCGCAGCTTCTAAAAAGAAATAAAAAACCCAGAGCGATCAGGTGGGCCTAATAAAGAATGGCATCCTAACAGATGCCTTGGTAAGTAGGTAATGGAAAATAGTCGTGTATAAAATATATCCGTAAAGTTCGCGTGTTTCTGGAAATCGAAAAGTACTCACAGTAGCCAAGGCTTGAACATAAAACAGCTAACCCCTCGTATAAATTAGTTGGCCGCATACTTGAGGGAAGATCGCAATGAAACCATTTGTCGTGTATACGGCTGCATAGCAAGGGCCATTGGGCCCCGCGCAGAGTTTACAATATCGGCCGTAATCCACTCAGTACTCAGTACTCAGCCAGTCTTCAGTACTTTCCTTTTCTCTAGCAATTACCTTACATCGTGGATATCTGCAAGATCTTATATCTGGGCATACATTGAAAAAGAAGACTCAGTCCACCTATATATCTAAAACATGGTATATCCATATGACGAACATTGACCTTGCCAACGGTGTATGGAAAAATATATGACTGCTAGAGAGAAAAAAAAGGCAGTATTTTTCATTCGACTCTAATGGTAACTTGTTCGAATCAACGTAGCTCTTATAAACGTTCTTACGAGATGTATCGTATTGTTGCAGTTCCGGGAGGAAGAACAATACACGATCTTGTTAAAAGCTAGTCGGCCTACTTGTTTTCATATATTCCTCCTTTGGGATAGGCTCGCAACGCCAAAAAGTTACTAATAGTAAACAACACTAATGTCCTGCTGTGATCGCTTCTTTAGGGTTACGTTATGTCAGTGGTAGCATAGTGGGCAACGTATTTACGTCCTAATTTTAGGAGCGCGTTGTGGTCGGATGGAGTGGCTGACGTCGATACCGGACAAAACATTCAGAGTATGCTATATACGTAGGTTTTTACGCACGGTAACGACAAAACTATAGTGACAAAACAGCATGGAAATGATACGAACTACTACGGCTGGAACGCACATCTGTTATGCAGTAGTACACTTAATCATTGTCAACCTATTATTCAACCGAAAACGATTTATGTCGTCTGCTTGATTCGATAATTTGTCTAATATTAGTTTTTATGTTGCCATTAATATGCTCCCTTTCGAATACTGTTATGTTTCCAAATATAAAAAATTTCCATGATCGTTTTTCTAGGCATGGTCCAATAATTATTAGCGGCAAGCTTCAATGGCGTCCCAACTGATTTTCGTCATTCATCAAGCTAACCTATATGTCGTACAGGATTATTGCTTCTTGACCACCCTACGCTAAAAAGAAATATTCGGTAAAGTTCTCAGACGGGATGATGATTTTGATTTTGTTGAAGATTGGTCGCAGCAGTAATAATAATTGAAAGGTAAAATTTCGCTAAATAAAAAGTAAATATTCGGAGTTTACGTTACGGTAATCAAAATCGGTAAAGCTCAACGTAGACAGGCTGTTGATTACCTTTTTTGATTTGGCCTTCTGCATCTTTTGCCGTTAGTATATCCGAGCGACATCGGGTTGGTCGTTCCAAAAGGACATCGTACCGTTGATGGTGTAGGGTCGGCTTTGGATTCACAGAGCTATCGTCAGGATATTTGATATTTTTTGGTCAGGAACAGAAAATGGCGCTACATTAAAATACAATTTCTATTACAATGTCATTAAGTTCAACTTCCTCTCACTCGTGAATAAAGTTCAACTCATGAAATACGTGTATTCATATGTTAATTTAAATGTTTTTGTTCTTGACATCATTTCGGGCGATTGTTTGTGCTTTCAAAAGTTCTTGTGGCCTTTTACCATTCATTGGGTGAGTATTTTATTGTAAGATTATACTTAAGCAAGGATCGCATGGTCAGCCTAGCGTCAAACGAAACGTTTGTTTATGTAACGCTTATAGTTCGCTTTTATTTTAGATAACTGCTGCAAATTTCAGCGATATATTTTAACTAGTAAGTGCTAAGTTGAGGAATGTAGCTTTGCATACAAAGCAAAAAATGTTGATGATTAAGTCAAATGGCCGAGCCGGTACTTCCCTTAGAGCATGAATTTTAATGCACTGAATTTCACAGCTTGTTTCTGTTCATAGTTTTAACAGAAATTGAATTCTCCTTTGTTGATTATAGACATTTTTTTTTTTTTTTTTTTTTTCTACTAACGAAAGCATTATACCTTTTATTCTACTTAGAGTTAGCGGCATTCATAACTTAGTTGCTATAGTATCTGTTGGACTTGTGTAGGACTTTTGACAGCTTGAAAAATCAGCCAGATGTCTATCATACAGTTACTCGTTAACAGCGTCGAATAAGTTAGTTAACATGCAGCTGCTGCTAGTGCTTTAGTTGAGACCGTCTGCGGGACCCACTTGTTATGCAGTAACTTTCGATATACGTGCATCTGAATCGATGGACGCTCTTAACGATCTATTCGTCAACGACCACAATAACAGTACTTGCGTAAAGTTTGACTTCGTATGCAAGGCTCACCATACCGATTAATTCGACTGAACATAGGCTCCTCTAGCTGATCATTCCAGTCTCGAAAGCGCAACTCAAATAGAGCATTACCTGGGCTCGTTTCTAAACTTAGAACTTTCTCATAACCTATCAAGAACATGGAGGCAATTTTTTTAAGAGACAGCCTGCTACACGCGGATGAACTTATATAATCTTTCTGCAACATACTATTGATAAAGCCTACAGCTCTTTGTGCCAAATCGATTGCCATGCCTTCATCGAAACCGCCCGCGTCCTCCTGAGAAGTACAGGTACAATATAGGTCGGGTATTCCAGCCTGTGAACAAGTGCGGTTACTCGGTACCAAATTGTCAAGGATGTTGATTCCGAACTCTGTTTGCTCAGGTCGACTTCTAGCTGGCAAAAGGGATCTCAATACTTCGTAGGTATCGTAGTGAGAAGTGAGCATATTGCTGTTGTAGGCTAGCGTTGTTCGTTGGCTGGAATCACCCGTTGCTATCGCCAGAAGAGGAAGACGTTCTTCGACGTGACCCTGACGAGTTCGACGAATTGGGTCAAATCGATGTCCGTGGTCTGACAGTACGATCAGGAGTGTCTCTCCAGAAAGCACCTGCTCTCTAAGCAACTCCAACATGCTCACGATATCTTGGTCCGCTGCGCCCACATACTCTTGATAGTCATGGGAAATCTCGACCAAAAAACTGAATACAAAATAAGGATCGGTGCTGTTTCTCCGAAGAAAGTATCTTAAATAATCAAGTTGTAACTTGTACTTAGGGGTTATCCCGTAGCACAGTAATGAGCTACTTCTCAACACCATCGAGCTTTCGACAGCCAACCAAAAAGGTCTTAAATAATGGTCCGTTGGTTGGTTAATAAATCCATTAAGGAGGTAGTTAAAAGTGGCAAATTTCGGATAATCTTCTCCGTAAAATGTTTCATAGCCCTCCTTGGCGTATCGCTTCCAAATGAGCGGCCACTTATCGCACATGTGTGTTTCCTGACTACTATGAATGTCGTTCGGATGCTTTTTGCGGTTACCACTGAGAATCGTGAGAAGGTTGGGAAACGTGTTGTCGCCAATCTTATGATGCGAGCGTAATACAGAGGCCGAAAGATTATTGACTAGGTATTTGTAAGTTAAGGGTAGCATTCGCAGCGCTGCTAACCTTGACAGCGAATCAATCCCAAATATGAAAACGTTTCGCCGTTTTTTCGGGGCGGCCCCTAGCGCGTTTGCGATCTTTTTTGGTGCGAGCTTTGGCGCTACGAGATGAATGTGTGAATATGTTAAAATTTTTAAAACGTTATAACACGTTACTCGTATTGCTTGGACGCCGGTCCGCTGTTCCAGATAGGTTCGTCCCACAAACAGTGGCCTCAGCTCCACGAACTTGACGCCATTATCTCCATCGCGCAGCAGGTCTTCGGCGAAACATGAATATAAATATGCACGAGAAGAGATTTCTAATTCGCTGGTTTCCAAATGCATATAGGACATCGGTTCTTGCCGCCTCTAAAATACAGATGAAACACAGTTACTGTGTTACAGATGTGTTACTAGTCGAATGAGTAACCGACAACGAAAAACATACCAGCCGAAAAAAAAAGCTATGTCAAATCAACGACCAATTCGACTAAGGCAAGTTATCAATAATCGCCAACGACGACTTGCCTAAAAGGAGCCATATATATCTATAACGACGATTCAAGCCGGTCAGTTGGTTCTAGATAAATGTGCAGATCTAAATTTGAAATGAAGCGCATTCTAGGACAGGCAATAAGAGTGACTGCTGCAAAGCGACTGCAGCTCTCCTTAGCCTACGTACCTTGCAGTGTATTTCTGAGGGGGGTGCACGGTAATAAGGCCAGATCTCCTTATCTAATGGATGGAATTGAGGTACTTTGCAGACTGGCGCACCTTTGGCAAAAATGATAGGAGGTTCACTCCAGTTGAGCATCAGGTGATTCTTTAGAGACTGTGCAGTCCGACCTGGCTCATCTAAAAGGACCCAAGAACAACACATGCAGCTAATAGAAAAATCAAGGCATGCACTTAAGGACAATGACTTTTCAATTTCTGGCTGAATGGGCTACTGGCACTCTCCTTCGTTTGTCAACTTAGGACCAAACCTATTTTATATGATAAAAAGGCACTAGGAATCAAGTAAGCAGCTCAATGCCAATTTCATTCATTGCCAGTTCATCACCTGTACTCTTTTTTTTTTTTTTTTTTTTTTGTCTATATATTAACCGACTATTAACTGCACTAGTGAAATGAGAAATTGCTAATCCTCCTGCGTACCATTGAAGTTCTACATAAGCTCCAACTAGGCAGAGCGCATGCCAAAAATTATTTTCTGTATAGCAGTATTTTCTGCGGTATCTATGATGCTTTAGCGTTCGGATAAAAAAAAACTTGTACAAAATAATCTTAATTTCGATTTGTTCTCGGAAAAGTAGGATAGCTTCTGATATGGCTCTCTTAGACCTGGGTCTTATGTTGATAGCAAAACGTCACGTATAACACAAATGTCGGAGGCGGAAGTGAATTGCAATGTTTCTCATGACTTCTTAATACCATGAACGTTTGGGCAATGCAGATATTAGACCAGACTGGTTTACTAGCAGTATTTGATGAAAGTCTCGTAGCCTTGCGTGTTAACATAGCACCTATCTAGCTACAAGATTGAGCTACAGGTTTTTCTGTTTACTTCGAAAAAAATCGCCAAAATTATCTTAAGTTTGTCTTTGCTGATCGTCTCGAAGTCAATATTTAGTCAGAAAATAAAGTCTAGAAGTTACTATCTACGTTAAATGAAAGCAGGTAAGTGTGCACGCAAAATTAAATGAAATTCTTGGGTATAACATACATTAATTTGGCAGTAGATGTATGTACTTTGCCCTAAATAGGAAATTATATGTATAGAAGAACACGGCTGCAGCTGGCACAGAAGAATGGAATGCCGTATAACACCATCATAGTTACATGTGGGCGTAATTTCTCTAACGATATTCCTACCAGTCCCGTTTGTTTCGGTTTAGATAAAGCAAGATTAGTCACTACTAGTAGGTCAAGAGTCTTTTCTATTTTCATGGTCGTACCATCTGATTTTTCGTTGTCGTATGCTGAAGGCGCCGACCGTGTTCTATCACGTTCCGCTATGGCCTCCTAAAGCAGTTTCCTGAATCAGGAGAATACGAATTGTATCTCACAATCAACCAAACCGCAGAAGCGGCATGATTCAGCATCAGGACGAAACACACCGTTTCGGGGGCACAATAAGACATATTGTTTGCTTTTGTTACGACTCGACGGGTCCAATTATATCAAATATCATGACGATAACGCGTCAGGGCAGTGCATGATCATGGTAAGCCAACACATGGTACGTTTCGCAGTATAATCGAAAAGTCAGCGTACTTTGTAGAATTTAAATAGCAATAAATGGCACTAGTACGCATAAATAACATGTAGAAACTACTGACGGTTAACTACACACAGAGACAACTATGGTAACGTTGATTGTTAAAACCCATCGTTTTCAATATTTAATGCGAGTATGTTGAAAATCGTTCGAGTGACGAATTGTATGTAAACTGACTGTATAAAACACACTCGTTGATAACTTCTCAAGTAGCGACATTTTGTCATCCGGAAGTCTGTTCATTAGTAAGGAGAGAAGGTAAGCGCGTTAACGGTACATTTTGCTAAACTTTATAGTGCTCTGTAGTTCTTTAATAGCAATGCATACTACGTTCTACCGCGGTGGTGATTTCACCTACCGAACAGTAGGTTGCCATCTTGAATAATGAGGACTAAGGTGAAGATAACTGTGAACAATGTGAGTGCAGCGTTTGTACAGCGACGAGGTATCCGCGAGTTAGCGATGAAGCTCATGACGATAGTCCGCGAGCGGCAGATCGATTGACGTCTTTCTGAAACAGCACCGATACACAAATATCAGATCTGAAGTCAGCAGCAATTGTTCGTAATGGATTATTCACGCGTAAACATCCTCTTCAGAATAAAAGCCAGTGAAGATTTATTGTTCATATCGAATTTTGCCCGCGGGCAAATGAACTGAACTGAAAACAAAGAAGAAGCTTGTCTTTTATGCGAGATTTTCATCATAGTGATAAGGGCGGATATGAAGACCGCTCGCCCGATTGATCTGAACTCTGTCCTCAATGCGTATGAATAAAATTGATTTTGAACTAACTGAGCGTATGTGAGTGCAGCAATCCTACCATAACCCGGGCTTGTTTCTGTAGAGTCTACAACGTTCAATGAGTGTTGAACGCCTACCGAACAGAGACCACATTTGTACGTTTCTATTCGTCATCAGAATTATCACAATACTGATAGTACGCATTTGAATGACCCATTTAAAGAGAAGTAATATCAATCAGTCAATATGCAAGTGTGTCCACAAACGACCGCTGCCACCATATAACGATTGTGCTTATCGGAATGGATCATAACTCCAATAAAGCGACATTAGAGCCATCTGCTAAAAAGGCCTAAAGTAGGAGCGAGTTACGAACTTCACACGAGTTAGGCCGTTGTTCACTAAGTGCACTGAGTGATAATCAACAACGAGTGACTGCCATCTAAGCAGCGTTTAGATCCGTCTGGAAAGAAAAACGATGTCGTGAAGAACCGCTTAGTACTGTGCCTACTGGAACACGTAGAACGGCACGTGTATGTATGTCCACTGGCCGTTTTGGTCGATCATATTCACAGTTTGGCGTATCGGCTGAGGCTTATTAGGATACGAATAGTCTTGTTAGCGATACACGATTAGTTCGAGAAGCGAGTGAACGTTTGTTGAAAACATCGCATCGGTGTAAGGACAAGTGTCGGCTTAATGCCGCCAAAACCCCAAGGCAGTCAACCTAACTTTATAGCTAAGGGATCACACATAGCAGAAAGGATAAGGACTAGCTGCAGCAACCTGGACAACGATAGGCCCTCTCTTACATTGTTAAACGATACGTATCTGTCTGTTTGCATGTACGACTAGTACTGATAGAAAACTCATGCGCTATTCTATATTACACGGATCGGCAGCTTGATAAGCCGTCAACCATTAGCTATGTATTGTCCGAATTGAACGAGTGGACATTTTCAATCGTACTTTACTTTCACTTCATAAAAATTTTCGGCCACGCAAACATATCGACTAATTTCTACCGTAACAGATCCCGATTCCTACGCGTGTGTTACTTGAGCACGGCCTTTGCGAGCGGCGACCATTTATTTGGTTGCTGATTTTTCTAATCTAATTTTATACCTTGAGAGCATCAGAACGCTTTGTCTGCCGCATTTTCAAAACAGACGGACAAAATTGGTGCACTGGAGTATGACAAGGGCGCTAGTTGACGAATTTCACTAACTCACAATAAAGCTACCAACTGTTCGAGTCCGTAAGAAACACAGCGTCGCTGGTAACTGTGTGCCCAGCCAAAGCCAAATGTGCTTCTTATAGGCACTGACTTGAGGATAGGCAATAACTGCCAGCGTTTGTTAAAACCAGTCATTGCTTTGGCTAGATGACCATGCGTCTCGTTGAGAACATAAAAGGCGGCACAAAAGTGGGCCTAGCACGAAAATTACCATAGCGAATAACAGGGATATGGTGAAAGAAAGCGGGCGCAATTGGCGGACCTTGCTTGTCCGCAAAGTTCCTCGGCGCAAATAGACTCTAATTATCCGTCTAGTTTAACATTGCGAATTCTCTCTACAAATGGCGTTCTAAATCACTCAAAAGCAAATTCGACTACGTCTAGTTATTGGCTACCGAGGATCAAGTAACCCTACTGGATACTAACCTGCCAAAAGATATATATATATATATAAGGGTCCGCAATGGTAACGTGTTTGTCTATTAAGTACGAGGTTTCAGACCGGCTGTAAGAGGGTCGCGGATCAGATGGAACAACGAGATTATATTTTACGTTAAGACGGTGTTCTGCTAATAAACCACATGAAACAATGCGGTCAACAGATTATTATAAAAACAAAATTTAAACAACTGCGGTCCTCGCCATAATCATACCACATTGTCTCACAGTCCTTGAGTCTGCCGACGACAACATTTTGTCACGACGTTGGGGCCAGCGGGGCCGGAAGTCGAGGACGAGTTTGACACAATCGAAGATTTGATTTGTCCGCCCTGTAAGAGAAACCTAGTTAACTGACCACATCCAATCACTTACTACCGTTAACGATTGCTAGATTTCACACCTATGTCGCACCGAACAGGGAGGATGATTTCAGCCCTTACCAGCGGCTCATAGTGCTCGCCACTTTTTTTTCTCACAGAAGCTTCATCTCAAACCTATCTACCTTCTATCTCATTTTCGTTTGTGGATCCACTAAGGCCCCGTCTTAGAGTGCTCTCGTTGATCTCGAGATGCACGTCTTCGGAAACAATACGGTGCTTGGGTTACTTGTCAAGACGGCCAAAGCTTTACGGTTATGATGCTTTTGTGCAACCGTTATCTCGTCTTGAGGATACGTGTTCACGGCTGTCGAGCTTTGTAACGAACAGCTTAATCCGAACTAACATCTCGGAGGTTCTGTTTGAGGCACTCGGTTTCTAGCTTAAGTTTGAGGCTATCGCTTGATATATATATATATATATATGGTACCGTAGCCGCTGCACTAGCCGCCGGGTGGCTACCGCTGTTCACAGTAACTGTGCTATAAGTCGATGCATATTAGTAAAATGATTACTAACGTGCTTACTATGAGTACTAACGTACACAACACTTTCGTGTTGTGTTGACGGGGACGATTTACGATCATTTGCTCCGATAACATAACACTACCTGATAGAATTCACGCGCCCAATACGACAACAGCGAACGAACTGTCGTTTCCGTCCGTCAGTCCCGCCAGCTAAAACGATCTCATAGACTATATAATACCATGAACATCTCAAAGCACCATGTTGAATTGGTCCGACCTTTTTATACGTTAACGAACAAATTAAACTATGGTTATCTAGAAATACGTGCATTTGGCTTTACACACACACACACCTCGGACGAAATGGAACACCACACAGGTTTCAATTACTACGATAAATTCTATATTTAAAAATAGAAACAGAATACATTGACCGTTAATCATATCAAGTACTTAAAATTAGAAGCGTTTAAGAAAAATTAATAGGTGAACTAAAGTGAGAAAGGCGTGGGTATTATACTTTCTCAAAATTTACAAAAAACATTTCCCCGAATTACGTATTACACGCGGACGTATAACAAAGCTTTAGCCACGTAGTGCTAACGCTGTTCTTTTTTATGCGGAACCGAACCCCTGTATCTGTAGCAGAGTTTCTGCTGACGACGCCAAAATATTGACGAACTGCACTGTTTAGCTTCGGCTAACTTTTATTTATTCACTATACTGGATATTTACCGTTCCCTAAAACCTTCACCCCATACGTCCAAAACAGCTGCGGTTGTTTTTAAGCATTTACGTGCTCCCCCTGCTACCCTGATGCTCGCCCCACTGAGATCACTTTCCTTGTTTGTCTTTCCTTATACGACAACTCCTTCTGGAAGCCCCATACTCATAATCTTTTCTCAAAAGGTTTTTGTAATACCTCCATTTTCTCTGACTTTAAATTCTGTGGGCTGCTTCCGAGAACACTAATCGTAACTTGTCCCAATCGTTTCTTCGTGAGCAGAGCCGTAAAATAGAGTAACATCAAGCTTTGAGAAACGATGCCTTTCGTATAATCTTCGGAGTTCCCCGTGCCTCCTCTATTCACTTCAGGCTCTTCCCAACGTCTGCCACGTCCCTAAGCTACACTCATGTCTCTTAGCCTATCGGCCGGTTCACCTAAGGGCGCTGCCGCATTATCCTTCACTCAGTCCACTTCCTACGTTCTCGTACATCGCTCATGCTCCTCACTTTTGATCTCCCTTAACCATCGCTAGGGCAGCGGATGAACTTGTTATCACTCGCAACTTCCTTTTCGACCCTCTTTACGCTGTATCATCAACTATCCCCTTTATGAGGCCCTGAGTAATCTCTCTTTCAAGCACCCACTGTAACTAACTGTCTCTTTTCCGCAGCGTTATATAGCTCAACTAATTTTAATGAATCCCTATTACTATTTTCACCTTTCCTCCCTCTATTTCCCCCCCAAGCCCCCGTAACGGCACCAATTGTCGAAAGTTGCCACTTAATAGCAACTACTAAAAATATGAACTTTAACTGCCTGTTTTGCGGACATCATGAATAGATCAGTACGTTTTAAAAGAAATCAAATCGACACCTGTTTTTTCGAGGGGTCTGCCTTCACGATGAAGGAATAGGGGGCCGTCCCGCGCGTATCGTCGTATTTGAACAGTTGTCGAAGCTTACATTGTTGCTGAATCACTGACGTTTCTTATTTTAGTTGCTACACTTAGCGACCTAATTTAACTGCTCAACTCGAGCATGCAAACCCGTAACAGTAAATTTCCGTAAGGACCAGCGTGGCATCAGACTTGCAATATTGATGTATATCCTCTGATGACCAATCATGACCTGAATTCAAGCTTGACATTTTTGCCCTTCTTTGATAATAGCTATTTTCATTAAAGTGTTAAAAAATAAACGTTTTGTTAATATTCATCTAGCTAGTACCTGGAACACGCTTCAGCCGTCAATCAGAAAGTACATGATTATAGTATAGTCGCCTAATTATTTGAGTTAAAAAAAAAACTTCAAAACAAAAAAGATTACCTTACTAAAGAAAGATTATTGCCATAATTGTTTATCGGATTTCCTAAATGCATGTTTATTTACAGGTACACATCTATCTAAGCATACATTATTAAATGCGTTATAGCTTGTTCGCTAACGCAACCTAAAAGGATGTGCATATGGAGTTGAACCAATTAAGGAACTCTATAAACCTAATCCGCACGTACCTAGCCGAGAACATAGAGGCCTACGTACGCAAGCACAGAATATATATATCACAAATAAGCCAAACAAAAACGCACACGTTTTCATGTGTCTTAAGTATATAGAAGGCACGAAACGACTAAACTAAATATATTCTTAGTTGTATTGTTGTAGCAACGGCATTCAGACCTCTTAGAAACAAATTGAACCGTTCCTCGATAAACATGAGTAACTCATAATACATTAGCCAGCACTTAAAGCGGCAGCTGGTCATAATACTTAGAAAAGAATTTTGCACTTGACCGCTTGTTTGACTAGAATTATATACAGTCATTATAAACATGTGAAGATAGTTGCTCCTAATCTGCTAAGAATTGTTCAGGAGTATAAATTATGCTAGCTCTCCATTTGCTATAAATCAGCCGGCAGACATATTTAGATTAGTTGTAATTAGTAATCTCTAATTAATTTCGGTCCTAATAGGACGTAGGGTCGTCGAAAAATTTATCGTTCGTTTTAAAGTTCGAGCGAACACCTTTACCTTACGTTAAAAAGTTGTGTACCTTCACATTATTCCATGCCAGTATTCACTATCTCAAGCCGTAAACTGTGAGTATTCAAATATAAACACTCTTTCAATGTGATCTAAGTAAATACTTCTATGGATTCGGCACAAAAGCTGTTTGCTGGTTCACAGTGCCGCACTTAGACTTTGAATCTGCAAAAAAAAAAATAAGAGCAAGCTATTATTTACCGAGCAAGGTTGCACTCTCCATTTCTTATGAAGCTGGAAGCAAGAGTGAGTGCTATATAGCGTACTATTATGACTTGTTTTTGTAGTCCATGTTTGTAGTCGATTCAGCGTAAACCGACTGTGGTCGATTGCCTAAGCATCGATTGATTAAGATCTACTGGCAGCAATGACACCTTTTTCTTCATATTGTTTTCATAATTCTCTAGAAAACCTCTAGCAGCCTATCAGAACTAACTGTCCATCGTAAGTCAATAAATTTGTCCTGAAAGAAAAGGTACGCACACTTCTAATTTTTATTCCAAAAATACGTCCGGTTCTAAAGTATTTGGTCTGTAAAATACTGTTTTAACAGCTGGATTACTTACTGGAATTTTCACACCATACCTGGGATAACACACCGTCGTGTATTTATTTTTCCTTCAACTACATTTTTGAAAAGAAAAGATACAAACAGAAAATCCTGTCTTAAGACATTCGAGTAATACCGTAATCGAATCTCACTATAAAGTATGATATTGCTGTCAACCTATACACAAGTCTTTGTAAAAGCACCTGCTGGCCCATGACGTTTAAATTTACTGTTAACTTAAAAAGAGACTTTATACAGTAAGTGCAGCTCTGGTGTAACTGGAGGCTATGTACTGAATAGGACACAGCCTGTGAAATGGTACGACCTATGTTAGTTTGTGAACAGGCCAATGTATTTTAGAAAACTATGTGGCATACCAGGCTAACTCGCTGTTCGATATAATAACATTTTACGTGTGACTAAAGCCTCTCCGCAGCAATACCTTGACTAAAGACCCATCGGCAACGGTATAAGAATTATTTCGAATGTATTATTTTAGAGAGAGCCATGATGTTCACGCTGGACAAAAAAAAACCGAGTTGATAATAAAGACTTAAGAGTTATAAACAAAACTATTGGGTTTCAACTATTGGACCCAAGCCCTCATAACTGTATGCGAAGTGCCTTACCTATTCCAATACCGCGGAAGAAAAATGTATGAGAACTGTGTTTCCGTACTAACTAACAGACTGGTCGAGAGCACTTGCAAGAAATAGAAGTTGATTCATTTATCGTTACCTTTAATGTTTTCTAGGTCGTTTTTAGGTAGCAATTCAGACATTGAGTAGAATGGACATAGGTCAGTGGAGAGCGTGTTGGTAAGCGGCTTACCGGTCTAAAGAGCAAGAAATTACAATAGAAAGTCCATGCTGCCTAAGCAAATCGTTACGCCTGCCTCCAGTACGAATTGGTATCGTCGAAACTGGACTTCTTCAACTTGAGGCGATGTTTCTGGCTCAAAGGGCCAACTAAACCTGTTGTTACTATATGGGTGCCGTAACTAAAGGTAAAAATTAAAATAAAATAATATCAGTATATGACACCATGTTCCAGACCTTGCCATTTAAGGAGAACGTAAGAGTTGACTCAAGCCATTTTTTAGTTGCTATGTGCTTCTGAAGTGAGGGATCTTGAATTCATCCTGTTTTTGATCTATTTATGAACTGAAAATGATTCGTGCAAAAAACACTACGTCATTGACTAGCTTACGAATCATGTTGCGTCATCGGAGCACTGTCTTATTTGGCTCTACCGTATTCTGTCACTGGCCCCGTTTGGCCCAGCATCTGAAACTGCATTTTACTATAATAATATTATTATAACTGAATTGCCGAAAGTATATGTTTACTAAAAACACGCATCTTCAGGAAAAACATTCAAGTTGACGTCCGGCGCACGCATGTGATCAGTGATACCATGATGGAAGATCCGCATAATTGTACATACAGAACATTTTTCTGTGCAATTTGATTGTCTTTATTTAACTAAGTGTTCTTAGATGTCGTTAGCTCATAGCTGCTCGCCAATAGCTCAATACCTAAGATAGATTACTCCCCCTTTGTAACTTCGTTCAAGCAGAATATTAGCAGCGTTTTTGGGCATCAAGTTAAATTTTACGAAGGTAAACACTTAATTGACACTAATGGTATAGTGGAAAGGCCGAGAAAACAGTGGAGCTGATCACTTGGTAAGGATTGAGAAACAGACTAGTTTAAATACGAATTAAATCATACTTTAAAGCAATGCAAAACAAATAGTTTATTCAATTTTTATATTTATACGACCGGCTTAGTAGCTATGTCATTGCATATCATTCTGTCACACATTCAGATAGAGTTCCCTTTGACTTAATGACCACAGTAGCAATACTTCCGTAAAATCTGACTTGGAACACAGGGTTTGCCGTAGCGATTGATTCTGCTAAACATGGTTTCATGAAAAGGCGTGTTCCAGTGACCAATACGTAGCTCGAACACAGCGTTCCCGGGAGTCGTCTCAAGAATAAGCACCTTCTCCTGACCTGCATTGAAAATCGAACGTAATTTAGTAAGAGTCAAAATTTTACACACAGATCTACCTGTGGCATCGTCGCGAATCATTTCATTAATAAATTCTATGGCCTTTTGTGCCAGTGCTTCTGTCTTGATAACGTCAAAGTCACTTTGGCCGTTTGGAACATTAACGCACGTACAATACACGTCAGGAACTCCGGCTTGTGAGCAGGTTCTGTTCTTTGGCACAATACTTTGGAGAACATTTATACCAAACCTTGTTTGTTCAGATTTACTTTTGCCTGGCAACATAGATCTAAGTACCTCGTAGAGATCATAATGTGATGTAAGCATGTTACTGTTAATGCTTAACACCGCTTTTTGTTCGGGACTTGCAGTGGCAATTGCAACAAAAGGTAGACGCTCTTCCATGTGGCCCTGGGGCGTGCGTCGGATGGGATCAAATCGATGGCCATGGTCCGATGCTACGATTAGGAGGGTTTCTCCAGACAACACCTGTTCCTTGAGCAGTTTCAATACCTCAACGAAATCACGATCAGCTGCTCCTACGTATTCTTGGTATTCGTGCGAGATTTCTACGAGAAAACTAAATGCAAAATATGGGTGATCTCTTTTCTTTTGTAAAAAATATTTAATATAATCCAACTGTAGTTGGTATCTAGGTTTGGCACCGTAGCATAACAATGAGCTGCTTTTAAACAGCATCGACCCCTCAATCGCTAACCAAAACGGTCGTAAGTAATGGTTCGTAGGAGGCTGTCGGAAGCCGTTCGCAAGATAGTTGAAGGTATTAAACTGTGGAAAATCTTCAGCATAAAATGTCTCGTAGCCTTCATCGGAGTATCGTTTCCAGATTAGCGGCCAGTCATCAAAGTACTCCTGTTTTTTATCATGCTTATCGGCTGGATGCGTCTCTCGCTTTCCGGTAAGTATCGTCAGAAGATTCGGAAACGTGTTATCGCCTACTTTGTGATGCGAGCAAAGTACAATGGCTGACATATTGTCCACCAAATAATTATAGGTTAAAGGCAGAAGACGAAGGGCCGCAAGTCGAGATAGTGAGTCAATGCCAAAAATAAAGACGTTCCGCTGCCGTTTTGGATTCATGCGATAAGGCGGCATCTGATGGGAGTAACCTTGATTGCTGATAACAGGTTTAAGTGTGATCTTCGGAGGAACAAGGTAAATGTGAGAGTTGACGTTCAGTCCAATAATGTTGCGGCATGAGACGCGCACTGCTTGCACGCCCTGCACCGATTCCAGTCGATGCCGTCCGACCGATAAAGGACGTGGTTTATCAAAGGTAACCTCATTATCCTGATGTCATACTACGTCCTCGATGAAGCAGCTGTACAATGATGCAGTTGGAAGAATCTCTAACTCGCCGGAATCTAAATGCATCTCGGACAATTTTATTTCCCTTTCCTGAAATATTTGATTAGTAAAGACGACCAGAAAGGCCAAAAATTAGACCGCGTGCCAGTCGTACTAACTAAGTTTCACTAAGCAATTCAGGACCGATTCTCTTCCTGAACTTCTAGCGTTATGCATCAAATGTAGCGTTCTCATTTATGTCTGTTATAGTGTTGTACCCGTTATGGTGTTAGACTGTATATGGTAGATGTGGTTCAGGGTCGATGAGACGATGACAACGTACTGCTGCCTTGTTGCAAAATTAATTAAAGTGTTCAGACACGCAGCATATAATGTGGCCTTATCTGTTTTTCTCTAGCATAAACAGCGATACTGTGTACTTGGCCTTACCTTGCACACAATTCTTGAGGGGGGCGGTCGGTAATAATCTAGGATTCCTTTGTCCAGGGGATGGAACCGAGGCACCCGACAAGTGATCGACGAATCGTCCCAACCGACTGGTGTGGAGGTGTTCCAGTTAGCCATTGGATGTTTTCGTAGTGAGCGAACCGAACGACCTAATTCGGAAATATTTTATGGTCCAGTCATGAAGGATCATAAAAGGATGATGAAGTAAAACCACATGCAAATTAACAACAAGACAATCCATCTAGGTCATATAAGGGCACGACTTTGTTTACTAAGTATTTTTGCACAATGTGAATAAAAAGTGATCCGTAAATGTGAGTCGTTATTTGAAACGCAGTGGTTATTTAAAATAATGAGCATTACTTATTTTTGCATTCTGCGAGAAACGCAAACTTGGGGTAGGACAGTTCTAGGAAAGGAGGCTGGGGGAAATTATTTATTTACTTGTATGCCTTAAGTTGAAACATTTACCCAAGTTTATTTAATTCTCTTTTCTAAAAGCAGTGTGGTCTTTCATACTATATATGTGTATATAATATGAAATGGGAACATAAGAAATGGACATATGTTGAAGATATTTTTTTTTTTTACTTTTTAATACAACTTCAGCGCTTGTTGATTTTTATATATGATTATAAAGTGGTTTCTATATTTTTAGAAGTCCTGTGTAATGTCATGTCAATATCAAGGTTTCAGGTGAGAAAACGGGCATTTTCGAATTCTGCTCTATTTTTTTCACCGATATTTAGGCTGTACGACGAAGGCTACAAGTGAGAGGACTGCTCGAAGATATTTGCTAAGTTTAAAGGTCGATTTTCAGATTTGGACGATGTGCTTACCTTAATCGGCCGGGCAGGCTGATGAAAGCCTCGGATTGTAAATACCCCGTTAACATACCAAGGAATTAAGGTGGGAACACTAGAATGTTGTTAGCCATCTTGAATATATGAAATTTTAATGGTTTCTACGTTTTGCCCCCTACCTGGTAATGCACAGATACAATGACAGATTTCTACAGAGAACTGTTACTGATGCAATGTCTGCCCGTCAATACAAAGCAGCGAACGGAATGGGCAGTTGTTCCGAGACATATGCTTAAGTTCTAAGCCAAGCCGGATTTTCTTCCAAAGAAAACCATGAACTGCGCTTGGTAGGACTAGGAGGTTTTATGCATCAGGAAATGCGCTAAAAGAAGGAGAAGGCGTTCAACAAAGACCTGTATGTGACCCCATAGCACTGAATAAATCAGACGAATTCTTAAATAACAGACCATAAAACAATGAACTTGTTGGTAATAAAATTCTGCTATTTTGTTAGGTGAAAAAATCCCTTAGTACTAATGCTACAAGCGGGTCCGAAGGACCTTAAAATTGAATAGCTTTTGGACGACGTGCGTCTAGCAGGCCAAATTTGACTGGCGAATACACTATGATACCCTGGAAACCTGTGGGAGTTTATTCCCACAGATTTCAGTTCAAGAAAAAAAGCACTTGTTCAGCTAGAAAATCAACACTCTGTGATCTGAAGTTTTCCTTTTTCGGGGGCCACAACATTCCTGAAATTCATAGGAGGCATCGGTGAAGACATTAGTCAAGCAAGTCTTAAGCGCAGTGACTGTACGTGGATAAAGCAAATGTTTTAAGAACGGAGATTGAAGACGACGAAACCCGAACAACAAAAACATGTTGCCACAGTTGAGGATGTTCTTCTTATATAGCTATAGACGTATGAATAGCATATTCATACGCTATAGATGAAGCACGATTCAATCTTTACCGCCAGTTGGACGGGAATCAAGCGAGACAATAGCGTTGTACTGTAGAAAAATCGAGCTTGGTGACAGTGTCTGGTAGGCTTGGATGTGAGATGATGGTAGTACTTGCACTGAACATCAGGGACATCTGTTACTATGAGATACTAGCCAAAAATGAAAAAAAAAAAAGGAGTGCAGTCCCCTATCTCGACTTTCTCAAGATACTCACGGCAGTTGAAGGCACACAGCCCATTTACTTGATGACAACACCAGACCTCATCGCCATGCTTCAATTATGTCCTAGATTAGACACAATAAAATTTAACGTTGCCTTCATCCAATTTGTTCTCCTGATCTAGCTAAGTCCATGTTATTATGGGGCTTTCCACGACTTAACGAAAGCAACCGGTGGGCAAGTATACCCCACTACGACAAGCAGTAGACAAAAAAATTTCATATCAAAATGTAATATATGGCTGTCCAGATGCACCAAAGATTTAGGACAAGCCTACAAAAAATAAACGAAGCTACTTCAAACACATATTAGAAAATAACCAAGCTATTCAATTTCCAATTTATCGGATTCGCTTTGTATCAGCTTAATATATACATACGTATATCAGCATGATTCGTTCGGAAATGAAAATGTAAATTAACCATGTTCAAGTTACCAGACAACTGAGAACGGGACCCTTTTAGTACCGTTTTCAATACACACATTTTTAGTGTCAGCCGCAGCAATGGGCACAAACATAAATCTCCATATTGACCACGAGTGGTAGATCAAGTTCGCAAACTTAGCATAATAAGCCGCACGTTATTGATTATAGAAAGTTACGAAGACGATGTATTCTACGATAGTTATAGTACCCCGTACACGCGCGCCTACGTGCTGCTTTCAGACAGTAATAATACCTACTGACTACCTTTTCCTCCTTATATCTGTGTCAATACAAAAAGAGTCGTCATCATATTGAACACAAAACATGCCGAACGAAGCATGGTATTGATGAACCACTGGCTGCCATTCATAGCAATTGATATGTTAGAAGCGCAACCATTATTATACCTTAGACATACAAATCGATGCTTTAACTGCCGAATCCTATATTACCAATTAGCTAGAAAAATGCGCGTTTTTTGTTTTAATAAAAAATCTTTTTTTCTTTTTTTTTTTCGTATAATAACCGTCCTTCGTGAATAGGAGCAACGGAAATTATGTGGGCCGAAATCGCTACCGATGAGTCTATCTGCAAACAACTACTCTGTTTTGTGGTCTAAACTGAATAACAACTTCAGATGATCAGTTAAAAAAAACTTGTTACACCCGAAAATTCTGCACAAAAATACAATCAGAGTGACTGGTACGTTAAAATGTCATCATTACATTTCTTGGCTGAATTTGTTCTAAATATATAATTATTTATATAAAGGAAACAAACACTCGTTGGCAGCATCGCTGAACAGAGTTGATGATGGTGATAACGAGTACTAGGGTTGGTAGCCACTGAATAGTCTTGATAACGATTTATGGAAATAAAATCGTTGTTTGCTGCACAATTCGGCAAATAAGGTCGAAGTTCGTCCTTAAAAATGTCATCTTACAGGCTCGAGAATTTGGTTCTAATTAACACGATAATCCGTTTGAATCAAGGCAGCATATACATCCGTTGGCAATAGTGTTTCTTTTAGATGGTTCGCTTTGTTGCCAGTTTACTTTTAAGGTAAGCCAAAAAGTGGCCAAGATAAACACAAAAATACAAGTATGACATGTATGCACATAATTACCTAGATGCCCACAGGACAAAGTTGTTTCTTCTTCTTTCAAATTTACTACTCCAATTTTTTCCTCTAATTAGCAATAGATACAATTTTATTTTGAAATACTAGCTTAAATAGTTTAATTTTACGCTGGTCCACATAGTTCATCCAGGATTCGACAAAATGTAAACAAAAAGTTTAACTATCCCAATTGTCCTATTTGTTAAAATTCGGTTGACGAAAATAATGCCGTAATGGAAATTTCTGACCCGTACGCGCCTAAAACGTTCTTAAAATTGGCTTCTAAAACCGAATTTCCGCGCCACGAAGGATACGGTGGCTCATATGGACCCGCCGTTCGTATATCTTCGATAGTACACATATATAGCTGATCTGCAGAGATCGATGAAAACAGTACCGGAAATTATCTTGTGAGATACGTCAAATCTCGGTACTCGACTTTTGTACTTACCCCGAAGTACAGAAGAAAATCTCACTTTTCGAAGAGGTAGACCAGTACAACATAACATAAATATAAGCATATGCCTCGTCGACGTTTTGAACGCCAATATACTGCAAACGTCGAACGTACAATTTAGTATTTTGTTGATCTCTGAAACATAGAGTCTTAATATTTCCAGAATCACGGCAAACTAGTGGGTCTGAAATTTTCCTGTGTTTTATATCAGCTTGGCAAATTTCTGCCCAGATTATGCCAGAACCGTTTATCTATGTTGCCTCTCTTTTATGGACTACGCAGACGCCAGATTCGATTCCTATTAGAATATGTCATACACCTATCTCTTAGTATGATCGTTCAACTTTAACTCGACAGCATAGGCAACGATCAAATAAAGGACTAATAAACCCATAGCGACCAGGACAGCACACATCGACCCATCCATTATTACTACTATATGCTCAACGAGCGCGAACAGATCTTTTGATTAACCCAACGACACAAATTCAACGGTTCAAACTGTAGCTGATATTTTTCCAATGATAATAAAAGCGTTCCTATTGTGATATTGTACCGAAGCGAAGAAAAAAAAAAGAACTTATAATATTGCTTAATCTAAAGGTGGAAGTTTCGGTGGTGTATATATATATATATATACTTGGATACACTTGGACGAAAAGCATTTATGTAACGCTCAAAAAGTGCTTCTTCTTTTGCTACGAAGAGTAGGAATCACACTTACACCTTGTACGCCACGTAAGCAAAATACGAAGTTTGCCACTTACCGGTCACGGAACTGCCGTCTTTGACGTATAAAAGTGTCGTCACAACAACTGTGAATATCAGTAGCACAACCTTTGTATGAGATGTACGAATTCGATTGGTTTTCGGTAGATCCAGAGTACACCGGTGGGATCCAACGGTGGTGCACTGCATTTCCAAACAACGATTGTCGTGATCCTCCGATCTCTATAAGCGGATATCAAAACATAATCAAACAGAACAAATCCATAGCGGATTTATTCTGATCCGGCCAGCTGAATCGCAAATCTCAGTAATTTTTAGTATTAGACGGCGATTAACCTATATTCTATACTATCGGCAATGTGCCACTGATGTTTTTATTCGGGTGGTGCATTTAGATAGAATCGGCAAAGTCGTCGTTCGTCAGCGTTTATAGAAAAAAAAAAAAAAAAAAACGTATATAAAAAAAAAACTAATCGTGATAGTGATTATGACCTATTGTAGGTTAGGCTCTGTCTATCGGCAAGCAGCCAGCGATGTATCAACTGGATTTATTCGCCGCACTATACAAATCAACTTATGCCTCCAGGTAGGAACGCTTTGAAATTTTCTCCAGAAAACCCGTAAAGTTTTATGTGACAGTCGTAGGAGTATTTCGTTTTGAACTCACCAATGTCACAAATTTCTCAGGCTATTGTTGTTATTGAGCGTTCCGATCTATAGCTAGCAGATATAAATCCTATACATCGAAAGAAACTGTATAATAGAGTTACAACTTTAATAATGATAGCTCTTCCTAAATTTGTAGTTGTTCAACGATCCCATGTGGCACTCGAAGAATTGTATTAACAAGCATCACTTTCGGGTCATCTAGGTCCGGTAAAAGAAAAAAAAAGATGATAAAAATGTCGAAAAGCTCTATTAAACATTTATTAGAATACCATCGATGGAATATGGAATTATCATTCAAGAATGATGAATTTTGATGATGACTTTTTTGATAAACAAACTTCTCGTGAATGTGCTGTTGTATCCTACTGAACACCTACTTTATGTCCGGCTGAGAAACCCAACATTCTAAACGCCATAAGGACCATTCGCAACCTGAAAACGACCCCCAGAGAGAAAATAACATACACTTTAAAAATGATAGTCGTTGCCCTTATTTACACATCTCGCCGAGTAAAATCTGTGTTCATTAGACCTAAGTTCCTCTTTGAGTTATCCGTATTCAGCTCTGAAAAAGTTACGGATTTGTGTACTTGGTAGGCATCTGATTGTGGAAATTTAGGTAGTACCCGAAGATGAGACAACCTTCTTGAGCAACAGAATGAGTACTTTCGTACTGTTAAGTGAGCACACTTGGAGCAAAATTCGACTTCTAACATTTGCACAAGTACGAGTTGCGTTTTGCCATAAAAAGATTCAAACTGCAGTGAGAAAATGCGCCGTTTTTTTTTTAGTCAAAATGCGATAATTTTTTTTATTTGTAGCATTAAGGTACATATGCCTCAGTCATCTATTTTAGTGCTATTTAATTTATTCAGCAAAATAGGCTTATTTAGGAAATTTCCGAATTTTCTCAAATATTTATCATTATGCTTATGTTTTTCAATCTTATCTCGAACACAAGCTACTTTGTACGTAAATTCCTTATGTCTACATCGACGGACCTTTTGATAAGGTTAGTAGAGAATACGGCCCAAACGTTTAAGTGCTGACGTGCCGGATCATTTGCTGAAGCACTCATGTTCACACGTACGCAAACTGAGCTGCCGGATGAACTTTGACTGCGTTCTATTTTGTGCGACACGCTTTCGTATATGTTTATCTCCTGTTCCTTTTCAAGCGCACGCACGCACGTACTCCATCTCGTCTGTTAAGCTGTCCACTGAATCCGTAATTTTCGCATTTTCAGGCTTCAACAGTGTGCGGATGTTGTTACTTTTCCCCTTTTATGTAACAGTACTTGGCTTTTACCAACACCTTCTCTTTACTTCACTTTTGCTACGGACTACCAGGCCGATGTAAATCGAACGGAGAGGGAAGATGAGGATGCCAAGCCGCTTCTCCTCCAAGTACGGCTGCGCCTTCCTCTGCTGGATCCGCTCTCGTTTAAAACGGACGATGAAGTAGGGACCGCCTGATTCGCCGGAACGTCCCAGGGGCTGTCACAAACGCAGCTCTCCTTTGCTTCTTTTTCCCCCCCCCTTTTTGATCTTCGTACAGCGTTATCCTCTATGTCGAGTATAACGAAAAGGAACATAGTTTGGTACAACTTGCTCACATCCTCGCTAGTTGGTTGCTGTTGGGAAAAAGGTGCTTAGACCAGCTTGCCTACGCTGGCCGCAAGTTGCAGGCTTTTAAGGCCACTTAAGCTTTCGTGAGAAAGTTGACGCACGATCGCGGCAAGCAATGTTGAGCGAACACCATAACAACAAAGCAGGCGGACCGAACTAATAGGACCACCCTTTCGCCGCCTATGGGAGAGGGCTGACGAAAAAGTGCAATTTAAATAAACGGCCGGTTGCAAGAAGAATTAAAACGCAAGGCATACTGCTAATATTATAATGAGCACAAAAGTAAAGAATCTGATATTTAATTGAAACAAAATTGCATTTATTTGAGAAGCTTTGATCAAGCATTAAGCTAATTTTTGACCGTTTATACTTGCCAAACGATGGCCACTACTCTCAACATTATAGTACTATGTACTTCACGTCTGTAAAGGGAACAATAATAAATAAGGTTGAACGTGAGTAAGCTTCACTGTCGATAATCGACTGATTATCGAGCTCCCAGGTTAGATAATTGTACTATATAAGGCGTAAATTTTGCCTAAGTAAGTGACTAGCAGTACGGCACCTGCCTAATCCGAAGTCATGATTTGGACGTAACAAATCAGAATGTTTTGCCAGATGTATATACAGTCAATAATGATCACAATGACAATGCGAGTAGCCTATGTCGTAATTAGTGATGCGTAGGGAATTTAAGAAAAGAACATAAATTTGATTTCATAAATCAAGCCACAAAAATTAAACAAACCTTGACTTCGAGCGCAGCTTTTCATTTGACAACACAATGTAATATAAAAGGGTAATGGACATTTGGCGTTTGTTTCACGATGACGTTGGCTATGTACTTCTGATATTAAGAGTCTTACTCGCTTAAATTATTTACTTAATTAAATTAAGTTTGACCTGTCTGGTCAAAGTTGAGCGTCTTTAAACACAGACATAACTTTTAAGCTAGAAAAAAAGTAAACAATTGTCACACTTTTTCAAGGTGCTGTAAAGGCTCCTGAATGATCGTATGTTTAGCGTTTGCATCATCATACCTAATTTCGTTATATATTTATCCCTAGAGAGTCACATTTATGGAGTGTAAAACATCAATTGCTCAGGACATTGTGGCCTAAATGGTTATAAGTAAGCAGAAATACATGGGCCGATTTCGTTAAGGGAAATAAACAAGAACCTGACGGGGCGGGGCGGGGGGGGGGGTCTTGTTTAGATGCCTATCTTATCGATATTTTACTCTCAAAATTTCTTTGGCGAAAAGTACTATACACGTTTATTAATCAGTTCACGAACAACCACCAAAGTTGAACAAAGAATAGAAAAACTATCATTAAGGATATATCGAACTGCTATAACTATCGTATATCTAATAATTTAGGGCCAGAAATAAACAATGCTATTCAATTAAATAAAAGGTTTTACTTTTCCATCCAAGTTTGTGGAACGTCGCGCGAAAACTATGGTAGCTTGAAAGCTCGCAATTTCGGTCGAAATAGCGATAAAATTGTTTAGTTGTAGTCAATGTCGGTTGCGGCCAATCATAAGAAGGACGCCTCCCGTGCTGATTATCCAAATAATATTATAGGTAGCGTGTCGGGTTATTAGGTACATGTGACCAGACCACAGGTATTTTAATATGGCTGCTTCTATGCCAAAACAGGTCTCCCCATAACACGATTTTCATAGTGGACCATGTAAGACTGCACAGGTTTTTAGAATCGACTTCAGTACATATAGTCTACAGCTCTGCTAAAAATTAATAAAACAAATATATGACTATACGATATATGTAAGATTTATGATTTGTTTCTGTTCAGATGATGTCGTCGCGTCCGATGACTTTGTACCGATTCCCGATTTCCAAGTTTATGCGGACCACATATAAACTAGAGCTGTATATATGTATATATATATATATATATATATATATATATATATATACATATATACAGGTTCCACAAGCAGCTGTGTCAGCGTGTTATGTTGAGTTACTGTTTAGAAAAAAAAACTTTGGTATCATGACTATTGTCAATTTCAGTCTTGACTCTTTTTTTGCAATGCGCAGATAAGCCACACAACTCATTAGGGTAAATTTTGGTCATTTTTTAGTGAAAAGCAACTATTGTTTAGCGCTCGTTGCTGACGAATTACCCAGCTGAATTCATTGCCCTTTCTATTGATGGATTATTAGTGTCTGAATAATTATGTAAAAGCGTAACAACGTTGTTCTTCAGATCTCTTTACAAGCCCAATAACATTTAACATATAGCTGATGTAAGAGCGTACGTATACGGTAAGTTACGTTGGTAACTAACTAGGATAGGTTAGTAACGAACTAACTTAAAAGTTACTCATACGACGTACGTGCACATATACGAGTAAGTGTGTATGATTAACTAGCAGAATATTGCGCTATGTACTTACCGCTACCTGTTCTTCTATTAATATCGACTTTTACACAAATTTACTTGGAAGAAAAGTATCGATCCGGCATTCCTACTCAACAGAGAGTTGCGCTTTGTCATTATCGTTCTTATTCGCTGGCTCGGCGACCAGCTTCTAGTAGCAATAGCGATAGCCATTTTAAATGCCTTTGCAAACTTACGGGATGTTTCGTACGTTAGAAAGTTACTCGCTAGATTTAGAAAAACTGAAGAAGAAACCCTACTTCCTAAAAGGTAAATATGAAAAAATTACCAGGTCGACCAATCAAGACCATAACATGTATTTCATAGAAGTAAGCTCAAAGAAATCCGTTGGAAAGACAAAATAAAGATCGCCTTATAAAAAAAAAATCGTTTTTAGAGAACACAGAAGCTTCCCAACTAGACAAAGGTTTGAAAATAGCTTACGAACCTCGTTTGGCGATGGCATCGATATATTCATGTACCACTAAAAGGCTGGATCTAAGTGTTGGTATGCTCCGCTACTGATTGTTCCATGTATAACTACTATCATTACATTTGCATAGTCGCGTAATAAGCAGTTGTCTCGGGGAACCCGTGTTGAAGGTTGGTAGAAAAAAGAAAAGAAACTAGATAATCATCGTCCTTTGGTTAACATATGATAGTATGGCATATTACTTCGGAGAACGCGAACAGATATGTGTTACGCAGTAACATAACATTTATTTCGATTTTATGAACTAGGCAGAAGTCAACTGAGAAGAAGAAACGTTTTACCTACATAGGCGTACGCAGCCAGCCGGATGAAAACAGACGTATTTAAGCATTACAACTATAAAATAGATGTAACGAATCTGATTAATATTTTTTCTGTCGGAAGTGTACTTCTTTTTTTTTTTTGGAAATAATTACTTTAAATGCAGGCTTTCCGCGTAAATATCTTTACCTCCTCATATAAACAAAAAAACAGCCAGTGCAGCACTTTAACGTAAGCTATTATCAACATCTTTGTACGTAGGGCTGTTCGACTAAGACCAAAGAGAGAACTGTATTTACTGAAGTCAGAATATCTCAATGCCCGTAGAATGGTATTAGCGGTAATCGTACGTTTGTTTGTTTGTTTAGCGAAATGTAAAGAACCTAGTTATGTTCAGCTTAATAATACAATCAGTGTAATTATTTGTTCTTAGAGCAGTTAACGTGACTGCTTACCATTACGGCGGACCGGGTTCCACTTGTATATAGCGTGCTGTTTATAATGAACAATGTTTAGGGGTAGGTCACGAATACCCAGCTAGTGAAATGACTTGAAGTCCACGCAGCGGATGCTAAGGAAATCATCCCTTAGGTGGCTTGTATTGTGTAACATAAAAAAAAATGGAGGCCAACTAGAAACTTTCATGGTAAATCGTTGAAACTCTTTATTTTTGTAAATACATGTACAATGCACAACAGCAAACGGGAGGCGCTCGATAAACTGGTAAGTTATCTCTATTTTCAAAGCAAAGTGCTTTGAATATTGATAACTTGTGTACCAACCCAAAGAATATTTGGCTAATCGTTTTGTTACGGTCAACCGGCGTTGACCATAAGAGGCAGGATTAGTTTAAAAAATGTGGAGTTGTGAAGATGTTTAAGTTTGTCTTCAATAAACAGCGAGTATAACATTTAAAAACAGTAAGGTAAGTTAATGACCTTAAACCAAGTATTATGTATATTTTAAAGGGTTGCCGCTAATACCAATAGAAGCATACATTTCTACTATATCTCTAAATTTACGAGATTAGCTTAAGAACTCAATCCATATCTGGAGGAAAAATGGCGAGAATCTTGCAGACATGATAGAGACCTAAATACTGTGAAAGCAGTAAACACTAAAAGCACGTGTCAAATCATCAAGTTGTCTGTCAAAGCTTCTAATAGTTCCACCCGTTAGAAAAGAGGTTAGGAGAAGATCGTATTTTGGAAAGCCAGGGAAACAAAGTCGCATTTAATAGCGACTGCGCATGATACGGGTTCTTCTTCCGTCTTTTCTACGCCCACTTTATTACACGTTTACAAGCTGTTTGTGAATACTGACATATTTGGTTTGGGTGATTGTTTGATTATCCAATATTTGTCGAAAGGTACTGTGACGCATCTTAATAAAAAAAAGGTATTGAACGAAGCATCTATTCGAGCTAGGAATGGACGTTTCTCGCAGAGAAAACGAAGCCGAGCTACAAAATTTGTAAGGTCTAGGGTTTCCTGGACGTTCGTTAAGAAACAAAATCATTCAAATTGTCAGATTTTTAATTGTCACCGCAGATAGGAATAGTAGAAAGCTTCAGAAAAACTTCAGGCTGCAGTAATGACAGACAACCCAATACCAAAGCTCGCTATCTCACGACAAACGTCAAAAGAAATAATATGCACCGCCAATAAAACAGAAGAACAAGTTGATAGCCCGGAAGTTACTAAGTTTCGTGTTCAAGTCGATGACAGAACGTTTTTAAAGAGCTTAGCTTCGGATTGGGCCAAAAGCGGTGCGCAGACTGAGCTGCTAAGCGCAGATGATGACTGTAGTGATCGGCATCGAGGTCCCTTTCACTGTGTACATAAACATGGACAAGGGCCAAAACCAACATTGGTTGCTGGAACGTGGCAACACGGGACTGTCCATTGGATCAGTAGAGCGTCCATGAGATCTCTTCAAATGGCCGCAGCAAGCCAGCCAAGAGAGGACTATTCGAATCAAACTACAAGAACATATACCGTGATGAAACAATCCCCTCGATTAGACACTGATGGAGGTATTTGATGTTCTTTTTAACGATCCTGCTTCGTACATTAGCAGAATTACATGACCACCGTATCACCATTTTAGCTAATAAAGTGCCATCCAAAATTCGAATCGTGAACCAGCTCTAGCTGCCCGACAGACTGCAGAAATCAATGGATGCAGACGGACAACGCAAACGTTTGTGAATAGTTTTATAGTTTCTTTTGAGATGACCAATATATAATTGTAATTGTGCCAGAACTTCGTGTTCTGTAGCTAAAGAGAGTGAAGGTGTTTTATTTGTATCGAAGTTCACTGAAATTAAACCAGTTTGAAACGTAAACGGACGTTCTTACTGTCTTGTCCCTTATTATTTCACACTCAGAGCGCTATTATTGATCCACAGTATATGAAAATGCTTAGTAAGTGAAAACTCGCACTAGAATCTTCTAAAAGCCCATAGTGCCACTCCCGAGACGGCTTTCCACAAGGGAACTACCGTAGCAAAATTAACACGCATATAGGTATGTAGTGTGACATTTTGCGATACGAAGAAATCAATGAAATCTAATAGCACAAGCTGGCTAATGATCATAAACATTCATGCCCATCACCCCATTCGACACCCACGGCTAACACAAAAAGCGCTTCATACCTATAAATAGGTTGAGGCACTTTACTAACGTACACTTGAAGTAATAGGTGTACGTGAACGGCTGTAATTTAGGACGGGTTTATGCACAACACATTTGTAATAGAGACAGCTCAATACCATCGTCAAACTATTCCCATACTACTATATTGTCAGGTCATGGCGTTCTAGGTTTAAGGTGCAATAGCTGTCATTTAAATGGTTTTTGACTATCAGATTGCCCCGTACTATGCGTAGAAACTGTGTTGACGATGCCCCCGTGACAATTTTGCTGCAAAATTATTTCCGTTACATATCATGACTAAATCCTGAACTGTCCACGAATTTTTAGACTGCATTTGTATATGTAGATAGTTTCAATAAACATATAACAGTAGATTTTACCATATGAATAGAAATAAGTCCGTGAGAGTTGACCTTGTGCCTTTCAGACGTGCGAGGTGAATACGGAACGTCATATTCCACGGGTCCCGTTGTTCGAGACGAGGATACAACAGACGGTAATAGTTCCCAACTACTACTCCCTATGTTAGATTAGTATAGCCTATATTCGTTTATAATTGTATGATACAAAAAAGTGGAAACACTACGGAAAAACTACGGTCAAACACATTTATGAAGTAGTGCTATACAGATGTACAAAAAATACAGTATTATAAATATTAAACAAATGCAACCTACATAAAAAAAGACATAACAGATGTTTCTGCGGATAAATGGATACAATGTACGTTGATCATGCGTTTCTACCTCTGCGATGAAAGCTGCACTGAAGTAGTAGTAACAATACAACTTATAAACATTTCCTGAAATCTAAGGACCAATAATATCCAAGAGTAGAATTTAAAGCTTGTGTAAGATGAAAATAGGTACGTTTCATGAGGAAAGAATGCGTCCCAAACGTGGCGCTGCTTTGTGGTATGGGAATATGGCGATTTGTGAAATGGACATGGATTTCGAAAACATAGTTTCCAACGGTATGGCCCCTTTTTGTAGCATACGGCTCAAAATAATAGCATTTCCACGAGATATGTCTCAATATTGTTATCATACGATTCAGTTTGGGCGACCCAGTTAGCCGTCTAGATTGTACGATTCAAAATCTTTAGACCACTTCAGTTGGGTTTTAATGAAGTTTGTACAATGGGCCTAGGATCTCTCACGCTTTTAAAGAGAAAATAACTCTGAGATCTACCTACAATCATGTCAGATCGTGAATAAAAAAAAACAAATGTGTCAGGAAAGCTAAAATGATCATTACCAGATGTGTTACATTATGCATAATCTGCCAATAACTACCACGCTATGAGATCTAGCTTTCGTTATTAAAGCAAAAAAAACGTTATCTGTAATTAAAATGGGGCGCTCTATATAATGTGGTCTTGGTTAGCGGGTCTAAAACTTCTTCATTTATCACGATGATCACATTTTGTTAGCTCTATTTATTATGGGAGAATTATTAAACTATGGTATCGCTACTTGATTATATCATTTCCTTCTACGAGTACTATGTTTGATTCTCCCGTCCGACATGTCTGTGATAAATTTTTAAAGTCAAGAGCATTATGTTCTTCCGAAACAACGCTTATACAAAGGTCAAGTTTTAAAAAATACTGAACGTTGCGTTGCTGGGTTAACATTTACGATATATTCCGAGTTGCATGGACTGGTCCTTCAATATGTTATGTGAAACGCTTAACGAATAATTTTAGATTTAAGCTACCGGTGTCAATGCGGTTGCTCGGACAGTAGCAGCTAAATGAGAAAGAACAGAGATTGTTACTAACACCCCGTTATTGATACGTACTACGCGACCTGTGTGAATATAGATGGTTACTAAGTTATTAGTAACTTTATATTTATTCCTTTGTATCTCATTGAGTAAAACAACAAGAGACGCTTAGCCTAATGCACGCTGTCGACATTAAACGTGCGCCCTTTCTTCTTGTATTGAAAACATATTGGAACTACCAACAACTACCCCATCTCCAGAAAATAGAGTTAACCTGGTCCTAACTGGTTGTGTCAATGATAGATCTCACAGTTTGCTCTATCACCGTCGGTCCCAGCTGCTCAATTGAAAACTCTAACAAAGCACACATACTGTTGAAGGTCATAAAAGGTGTTACCATTCAACCTGCAACCGGTATCATTGCCACAGGATGAAGAACGCAACTGCTCTTTTTTTGCCAGAGCCTGCGATTAAAACATTTAGTAAACAGAAAAACAAACGCAGTTAAATACTAGATTTATTAAGCTAACAGACGCGTCAGCAACACCACGTGTATAGTTTCCTCTGAAGGTTATCCGAAGCATCGTGCTGCGTTTCGGAGCCGTTCGGGTCGGCCGTTCGTAACAAAGGCCTTGCCGGAAAACTACTGGCCTGATTCGTAATGTTCCGTTTCAGGTTTCTGGAAAAAGCAGCAGTCGGTGACATAATTTCTATTGTGGTGAACAATCCTCTTGATCCTCAGCAAGATGGTTTAACTTTATGTCGATCGATTGCTATCTGAACTTGGGAGTTCGTCAAGCTTGAGCTGCGACTACGCTGTACGCTGACCTGGTAGGGTGGATCTCTAGCTCCCCTGCGCAAAACCTAATTGTTAAGTACTGGGTTAAGAATGATATTTTAATGAAAAATTTCTCACTTTACAGTTAAAATGGGAATTACCCGTTCTGAAATGCGATTTTACGCCAAGTCCGAAGACACCTAGGGGTAGTGCTTAAGGCTTTCAATGTATATTAGCTTTCGGCTTGATTTTGGACACGTACCAAGTATCCTAAATGTTACCCATATGATATACGCAGATATAAGTATAAGCCTAAGTTAGACAACCATGAAGCCTATTTTTAACTGGAGTAAGTAGAATCATCTTTTGTGACACTTAAGGTTGCGTGTGATAGATACCACGTATGATCGCAACGACTTCGGTTTGGTATAAGATCAATTAGCTTTTACGTATACTGCAAGCGAAAACATCGAAAATGAGTTGTTCAAATTATATAGTATTGTCTATTAAATATGTAGCTGTGGATATTCCTTTGCATGAATTGCTTTCATATTTTTGTTTGGATAACGTCACTATATGGAAGGTATACGACCCCTGCGATTGGTACAAAAAGGGTCTCAAATGCACACTCTGACATTGCAGTATAGCTCACAAATCAGCCACACTCACAACTATGCAGAAACGTGACAGATACGTCTGTTCACAAGTATCTAACAAAGTACAAAACAATTACACTTTTTATAGATGTAAGATGAAAAAAGTCGGTAGCGTATACACAGACGCCAAACGTAGCGCACTGCACGCATAATACGTGAACGCTGCCTTAGCATTTGGTAAACTGCGTCGCCTCTTATAGGATAGATAAGTTTTGGATTTTAGTTCATATATATACCTACTTAATAATTGCTGCCTATTTTAATTAAAAGTATATTGTAAAATGTACATCACTACACCGTGTATCTACTATGACGGCCGTTTATGTAGTTGTCTTTTTCTGTTTGTCACTTGCTCTAGGTTAATTTCAAATTTGTACGCAGAATGGGAGATCTGATGTCAGTGAAGGTTCTTCATTACGTCTGTCAGTGCTGAGGAAATTTCTAACTCGAGATCTTGTATAAGCGAACGATCGATTCTTAGAACATGAATTTATAATACGATTCGAACGAACATTGCAGTATACTTTTAAATCAACGTAATTCATAAAGAAAAATCTTAGTTCTCGTACTGTAAGTACAATGGACACAAATAGGACATGTGGAATTTGCGTTTGCGTTTTTCTTAGGCGGCTATGTTTCAAGAGGCTCGAGTACAACTCGGTATTCGCCTACTCGACCAATGGGAGCACGTTTAGTCCCATCAAGAATTGGTATGAACTATATTTCCATTTGTTTGGGTTAGGGAGTTAGCTATATAATTCTTTCGAAGGCTCTGTAACCGTACATGACAATGATAATAGGACTATAACGATTAGACTTGTGCGCAAGAGCACACGCAACAGATTCTATCCGCACAATTTTAGCAATAGTTGGTAATATGGCTAGTGAAATATTAAATATTAATATGAGATTGAACATCGCGAGGGGAATTTTACGATCTTAGAAAGGTCCCACTCTAATTATAGAAGTGTTTTCACTTTTAATCTACAACCTATAACTAATGAAAACTTTTTAGGTGGAAAGAGGTATAAACCTAAAACCTACGGCGCTACGCGTAGATCACAATTTCCATCCGAAGCTTCTGCCAAGCGTCCCGAGTTTGGTATGCCTTATTTGTTCTTTCTATAACTTTATCACGAAGTAAGCTTTTTTCGATTCCAAGATTAATTGCGGTAAGTGGAGTTTGAATAACAACTAGCCACTCATCTCACCTGAGCTTAAAGGTTTCAATTTACTCAAAATAGCGACTTTTAAAGGTTTAGTGATAGAGTCTGTCAGCGAAACTATCTTTACTCAGGTACTAAGATAAAATCGTAAAGGGTTATAAAATTTTAGGTAAACAAAATTGCTGATGGGGAAAAATGGTCTGGACATCTACGAAGATGTCTCTGTAATTGTTGGCTTGTCAACGAACTTCATTCGTTACCATCGTTCAAGTTACCTCCTGTATCCAAACAGTCCTGAAGCATAACCGGAATGATCGGGGTTCTGCTGTCATCTCTTTCAAATAAATAGTATTGAACATTTATTAATCATCAGATTTTCCGATACAAATATATATATATATATATATATTTGTATAACTAATCTAACAGCCTCTCTAATGATAATATGCGATTCTGAATGAACAGGGAGGCCACCTAAAAAACAGATAAAAAAGAAGACTACCATTCCTGCGAGTGATCCACAACAACATTTAGAACAAACCGGAGTGCCAGACATAGGTCCAGATACAAATGGGGAAACAGATCTTCGAGGAAAAGGGATCATAGAGGCAAAAATTGACCAATCAACAAAACTAAAGACAGCAACAAAGTCTGGAAAGATCCATAAAATAACAATAACTAAACAAAGATTGGGAGACTCATATTCTTTGGATGAGGGTGTCAGAAAATTGGAAAAGAAGGCATATAATTATTATAAACGGTTACCAAAAGCAGGAAAGAATCAAACATTAAGTAATTCTGACAATTTATCTAATGAACCACATGCGGAAATGTCCTACGAGAAGGGCAGAAGAAAATCAAGGCGTAAAATGCCGTCTCTTAGAACTTGTTTTTCCCAAGGTTCAAGCGTGTCAATGAACACGCAAGGAGGGTTTAAAGCTGTTCGCTCGAAAGATTCTAGTGAATTATCGTCACCGATGGACTCGACGAAAACTAAGCAATCCACTGCGAGCTCAAGAACATCAAAAAGTGGCTCAGGAGAGCTGTTGTTGTTAACTGGTTCAGGCATACTGCGAAAGACCGCAAGTGTACTGACTGATGAGGAATCAACAGTCACCAAAGACCCTTCGAAGTCCCGGTTGCGCCGGCTGCCGACGCGGCAAGCAGAATCGGAAGGCATTTTTTCTGGTTCTGGCGCCTCATATATAAAGCCGCAAGTGAGTGTAACAACGAAATCCGCTGGAAGTGAAACCGACCAAAGCGTGTCTTTCCTTTCAGAATCGGGCGCTTGTAATTCTCTTTCTAATAATGGTGTTAAAGACGTTAGATCTGAACATACTCTTTCCTCGGAACATACTAATAAAAGCACATTTGCTCGTGAGGTTAGTAGAGAATGGAAAAAAAGTCAAGATCAGATATCAAATGTTTCAGCTGAAAACGAACAATCGAAATCCACCAATAATGCCATGGCCGACACTTCCTGTAGATGTCAACTTTATCGTAGAGACCAGGTAGGGTGGAGGCATGTCCAAGTACGTGCGTGGTGGGTTATCCTGCTTCTCCTAATCCTTGCTGTTTTACATACTAAACTACTGTTTCGTACAGAAGAGATGATAAAGATTCGCCACAAACGAAAATGGTACGAGTTGTAAAGATGTCAACTTTCGCTACAAGAGCATCCATTAGGACGACGGACCTGATCTACGTTCAAAGTCGTGTTGTTAAAACTACAGAACATGGAAGCACTGCGAATAATCTAACCTTTTGCGCAGATATATGAACAAAAATAGCTTTCAATGGGCTGTATGTCGGCGTCTTCTATTTTAATTATTCGAGCTCTCTCGAAATTCAAATAACGCCTGTAGCATCGAGGAGTGATCTGTCGCAATGAAGTGGTTATTACACCTGTAATTTTGTTATTGTGTAGAACTTCTTTTTGACTTCTACTTGTCTTGGATTCTTTGTTTAGTAATCATAGGACAATATCTTCTCAGTAATGCGCGATTTAAGTTATCGTATCTGTCAAGATCAAATGTTAAACGTCTATTTGCCTTTTAGCGAAATCAAAAGAACGCTGGTCATATGTCGGTGTTATCACTCAAAGGAACAACATATCGTCCTTAAGTTAAAAAAGTTACCCACGCTTTAATAAGCCGTACCATTTATTTAAAGGGTATCTTTTTTTTCGGACGAAGACAGGTATGTGCGTCTGTGAACAATCCTCAGCTATACTGCGCATTCAACTTATTTTGCATGTATATACATAATTGTACTTTGAAATGATGCAGGCAAGCATATGACCATCAAACAAAACTCCAAAGCTCTGGATGCATTAGCGAGAGAGATTACATGTCCAGTTATCTCAAATGGGTTAGTGTATTAAAATAGCTCGAATGTGAACATAAGCAACAGTTATAGATCTGACACAGCTTCAATGGCGGCATGTTTGCTCATAAGCGGCAGGACACAAGCGAGGCGCTAGGCCAAATAAGGGGTAGCCGTCTATACTGTGCCCTATGATAGTCCGAACGTGAAACTCGAACCACTTAGGAACCCTGCCTGTGATAGAAAACGACCTATTTAATTGTACTAATGAGTTGGCGAAACTTAGAACAGTACGACGCTTAAAAGACTCTAATTACGAGTTAGGCTGCCTATCGATACTGCCGTTTATAATTATTACCTCTGCTACGAACAAACAGAACGCACAAACTCTTTTGGAGCTGCCAGTGAATACGCTTGTCAGCGACCGTCTTCATACACTCGGGTTTATTGGAAGCCCCGAAGAAAATAATTTCTCAGTAATATAGTTTAACTGAATAATAACGACTCTTATCATTTGTCACGGATTGTAAGTGCTCAACATCCGCAAAATTGAAACGCCATTAACTACTAGTTTTAAAACGCAAGTGAGCGATCCGCGAGCTTGTAGGTGGGAGTTCGGGCCTGCCAATTTATCATAGCGCTCAAATTCTAAGCTTGAAAGAGATTACTTTTTATGTTAGCATATTTTTAGTACGGCTATATTATTACAAGCTAACTTGCTTATTTGCTTTGCGTCTGGCGGTCTTTACACTAAATAATGTAAATATTTTTGGGTTGCAAACGTATTCAATCAATTAATCTCTGCGGCTGTCGTAAACATAAAAGTTGGATGGATAGACTTCACGGGACTACATACATGTCTACCTCAAGCGCCGTTGTAATATATCTTAGCGTATGAAAAAACGAAGATTACTTATAAATTTCAATAACAAAACCTGAGGCTTTGGACTGATGGCTTTCACTTATTTTGTTATACACTATGGAAATACTATGTATAAGTAGTCTTTAAGCCTAGAGCCTAGCTTGAAGCGTGAAGTTGCCGTCTGTTCATTTATGTTAATCAGTTGTAAACTAGACGTTCAAGCAGACCGATCGGGAGGACCTAGAAATCATCGAAGCTTCAAAACAGCATCGTGCTACTTTTTTAAAGATATTTCGTATCGAGGAACGCGCATACAACAAGGCTATCAGCGTATGCTATTTATTTTCGAAAGGTGTACACCTAGCAAAAGCAAAGGTAATTCTACGACAAGACGCTTTTCCAGCACCTCTCAATGCACTACTACTTGATTTACATGTGAGACAGCAACAGGTATGGTGTCCCAAAAGTTCACCTTTCTGGTTTAATTTTTTTTTACGTGATTGATGCTTTAATTGCCCTCGTCGAAGTAGACACATTAATTTACCCCCTTACATATGCTTCGGTAGTTAGAACCGTGAATATACCGGCAGGCGAAATTACAACGAAGAGCATTAAGGGGCTCAAATCAAACATGGTGTTCGGTTAGTTTACAACGAGAGTGATCGCATCTCGCAAAAGTATCGCAAAAGTATCTTGTTTCTCACGTAGTAACAATTGCAAACCTGGGCCTTCCTTTACCTGCAGAATACCTTGAACAAGACCTAACTAACCACCGTAAAAGGAACATAGCTTTTAAATTATGCTATCTACTGCCGCACGATTTATAAGATCCTTGCATCCTCTGCTAAGCGAAATGCCCACAACCAAAACTTATCTAACTTTGCTTTATACAACTATATATATAGAACCTGTACCAACGGCTGACCATGCCACATGAGACAAATTTGCGTGACACACTGAGGGTGGTGGACCGCAAAGCGGCGGCGATATCTAGGGATATCGACGAGAACCTAAACATCAACGGAATTGATCTGCCGATTACTAGACCTGTGGAGACAACAGGTTTTGTGGAACTAAGGAATGACGAGTCCGTCCGAAAGATGCTTAGAGTCTGCAAACATATTGCAATCGATAAAAGTGACCACGCTAGCCCAGGCAATGCGGAATCGTCAACTACAAACGAGATAAAGTCTCCAATAAGGCAGACACAAATGCAGTCACAAACGACACATTCAGGTTTGATGGTCGATACAAATGAAATGACTAAACCGTTGCAAAAGGACAAAGTCTCTCCTAATTCTAATGATCGGACGATACCCACTGCACCTGGCGTAGCTTCGGTAGACAGCGACGGTTTGTTGCCAACGAAAATGTCTGCAATATATCCTTCCGCGTTAATCTATCCTCGTAGGCGATCCACAAAAAGAGTTCGTCGATCAACGAAAAAGCAACTGACAAGGACCAGATGTGCGGTGATTCCTGAAGACTTTAAATTATGGGCGATAGCAGCCTTCATGTTATTATTTCTCTGCCATGCCTGGCTGTGGTACTGCGCCTTCGAAGTTGCCGGTTCCGAGTTTCCCCGTAAAACCTAGTGGCATTTTAACACTCTTGATTCAGTTACTTGCAACTACAACAGAAAGAAATCAAAATCGTATGCGCCGATGATCGACAACAATTTCTTTTATTAAGTTTTTTAGTCTGGTTTCGGTACGTCTGTTTATATACTTGTATGTAAATACTTGTTTATGCAAATATGTACTTAAATAAAAATTAACTGGCTGTGACCATTTAGACACAGTACTGACGGATGTAGCGCAAGGAAGCACCGGCTGAGCAACAACAATAAAATCTAATTTTGAAATCTGTTTACATAGGATTTACAGGGTTATTAACTCTAGTTTACATCAAAAAAGCACAACTGTTCTATGCTGTATGATCCATTATCGATACCGCCACAAACCTCATCTCTTATTAACTCTAGTTTACATCAAAAAAGCACAACTCTTCTATGCCGTATAATCCATTTACCGATACCGCCACAAACCTCAGCTCACTTTATTAAAAACGTATTGAATTGAACAATATAGTATGGAGAAACAAGTGTACTATTAAATCGAAACACTCAATCAAATGATAAATTGTATCCTAGCGAAATACTTCTCTGCCAGTAAAATCTTGCTAAATAATAAAATAAAAAAATAAATAAAAAAACTTGCTGCTCAAACTAGACGACCTGTTAAGGAAACGGCTCTAAGAGCTTAATAAATGAAAACTAACGATATTAGCCCACCAATGCAGAAGTTCCGTTTTCAAAAGTCCCTGTTGCTGACCCTCTCATCAATGCCTAAAAAAATTGACCGGAAGTATTTACCAGTGCATACTATCCAACTCAGTCTATTCAGTAACAGGGGCAGCATAAAAATAAGGTTGGTTATATTAGCTCATCTTTAATCAATGGAACGTTTATGGATCCCTTCTCAACCTATTAAATTTGAATTAGCGAATCTTTTCAAGACAGGACTCATCGCAACATGGTTAAAGTTGTGCATTTAACGCATGACGCGAAAATAACTATAATTACGCATACATCTAAAACAATAGCTAGCTATTATTACCATTACTTTTCATATTACATCATTGTTATTACGATAAATTGTTTTTATATCATTAGTTTTATACCATTAGTGATAGTTGAACAGCTTAACATATAAATATTTTAACCTCGAAACATACAAATGTATATAGTTTTTTCTAGTAGTTAATATTTCAGTTCTTTGGACGTTTTACTAACCAAAAAGTATGCGTTGTATCTGTCACCATTAAAAAGTAATTGATACATTGCTGAATTCTGCGCTGAAATTTCTTATGTAACACTGATTTCCTCAACGCTGATTTCCTCTCCACATTAATAACACAGTTTTGGGAAGCTTTCGGGACCTATCCCTCTACGTACTCACTTGTTAGAACCCTTTCATTGTACAGTTCGCCCGTATTTTGCATTGACGTTGCCTGGACTTAGGTACAGCAGCTACTACCTTTGCTGTTGACTAGCGAACATACGTAGCAGCCACCATTATAAGCGCTCCCAGGGCAGGCAGTGTTCATCTCACAGGGTCCTCGGTAGTTTGCTGAATTCGAGAACAGGTGCACATAGCTCGAGCTGTACGGCCGTTTCGAGACATTCGCTGGCTTCGAATGGCGTGCCTGATTCTTGCAGGATACGTCCAAGGTAGAACCAGGTCGTTGGCGACATTGGCTCGATAAGAGCGGCACTCTGTAGCGTCGCCTCAGCTAGTTGATGGCTTCCTAGTTGATGGTAGACAAGACCAAGATGTTGGAGTGCCGTTACACTGTGAGGTCGTACGGCTAGAGAGCCCTCAAGGGCATCCCGCGCCGATAGCCATTCGCCACGAGCCTCGTGCAGTAGACCGCGTACCAAAAGGACGTGTGGCGAGAGCGGTATTACATTTGAGGCTTCGGATATCGACTGTTCCGCTTCAGGAAAATGTGCCATCTTGATGTACAGTCGTGCTGTCAACAACCACACATGCATTTGCATCTGAAGTAGTGTTAACTCGTCCACGTGCACCCGTCGGCCACACGGGGTTAGGCGTGCCAGTGTTTCGCTAAGTGAACGATCAAGACGGGTCATGAGACTTCCATCGCCGTCGCCATCACGTTCATGCCACGGGCCACCGCCCCACTGACCACTACCGACCACCGAGGCACGGCCCGAATGGGCATGGGCAACCGGCACGATTCCTAGTTGAGAACTGGTTCCGATGGCGGGTGGGGCAAGCCCATTGGCTTGAGTGGCCTGCTTCACCTTGAGGTAGTTCTCGTATAACACTTTCCACTGCTTGAGCATTTCGCCAGCAGTGTGTAGAGCCTTCTGTGGACCCTCAAGATAATCCTCAAGATATACCTTAAGATATAAGAGGTTTAAATTATTGGGATACTCCTCAAGAGTGAGCTGCACCAATTCTAAAGCTTCTTCGTGCTTCTTTTGGGCTGTGAGAAGGACGATGAGAAGTTGCACACCAGGGAAGAAATCTGGTGCTAAACACAATGCCCGCTTCGCACATACCATAGCAGCATCAATTTGGTGTAAATTAGCATAGTGAAGACTCATTAAATACTCGGCCTGTGGATAGTCTGGATCGACCTGTCTTGCCTGTACCAGAGCCTTGAATGCCATTATGCGTTGTTGCTCTTTTGTGCGGATGCACGCTGCTTCGTCGGCCAATGCTTCGTGACACAAAGCCTGAAGGGTGTAGCACACCACAAGAATGTCACTATCAGGTATTACTTTCTCTCGTGAACTTGCTTCCTCTACGAGCCTTAGTGCCTCCGGAGCATCGCAGAGATTAACGAGAGTAACTTTGGCCGCCAGTAGCAGATCAAAGCCATATTTTGGCCGTAGTTTAGCTGACTCGAGCAGCATCTGAACGCCTCGATAATGGGACCCTGCCGAAATGAGACACAGGCCGAACTGGTTCCATATATGGTATTCATCACATGAAAATTTTGCCACCTTCTCAAAGTTCTCGCACAGCAGGCCAAACTGCGCGTTGCGCGCTAGCGCTATTGAAAGGAGATCAAGAACCGCAGTAACGTTCTTAATCGATTGTGCCCTGTCCGAAGCTACATCGGCCGACCTGCAAAGACAAATTGAATATATTGCATATCCAAAAGATAGTGGTAAAGCAGGCAGCTAGATTGGTCAGTAAAATTGTTTGGGATAACTATATAATACCTGGATATATTATAAAATGAGAATCTTAAATAATGTATCAGATAAAGTAGTCTTAGTGACCTGTCGAGGACGACGTTGCGTACGGCGATCGCATCGGAGAGAGCTAGCAGGAGAAGAATCTCCTCAATGTGCTCCCGCGGAACATAAAGCGATCCGCCGCTATAGACCTGTGGCCGCCAGTATTTACCAGCTTTGGATCTCTCCAACTGTTGTTGACGTGGCTGAATCTGCTGCCACTCGTGTTCACTTACTCCTCGAAGGAGAACTTCAGCCAGCTGCAACGTATCATACAACGGAACGTAATACAAACAGCTATATATATATATATATATATATAATTAGAATGACCTATGTATATGTATTTAGCATATAAATTTTTATTTACTCCAACTGAACTACATGAGTTGCAATAAGAGACACACACGATTAACTCCAACTACTGCTACCAGCCATCACCCGTTCGAGTCACCATAAGGAGCAAATGCTTTGGGTACCCACGAAGTGTCCTTGTAGGTACGTATCGCTATATAGACCCATGACCTCCCATTATACAAACCTATACACAGGGGCATATTGTCGCAGATCGTTGGTTTAGTATTTCATCTCTATAAACTTCTTTATGTATACTTAGAGGAATTTCACCTGTCTGGCGAGTGTCATCCTGAGAGACTGTGTTGACGTCGTTTCCTGAGCACGTAACACTCCTCGATATTGTTCTACAGCTTCGCGGATCTGTCCCGATTTCATCATAAGAATAGGTGCGCGCTGTAGGGCTGTCTCAAGCAGGATGCCGATACGAAATTCGGTACTTCCTCCACCCACACCACCAAAAGCAGGAATTCCACCGGGGGTCAACTGGACAACTGCACCCTGGAGCCCCTGACTTTTCTCAACTACCTACAATTGATAAATAATACGAAAAAAAGTATGAAGTTTATGAACAAAACAAGAAACACAGGAGTTATTTGATAAGACATAAACGTGCATAAGTATAATTTCCTCGCCATTTAAACGATAAGCTACTCAATAAAATTTAAAGGCCCGCAGCACTTTCAATTATAAACCACTAGTGAATAGAAAGGCTCCTTAAAATAGCCTTGTAAATCATTGAACAAAGAAACATGTACACATTTTAATCAGGCATATGCACGACCAGTGATACCTAATTTCGCATATATATATTATCTCACATATGAACGTACCTGCAAGTATTTTAAGCCCATCTCGCCTGCCTGAATGTAGTGTTTGATAATCGTCTCCTTTTTAGCGAGCGAGTCCTTGGCCTGCTGTTCGAGACAGAGTCCTTTGACGGCAAAAGACTCGGCTAAAATCTTTAACATTCGCGCACCCAGAGGTCGTTCCTCCAGACGTTCGATCCCTCCCTACAAACAGATGCATCGACCCCGATATATATATATATATATGCAAAGTGCACAGTTTAAACCAAGACTTCCAACTGCCAGTTGTTTCTACGCCTATATCTGAACAAAGTCGGACATTTAAGTGATTTTTTTGGCATATGTAGCTAATGAAAAAAGTTTTCAGTTTAACACAAAAACAAGTAATTTGGATATCTTATTTTCAACGCAGTTTTTTTTTTTTTATGAGCCTTTACATTTTCGCCGCCAATGTTCCTATCACTTAAATCTCTTCGATATCAGAAAAAAGCCGCTAGGAGCCAGTTCTCGTAGGCACTGTACATGACTAATCAACCCAGATTTGTTTCCATTACGATTACTGGAAAATGAGACGGTATTTTGTCGTGGTAAAACACTTTTAAATGCGGCCGTTTTTCACAACGTCTGTCTTGCTTTTGTAAAAAAATGGTAGACAGCATGTGCCCGTTACTATTTTCCTGTTTTCAATCTGATTGATTAACACAACTCTATAACTGTCCCAGGTTCCTCTTTTTTAGGTGATACGCCTCAGTATGTCAACTTTGGCTGGCTTTCAAGCAAATTGTTGTGCATCCATGTTTCACTTCTAGTTATTAATCACTGCCGAAACTTCGAGGCAGTTCGTCTGAGCCACTTCAACCAGACTTTAAGAATGTTCATTCGAATGCTTCTTTAGTTGTCAATGAACAACTGCGATTAACTTTTCATGCCTAAATTTTCAGTCACCTTTCCAAATACTCACAACTTGTGCTATCGTTTGTACTTCGACAAATGTCTAATTTTTGCCATGCGATCGGTAGCGATTATAATTTTTGGCCGCATCACACGTTCATCAATAACCAAGGCACTATTATCGCATTTTCGAAACTCAACTATAACAAACTATGGTACAGAATCTCCGTAAACTACCCAGGTACCACTCTCGTGAACGTATTGCCTTTAAAATGTAAACATTTAACGTTTAATTTTCACAAACCTGTTACTGTTTATTAAAACAAACAACTATTGAGTAACGACTAAGTACCTAGAATAACTGAAGGTTTTCATAGGTATGGTTTAGCGCATATGCAATTATATCACCAAAATATTTTTGACAATTAACATCATTTCTAAGTTGAGACTGGAAACCAATGACGATGATCATGTTTATTCTATTCAATCTCCGTTCGTATTACTTTCATTTTAAATTCAGGATTTAAACCGCTCACAAGCTTATTTAAAATGTTCCCTCTTCGAAATCTGCAAATGCCTCGATAATAGAATTAAGCGAACATTATTCTGTTGGACCCTTTGGCACAACGCACGTTTCGTGCTCTTTTTTTTTTTAAATCACATACTATACATAGTAGTCAAATGGGTTTAAATCTAGGCCATTCGGCTATATCTCTATTTCAGAACATAGGCCTCGGCCGGGGATTTGCTTTCCCCGCAATAAACACATTCTCTAAATCGAAAACAAGCCAGCGATTGTTTTGTTGATTTTTGCATCGGTAAAACATTTGAAGATGACTGACTGTTCCACGCTTAATAGAAATGAGCGATTGACATTGTCCAAATCTCTCGGCTGTATTGTCCTTGAAAAAAAACCTGTCCAATTTTCATGACAAACGACGTGCACGTGAGATCTTCCTGTACGACTCGTGATATAGCAGCTCTTCTCAATTGAAATTTTTTCGCTAGCGACCTCATCGAAACAAAACAATCGTCATTATGCACGTTCGAATCGGATACTAACAAACCTTCACTTGAATTCCGATGATGAAGCACTACTTTCCGATATCGTTATTGGATTAACTACTATTATTACTAAGTATGTTTAAGTTATAGTCTATTTACATACAGGAAGATCTTCAGAATTCCAACTAGGCCTTTTAAAAATTCACGATTGCAATATCGAAACGTTATGGAGTCACGAACGGACTACCCGAAAATTAAACCTTGATACCTGATGAACAAGCACCTAAAAAGTCATTAAACAATTACTTGCCTGATCGAGATGCTCGAGCGCCTGTTCATATTGCCCTTGGGCATAACAGCATTTTGCCAGCAGGAAGCGTGCGTCTGTAGCTACGTTCGATTTTTCCGCATCGCTTTTGGTGCAATCCGACAGGTAACTACAATATCAAAAAGCAACAGCCCGAATGTCCACATAACCAAGTTGTGTCTTTAGAGGCTTTAACAAGCTAGGCGACTAAAAGCATAAAAGACGCAAATTCGTTTAAATGTAATGTTCCTACAAAATGAGTATCTCTGTTTAGAGACATAGTGCGCATAGAATGAAAACTTACCGTTTGGCCTCGGTGAGTGATGTTCGAGCTTTAGAGATATTATTCTCAACTGGAGGGTTCTCTTCCAGATACATTTCTAATTTCGCCTCGCCTGTAATGACATTATCACTATCTCAATATTGAAAACTGCATTTGACACACATACAGGTATGTTCCGAAATACAGGATACACTTTTGTAGAATTGTATTAATGTACAACTATAGTCGCAACTGTTAGAGCTATATGAACCAAAATTAGCTAAGCGGTACCGTTGAAAAAAAAATCGCTTGCACGGGTGAAGAAGGAATATATTTAGTGTGTTTGCCAATGACCCCCTCTGCCGTTGTGGCCTGAATAACAGCAAATCGTTAACGTTCATAAGATAATCAGTTAAAGACACACTGGTGCCACAGCTCAGGTTACTTTGACCCAAGGCAGAATCATACAGGCCATTAATAATTCTGTGCGAAGCAGTCAATTAAAGTGATTGGAACCTTGAGATATTGTCTTTATGATTCTTGGTCAATCGTTTGCCTCAGTGTTTTTGTAAAAACGACAATAACTGACGTATAAAAAAGCAGCACCTTTATTTGTACATCAATGAACCGAATATGGGTACTGCGAATGGTACTGATTCTGTCGGATATCTGAAGCAAGTGAGCCCATGTGGTTAAAGACGGAACTACTAAGATGATTCATGATTTTTGCCTCTTGTTCCATGCGGTAGGACGGCAACTGGCAACGGAGTCGCCTGTAACAGGGTTTCCATTTGCGAGAATAAATAGCTATCTCCCTAGATGAAACTACTTAGTGATGCGACGGTCACGGATTGTTATGAGTATCTGCTACTGGGAAAAGAATGCCGCCGTTTCCTGTAGTTAAGTTTTCCTTTAGTGAAGACATGCCTGCCTTTTGAAACCCTCTAGCAATATCTGCCACCACAGATGATGCCTTCCACGCACTTTTCCCAATACGACTACGTCATAGACTATCACCTTTCCATAGTAAGGAGCAACAATGTTCTTTCTGTTGGGCTGTAGAAAGCCGATTTTTTTTTGACTCGCAGACTGCCACATTTAGACGTTATGCCTTGTAACGATGTGAACGACATTTTTCAAAAACAACTTAATCACGCTAAAATTTGTATGTGTCTCACAGTTATCTGAAAATAACAGGTACGGCTTTCCAAAAAAACAGCGAATGTTGCGATAGATAGTTTAAGGCACTGTTTAAAACACGAACTTCCTTTAAGATTTATCAGAACGAGTTGACGAACCCTTGCCTTCCAGCGGGTACACCCATTACAACGTGTTTTTTAAAGTGCGCCCTGGATAAAACGCATAATACACGGTATATAGTCTTCCCAATTGCAGCTTAAAAAGCGAGTATTATAGCCAGGGCCCCGCACTCTTGCTAGGTTGAAAGCAAGTACGCCTACAAAGTTCATCACCGTAATGAATGACGTCTCATATAAATTAAAGATAGTGTAGGGAATAAAACCATATGGTTTTATCAAAGTTCTGCGACTATCAAAAAATTTTTGACCATACCTTGTTAAAATGCAAAAAACGTCTTTTCGAGTATTTGCGAGGAAAGCTGGTCCGTACGAGGAAAATTATGACTCAATTCACTTCTACACTATGGCCATAGTGTAGGCTACACTATAGGCTGCTAACCCTATAGTACGTCTATAGTTCAATTTTTCTGCTGATCGGTACGCACTCGGCTTCGCGTTGAGCATGGTACAAGGTTGCATGAACCTTGCGCATTGCAAAACGTATGCTGCTAATGGTATCCCTTGACATGCATCAGACACAAGCTACGAATGGACGAAGTTTGGAATACCAGCAGCCGCAGCGTCTTCTGTAGTCTTGAGTTATCGTTACAGTGTGATTGTACAAAACTCAATTACCCGCTTCGTTAACGGAAAGATCTCTAGAAGCAACAGCTGCAGCCGCTTTTAACGCGGTATCAGATTGGCGTTCTGCCTTTCTCGGCTTTTTTTGCGTGTACGCACCATTTTGAGACCACTGGTCGCGCTGACATTATCGTTGAGTCATACTAAATTATTACCGAGCTTATTTATGGATGTACGTACTAAAGACGATTCCAAGTTCCTCGTGAGACCATACACAGTCACCATTTATAAATATGTACTAAATTGACAAATAACCACTGGTTAAAAAAGATCTCTGATTACCAAATGACGTTCATAATATATATAGAATGACAGCATGAAGGAGGACGACCAGTTAGCGCCCGTCGGCTAAATATTTTGTGCATTTAATGGTGGCTAGACTGTACGCTACCTTTACCTCGGTTGTTCGTTACTTGTAGGCTGTGCTCAGACATAAAAGTCCATTATATCTGAATATGAATTTTGAGTCTAAAATTAAATGGGTCTGAATGTTTTTGAATCGAACCGATAGAAGCTGCAATAAAACTAACTTCTGCAACTTACCAATAAGCAGATTAGCGAGATGAGCTGAGTTGCCCATCGCACTCGCCCTCTGCCGCAATTGTTCCGCAGTCTCTTGCAACTTCCGCCAGTTCGACTCATCGCGGTATCGGTAAATTTCACTATCCAAACCTGAATAATGAAAACACAAATAACGACGTATTTTTGTATTTGCCAAATCACAGGAAGCAGTCATGTACAATGACTTTAAAGGAGAAGACAGGAAATAATAATTGACTAAATGCGTATATCAAACATGAAATAGCACAAGGTCTATCGGATAGTATTTCACCACTACTATAGAAATGTCAACATAACAATTTGTTAAAGAAACAAACTATCAAAAGTATTATAATATTGCACTGTACAAGAGGGCTAACAGGGTCAGACTTGGTGCTTTCAAGACTTGACCCACTAGCGGTATTAAAATGCCGAGTTACAATAATGTAAAACGATGTCAAACATCTTGCAAGTGTTTTGTTATACATAAACCTGTTATTATGAGGAATAGCTCAACACCTGAAGCAACCGGAATAGATGATACTTATATATCATTGATGATTATCACTCACTTAATCTAACAAAAATGAATAATTTCTGTTTCCGAAAAGATTGTTCTCCATGGTAAAGCTCCCATACTTGTCAGTGGTGGCAATTTTTTTTAGCGCATTAGGCAACATTACATATTAGGCCTAGAATACGAGGTTTCAGTTAATATACACGTTTGCAGGAAAGCAATTAATCTTTACTAAAAGGTTTATTTGTCATTTAATCGTTTACCTAGCTATAATATTTTCATTTCAGTCTTTCGCATTGGACAGTACTGCTTCTAATAATTTGAGCAAAAAAAATATGAACAAGTGGTTTTGGGTACTTATTAGCCCTTGGCTATTATATTAGACGAATATCTTTGGAACAAAAGAATTTGTTATTATTTTTACTGGAACTGTTAATGAAAGTACATCCGACAAGGTTCGCCATATTAAAAAATGCCTACCAGTCGAAGTGGTACTAAAAGATTTTCCTTTTTGGTTTTATCAGGTTGAATGCTATTTTGTTGTTGTCTGAAGAACGTACAGCCGATGCAAAATGGCCTACTTCCATTTTTAGACGGTTACACACGAGTTACTCAAACTAATGAAACAGATGAGACGAAAATGGAGCTCATCGCAAAAAGCTGTCGATGATGGAGTCGGCAGCCTAAGATGACTTAGATACCACAAACTGTAAGGGACGCTCCACGCCCCAAACTTATCTTAATAGAATGCAAAGTACTCTTTCTGTTAGTTGTAGACAATTAGTAGATAATCACACCTACACAAAGTCCGTTCGTTCCAATGAACTTTGGCTAGAAAAAAAAAAGGAAAGCATTCAGAGAAAACAATGGAAACAATATTCCTCCTTGATTGAATCATCACAAACAGCTAACATGTTTAAAAATGACACATTCCTAGGCAAGGTAACAAAACATTAGTATTATATTTTATATGATAATATTACAGTTATGGTTATGCCCATTGACTTCTAACAGTTTGTAAATCGACTTTTTTTGCTGCACAGTCCAATCCCTTATTACTGCAGTTATTTATAATTGACTACTAGTAGACCTGCTCCAGCTTTAACGGAAAATCAATCTCAGAACGAATTCAATCGAATTATTCGTTATCGAAGTAAAATAAGTTCCTATTAATCTGCTGTTATAAATATTCAGGCAATGTTGCAATTCAAACGTTTGTCAATGATTGCAAGACTGGGGCATAGTGCTATGCCACACTGACCAGAAAGGCAATCACTTCTCTTTTTTCGCCTAATATTAAACTACAAATACGCACGCTTTTCCTAAGATAATGTCATACATCTATCCCATAATATCAGCTCAACCTAAGAACCTTAGTGCCTCATCAGTTGACGTGTTTTGTAGGATGTTCCGTAGACATTTTCAAATGGTAAACTGCATGTGCATATATTGTCATAAATGTAATCTTTTTTCTATGATTATCAATTTTATTTGTATAAAATATAATCGTTATTATAATTCTTTCTGAAATTTGTTAAGCTAAAGATAGGTCTACTCGACAATGTTGCAGACTGCTGATTTTTCTCTGATTCACTAATTTGGTGCGAGCTGTTTTCTTTTAGAGAATTAACTTACCTTTGGCTTTGCTGGCCGTTCTCGACGCCATTTCAATCGTTGCCTCTTCAAAGTGATGGCACCGTTGTTGCTACTGCTGTTATTCTGTTCAGTGAATGAACCCCACCAATCACTACCGCCACAGGCCGCCGGTCCTGTTGGTTCGTCTATCTTCGAAAGTAAGCCAGCGCGCAAAGCATTTAACTAGCACTGCACTGCAGCCCACCTGAACACACCGACTCGTTCGCTCTCTAACGCCATCATCGACTCTGAGATGGTCCTACGATCATGACGCCACTGACGACGACCACAAGCACGATGATAACGTTGGGACAACTGAACAGTTGTCGTGAGTAGGTGGTGGTAATACTGATAGCATGATTCCAGCTGCTCGAAGTCGTCGTTCGTCCTCACATCGACTCAACGTGTGGCCAGAGGAATGACAGTTCACCCTTCTTGCTGCGGCAGTGACGGACCGACGCAGCAGCTAGCCTGAAGCGGCCACAGAGCAGCTGCTAGGGGTGGTAAGCAGCAATCCGACATCGGTGATGCCACCCACCCCAGCATCAGCGCCCTTCGGAGGTTATGCAATCCTAACACACAGGAATACAGGCATGGCCAAGCGCAAGAGTAGGCGATGATATACCGCAACACCTCCAGCCAGCTGATCCAGCAACGACTCTATAAGTAGACGACAGATGAACGAACGAACGAACTAGCAGCTGTATAACTGTATAAACAGTAGCAGCAGCAACTAAACCCAACGTTCCAGGGTTACTATAACTTCGACTGCTGTTTTGATGATGTTGTGGTTCAACAGCAGCAGCTGTTGATGTCGGTCTAGGTAGTGCCAGAATGTCTGCCAAAATTTGTCAATAAACCCGTGTTTCTTACTCGAGCATCAATACGAGCTCAACTATAGCCCGTATGATGTGCTCTAATGGTCTTTCTGCACGTATTGTCTCCACTACTAGAAAGACGGTGCATGAGTCAGGAATGTTCGATTCATCAACAAAAATGACCACTGCACCCTCTTTCCATCAGCGTTGTCGTATTAACCGCTAAAACGACGATCACACTCTCGCCACTTTCGCTCTTCTCCTCGCCACTGTTTACAACAGGTGCTGGACCATGGCCGCGGCTATCCGCCTTTTCCCTTTCCATTCTCCTTTCACGGTGAGGAGGAAGGCAGCGGATAGTAGCAGCGATGGTTGTGCGATCATCTTGTGCCATGTTGTCGGCTGTTGGCTATCAAGGCTCTTGTGTGTATATATCTACCGATCAGTGTCCGGCTGTACTGTGTCTAGTACAGCACGTCTTCTATCCCTGCTGTGTGCCTGCTTGATGGTGACTAGTTGGTGGTAGTTTGATAATTGCCGCCGAGTATCAGTGCATGTGTGTTGACGTGCCGTTTCTGCTGGGACAAGTTATTATCCTATACCCGACCGCCTGCTTCTGCGGCTACTGTCGTTGATCCGTTGGGCCGTTCTTTTTGTTCTCGTAGTGACAGGGAAATACGTTTAGTAGTCATTCCGCCCGTTGTCCTAATGGAAGACAGAGTCCGTCCGTAAAGACTAGGCATCTATAGACCTCTGCCGAGTGGTTTGCCGGCCGGCGGGCCGGCTTCTTCCAGCATTCAGGGTGTGTTTATTGCTACAGTTGCTCCGGCGTAACTTCTATTATTACTATTTTTACCCCCAGCAGTAACTGCCGCCGCCGCCGCTTCGTGTGCGTGTATGTGTTTGCTTTTGCATGTGCGTGCGTGTGTGTGTGTGTGTGTGTATACGTGTGTGAGAAACAAAAACGGCAGACCGTGTTCACTTTCCAAAGATAAATACTCGGCAGCGACTTCTGCTAATCAAGTGGTCATCACAATATCGCGTGGCTTCGAAATCGAGCTTTCATTGGAATCGCTTTATACGAAGTGAGTGAATGTGTGGGTTCATATTTGTGCGTGACAATGACTACAGCTGACTGACCGTTCGGGGCATGCAAGTGTGAATGAGCCGCGTGCTTTTAACCAAGCTGACGACAGGCGGTCGTTATTGCAGCCGGTAGCGGTGCGTTCGGCGTTTTTATTCATTCATTTGTTTGTAACTAGATTAATATTTTAATCCCGGCGGAGTTCTGGCAGTGGAAATACTGAATTTCGTCAGCATGCTTTCGCGCGTGAGCTTCAGCGGGACTCATCTGGCGCGGGTTTTCCAGAGCAATCCGGCCCGACAGGTCCGATCTCTGACGTGGAAGGCGACTGGTAAACGAGTGACACATGAAGAGATGGAGAAAATGCTCCGCAGTTCGAGATTCATGAACAACATGACCCGCATTACAACTGTAAGTCTACTTATCAAGTTGAATATGGTAACTGTGTTCTGTGCCTTCCATCTAATTTGTTTTTGAACAAATCCAGATGATTGGCGCCTTTTTACAATGGGAACTACGTGTAAGAAGTCGATGCTGGGAATTCTCATATAAACGCCTTATACCGTGTGAAGTAAAAAATAGATATCATACCAAATATGATTAATAGCAGCGTATTAGTCAGCGGCATATGCGTTAATAATATTTAATTGAAATCTATATGCCTTTGTTAATTTATGCTTGTTTGTATCCTGTACGGTTCATAGCTGTAGCTGACTTATTTAATCGCTGCTCCGCTATGGCAATTAGATGGCAAACATTAACTAACTTTGTTAAATAGACCCTTTCGTGTGATTAAATAAGTGAAATCGAAAGAGACAAGTTAATAAAATAATATTATTATATACGATAAAAGCATAATATTAATAATGAGGGAGACCGTTTGATCTATTGGCTATATTCAATATCAGTTGACTAACGACAACATCGAGTTCGCAACAGCAAGACTTCATTTAAGAACGTTCTCTTCTTTCATTTCACAAGGTCACTAGTCGAATCGTTTGCTCCGAGGAGCTCGACGTCCTTCTTCCACTAACTGTCTATTCTATCTTCTTCATGGACTATCTACGTCATTCTTTGGGCTCTTGATTGGGTATTGCTTACGAGGAAAATAGAGCACATTATTGGAGGAAGGTCTCCCATCAGAAAAAAACAGATCTCGTTTACGCAATAACGACGCTGCTATACCGCGCACCTCAGACCAACAGCAAGCTGCAATGTCACCTGCAGATTTTCACTATAGGGATGGTACTAAGGGCAGCAGCAGCAGCAGTAAATCCTTTTGTCGCGCGTTTTTTGCTTCCCTTTCTTCATCACTACGTCCGCCTAACAGCGTGTGACGTCAATATGCGAATGCGTGTTTGTCAGTCTGTCTTTATGTATTAGTAATCGAGAAGAGAATATTATAGTCATTTAGGCAGCTATGAGGTAGGCCGGCGAAACTCACACTAACAAGTTTTGGTTGGAGACTAGCCGAAATACACAGACAACTTTCTTTCTGAGATAGCAAAAACGAGAGAGCGGTAAACAAACTTTTGTGTTTATATTACATTCCAAAAAACAGAAAAAAAGCGATCAGAGTCGCCGCAGAAATCTATTACTTCAAATAAAGAGAAACGTATAGAACTTTATCTTAGTTGAATTTCTACATATTATGTAGAATGATACGATCGAAATAAATCTCATTCCAGATTGGATTGATGCTATGGAAACTCACGAGTAAATCTCTGATCTATAAACATTTTCTGGCGTGCTTTGATTCAAGTGTATAAAAGGAGGCTCCTTTATACTCCACACCACCGGAACCAGGGCGACGTAAGCATCTTTGGGCCGTAAAGAATGGCCACGTGATACACCGGTTGAAACATAATCGATAACGAGGCACATTATCTCGTTTGACAGGAACTTAATGGAGACCCAGCGAGGGGACTTGTAGCGGCCTCTTGCCAAACAGTAACGCACTCTTTAAAGAGGTTAGATGTTATGTTGTGATAAAATATCCGATTTAAAAAAAGGCGTCCTTACCAGTTAGGCTGTTGATTTTCGTCCAATAATCTCTATGCTATAAAAAGTTTCGAACTTAACTAGTTAGCCGAAACTCGAGTTTTTACTGCATTTCATTTTCGAAAATTTACCCAGACTGTCCTATCGATGCTTCGCCATGACAATATTTGTCCTGTAACACCAAAAAAACACTTAGATACTTGTCTAAAAGTTCACCTCATGCTCCGTCGTTTTAATATTGTCTGTTTTGAAATTTTTTGTGAGAACGCGCTGGTTAACGTATTTGTGTGCTAGACCTAAAGACACGTGATGGTTTAGGTTTGATTCATGGCACAGACACGGAAAGCCAGCCATCTGAAATAATGTTTAACGACCTAAGTACATTAATTTAAAACGTCAATGTTATAGTCGCACGCGAACGTGTATTTATGCATTAAGCTGTTTTTTTGTACGTGAAATGACCATAGCGCGTAGAGCGCTTCATTTCATTAATACCAGTCTAAAATCAAAACGTTTTCAGTCATATCTACAATTGCATATGCTATCTGTTATACACAAGTGTTGTTTAAAGGAGTTTAAAGGAGAGTTTAAGTCCAAGCTAGCTGCAAAACTGAAAAAAAAAATTGATTACAAATATCAGGTGAAAAGCAATTTATGAAACGATCGAGAATAACGTGTACTAAGCTAAAGTACGTCAGATATAACTTAATGAGCTTTGTATCTCTAACATATATCCTATGATTGCTATCAGTAGATTATCGTTTTCACTATTTATCATGTTTTAAATCATTTGGATAATTCACAAGCTAGCTCTGTTTTTTACTCGCCAGATCTACAAGAATACTAAATAAAAAGGAAACATTTTATGGGATTACGGAAACTTTCTTGAAGACTGAGCATATATCGACATTCAACGATCAATCAAGTATCCGATAAATGCTTCCTGCCATCGGCATATGCGAAAGCCTATTGGCCAACATGTTCGCTTTACCAGATGAACAACGTCATCACTGATCGTATGCGCACGATTTATCAATTTAACCGTGGCTATAAGGAGAACATGCTAGAATATTGGACAAAACCTTTAGAGATTTAAACGCTGATTTTTGGGTCGGCATAGATCTAGCTACTTCCTATTTGAAGTATGAACTTGGCACGCGTCCACAATTAGTGCCACTTCGTATCGTCTCTTTGCAAATTCGTTAAGAATACGGATGTCCGCCTATTAGAAGCTAATCATTTGAAGTCTAAATAAAGCGCTGGGGTTTAGGGCGAGCCACTCAGACGGCTTCGTTGAAAAGCTCAAGCGCTTAGGGCCGATCCGTAGCTTGATTTTCTACAAGACCCTTTGCACTTTCCCATATTTCCGTAATCTCTCATTAAGTTGGTCAATACCATGCCCGTAACATTCTAAGTAAAGTTCTCTCTTAATTTAATAATTTATTGCGTTTCTGAAAACCATAGCTCAATTGGCGAGCGCTCTTTGACACCGCCACATTGCTGATGCTCGAATCAAGTTAAGCTAAGCTACAAAGATTATTAGGTCTAGCTTCAGCGTAATAATTTCTCAGCTGAGGTTCGGGAAGTAAGAAGGCGGGAGCACTTTGCTCTTCAAATAACGATCATAGACAGAGAATTATGGAGCAAAACGATTTGGTAATGTCTCAACAATTATTTCCAATCTAACGCTTTGGAAAATCACTTCAGCACATCTCTGTATAAACTGATAGATATAGTGGACAGGAGAGAAATCCTAAATTCAAGTGTCAAGGTCAAGCGCTCCGTTTTCCATCAATACACACTTCTGAATGGAGAACTGCACACCGTTTTCCGCGTGCCAGCGTACTAAATCATTAATTGCACTTTGAAGGAAGGGTGATGTGTGTACCTCTGAGAGTGAAAGGATGGTAAATTTTAAAATGGGCTGCATATTCTAATTTTTTAACTTCAGGGCAAATATATTTATTTATATCAGACGCAAAAACTGTATGTAATCAAAGCGTAGTATCATTTTCTTAAGGACATGAAACGACGCAGCGGAGGACTCGAAACATTTTTGACCTTCACACGAAATTACCTTATAATGTGGTAGGGTGAAAGCTAACATAAAGTGCATACAGGATCTCCTAGATAGGATCCTATGATCCGTTCTGTAACACTACTTAGATCATAATGGACGGAGTAGTATAATCTGACAATCCTCAGCCATTTCTAAGAATAGCGTGCAGGTAGAATGACAAGCGATAAAGTCATGCTGAGTGAAATGAAAGAATTCATTTTTCAGACGAAAAACCAATATGTAACGTACCATTTTTTTCAACGTGACAAGCATTTGAGAAGTAAAAAATGGCCGATAATTCTCTATATCTGTTTTACAACCTTTTCCGAATACGAATGTGACAAAAAAGGTCAGAAACAACACTGTTATAACAAGCTTTGATGGAAATGACGCACAAGAGTTTACCAAAAAAAAAAAAAAAAAAAAGTATTATTCTTAAAAAGTATGGGCGGATTATTATCGGGTGTAAACTTTGCTTTAAGCTAAGATAGTAGCCTAAATATATGAAGTTCAGAGATCAACGGATGTGTCCAATAGCTAAAACTGTTGGCGACTGCGGGGGTTGCTGGTATCAACTGATGATACTAAGACAATCGGCAGACGGTATGATGATACAAAGTGGTCGGCCAAACAACTCACTTTATCAATGCAGGGTGAAAATGCAGTAGCACTCGGAATACGACAATAACAGAGATGAGAGCGACTCGACTGTTATTTGAAAGTTAGCATATCAGAAGAGCGAATACAAGTCACAGAAGCCAAGCTTAAATTCCGTCCGAATCCTAAGCCCTAACGGGGCCCTGTAAAGTGTTGGCGACATAGTAGGAGGCGATACAAAACAGAGTTGATAAGATCATCTAGATAAGCCTTGGACTAAACGAATCAGAGTTCACTTTAAACCTGACCTGGTTTATTGAGAATAAACAGCAGTCAACAGGCTTTTTAAACATGTTAATTATGTCATCACTAGTGTTAAAGAAAATTTCCTAGCTAAAGCACAAAGCAGTAGATCTATAATCAATTTTGGATGGATTATATAGAATCTTTACTATATTGAGCGTTAGTTAAACACAGCTGGCAAGTCACTACGATTCACGCTAAAAAGTGCTTGGCATAAAATATTTTTGGTTTCACAAAAGCATACGTAACTCTGCGTCAGGAAACTTTCAAGCTAAAACATAGGAAAGAAGCAGAAACACAGTCATTCTTTTAATAAATGTTTTCTGCCTACAGTCAAGCTTATAGATGTAATGTCATTACCGTACCACCATCAAGCAGGTGGTACGGTAATGATACGCGCAATAGTACGACGATATAATCTCGTTGTTGAATTTTACGGTAAGGTCCTTGGGCGAACAAGACTCAAACCTTCACATACTACTTACGATTTAGATATAGACTTTTCTTGCTCAATACAAGATGCACTGCCTGCACTAAGGTAGCGTCTTACACTCATTTTTACCGAATGTATGCCGTCTGTCATTCCGTCTTCCTCTTGAAAACATCTGCAGCGCTCCATAATGTCTTAAATATCAGTATTTGCTAAAAGCATGTTTACTTTATGTTTAAACTAAATTTATAGAGTTTGCTGGTTTCGCGAAGCCGTTGTCTTATGTGCTGGCGGTTCGCAACCAATGAAAATGCATCGGTGTGCCAGGCAACTTCATGGGTTTAAAAAAAACCATGTGCAGTTAAGGGAGCCGCCTTTCAATGCCAAGCTATTACATATAAACATTTACTAAACGTTCGTGCTATGAACATAGCTTAACTGCATCCAAAACAGCAACAGACAGTCTGACTGTATGTTTTAGCAGCTTCCAGGGTTTATGACTCTCTCATTTCTACAGGACTCACTGTCCGCTCCCTTACGCCTTGCATGCGACGACTGCAATGCTTTTTTGGCCGTTACGTGGCCGGTATTCCGTCTGTGCGCATGCTTTAGATGAATTGACTATTGGAAAAAAACAGAGTGAAAGGGAGGAAGAGATCAGCTCCGTAGAACATAGCATCGTTTTGTTTTAGCAATGTTAAAAACATACACACGCACACACACACACACACACAAACACCCGTATAACATACACCCGGACAGCTGTCTCAACTTCGTTCTCCTCTGCATGTATCACTCAGTGCACTTAAGACCTTACGTTTACTATTTATACATTATGAATGTCCATTTTCTTAGGTTAGTGTTTTTTTAGCTGAAAAACTTTTACACCACCTTGGAAGCTATATATATATATATATATATATATATATAGCTTCCAAGGTGGTGTAAAAGTTATATATATATATATATATATATATATATACACACGACTAAGTCGTAAAACACCGCTTTGCTTTTATAGATTACTTCTGTAGCAGCCGTGGGAGATGGCGTTATTACTACACATGTTCTGTGGGGCTTCTATACTCCACTCAACTAATTTTTATCTAAGTGAACAAAATTGTAGCTATAAAAGAACAAATTACGATTTTGTCGAATTGTCAATATAGTGTCGAAAAGAGATTTCAAATCTCATTACAGCGAAAATCGATATTTAGTACCTGGATGTATCGTTTGATGCAATGAATTGTCGCACCAGCGAGTGAAAGTGGCAAGAAAGAGGGTAAGCACACGGGGCGAGGCGCAGGGGGCGTCGGGGGTGTAGATTTACGACGAGTAGAGCGACGAAAGCTGTAATTTTCGTTTATTGACCCTTGTCCTTCCGTTGCATGGTCATCGGCGTGACAATGTCACCGTCGCTGTAGTGTGCAGCTGCTTTGCATTTATTCGTAGACACTACCTGTTGATGCCTATGGTAATGCTGTTGGATAGAACTGCGCTTCACCAGTTACTATTATTATGATTGCTACTTTTAGTGCTATTGGTGTTCACATCGTCTTTAGCGGGCTCGAGTGGCGTTCTTTTTTTTTGCGATTTTCCCGAACAAGATACGATGCTTTCTACTTGGTGTCAACCAACATAATTCATGTTGGTGAACCTGTTTGTCTGTCGTCTAACCGATCAGCAACGTATGCTGATAGCGTAGCAGGCTGGACCACCATCTCTCTCTCACATACATATCTCTATACATAGTCATAGGACTCTATACATAGTCGATCACAATTATTAGGAAAAAACGTACAGCCGCGCAAATACAACGTCCGTAGCGGCCTTTGCCACTCAAACAGTCGAAAAAAGTGGTGCAATTTTAGAAAAAATTATCAAACGAGCATTTTTTTAAAGCTTTCGCCTAACAACATTGACGACTAGGTATAGAATATTACTGTGCAACGAAGTATCTATTGGGGCTCAATAATTATTTATACAGTGTTTACATATTGAATAAACATACTGGATCAATCTGGAATTATACTGGATCAATTGTCTGTGTTGTCCCATATCGGGCAAGTCCTCTTTCACAGGTTAGCATTTTCAGAATGCACCATCCTAGAAATTGACCTAACTAACCCCTAGGATAATTGCGTCCAGTAAGCCATCAATAGAACCCATCTATTGTATGCTTTATGTATGCTTTGTAATTACTTTCGAGGAGAGTCTAAGGTCAAGCACCTGGGTTATAGATTAGGACTTACTGCTAAGAACTGCTTTCAACTGTCAGTTCAGGTAAATGTACAGCTCTGCTAAAAAAATTCAACCAAAAGCCCTCCCAAAGAAGTTTTTACTGAATCGTGGAAACAATTTACATCTCCAATCTTGTAAGTACCATTGAAGCGGTCGACCGCAATGACGCATCTCTACGTTATGTGCGAAATAAAGCTTCGTCTCAATCGGTCTGGTTAGCGGCTATTCCCAATGACTGGATGGCCTAGTAAGATACTCGCCAAGGGTCTCCATTGGCCTTTATCTCTGTTCCCTATGCTACCACAGCGACACAAGCATATCATCTAACCTTGTATGAAACGGTTACTTTTGGCCTATAGACCTTCCCTAATCACTACAGCTAAAGACCATCAATTGGCGGTCTATCGTCTTGAATATAATAATCATTTTTACTAATTATCATATATGAACATTTCTGTAATTGCTCAAACTAGGAGATATTTCAAATAGTCGTTATATTGTGTGACCGCAGATAATACTTGTCTTCTTTAAATATGGGAGTTCGGTTCACTGGTATTGTGCCAGAGATGTATAGTATCTTCGTGCACAGTATTTCAAATAAGTTTTCAGCTTTTAACTCTTTTCCTTTATGAAGGTCCACACCGTCGTAAACCGCGTCATTGATGAGCCAGCTGCAGGTTGACAGAACGCAACCTACGCACGTAAAAGTAATTAATTCTAACACATATTTAAATAGAACTTCAGGTTTCAGGTTAAAAGGAAATATCTTACCACTCAAATATCGTGAAAGCACGGCAATCATTTTTTATCCTCCATGGCCTCTAAAATCCCTGAATATTTTTTTTTACCTATTTATCGAGTAGCAGACATTTAAAGTAAATTTCGGAGTTATATGCTTACTTCCGAGAGCGCAGTTTACTGACAGTCGTCGTCAAAAGTACATAACAAAATATAATATTTAGTATCGAAGAAGTGCCGTACAGATCCAGCCAGCGTTAATTAGTTACATCGGACCTATAAATCAAATATAATCAAATGTTATCAGTACTTTTCCTACATTCATGTATTTTGGTATTGTAAACACTTTAACGGAGAATTGAGTAAAAATCATAACTTTTTCCCGAAATAATTTAGAGGAATAGATAAATTGCGACTTATTATTGATATTGTAATGTACTGTTTCAGGGAAACGACCGTATCCGAGTGTGTCCACTAAACGTCGAAGCAGACAAAGAGTTGCAGTACCCCCGCACGGTATATGAAGGACTCAAGAATGCCGCTTTAAAAAACACAGGTTCGTGGGCAGAGCTGTGGGATCTAACATGTTCAAATGTTGCTTTTGCAAAATAAAAATTAATCTTCTCGCGGGATAAAAAATTTGATTCGGACTACACAAGGTACCAGGTTGGGCGCACAGCCAAGCAAGCAATCAAAATTTGCCAGCTTGATCTCGACACCCTGTTCACTACACGCAGGGCATTGACACATTGTGACATTACGTGCGGTATTAATAGTAAGCTCTTTTCATAGTTTGGGTCCGTTTGCATGGTAACTGAATTTAATTCGTATTGCAAAATTGATAATCGTGTTAATAACGTTCAAATTTAAGAAAAAAAGCGCCAAATTTGTAAAACTATAGGACAAGCCTATATAGCATTGATGCTTATCTTAACAACAGCTATCTTGTCTGATATCACGTTGTGGAAAGTGATACTTGCATATGGTCTATTATCTAGGTATTTTCATGACCGATAATGTTTCTTTTACGTGGATTTTCTACGCTGCCGACTATTACGCTGTGGTTAAAGTTCATTCCCATCACAAAATGGGCCGATTGGCAGTGATTACTATCAATATCAGCCAGATCGGTTCATCTTTGCTATTCGTACTTGTTATGCCACTCCATCCACTAAAAACCTAAAAACTAACTAGCCAATACTCTTTACATCTTTATTAGTTTTATTCGTCATCTAACGTTGATTACATTGAACCCGGATGACGTAGGCGAATCCGCCGTAGTAGAAAACTTTTATTTTAGTGATTTAGGGTTGCCTTTGAGTTTATCCACATCAAAAATGTTAGCAGAGAAGGACGCAAAAGTAGGATTTTTGGAAGGATCTTCTCTTAACTGAAGGCTCAGCATTGAAAATAAGCTTTCAGCTTAGAGAGATTGACTTCTATTAAACAATAAAAAAAATTAGGATAACACTGGAAACCGACGCACCTTAATTTTGTGTGTCAGTTCTTTGTCCAGTTAGAAAAAAATGGGGTCCATAAGGACCCCATTTTTTTCTAACTGAAGACGCCTATTTGATCTTGTAAGGACCTACCCCGTCCGACCTGATATATACTGGGTAGCCGAAAAAGTATTGATTTTTAAGCTATGTTAAAGCAAGTATTTTCTGAATTTTCATGTAATATCGCTAAACTAAATACGCGTTGCTTTAATTGATGAACTCTGTCTTTTTTCTGGTGCCACGATAAGTCAAACTTCGCTGGTTTAAGTAAAAAACTATAAGCAATCCTCCACTGAAATTAAATTACCATCATTAAGGGAGTTCTGCAAAGACCGAGACAGACGGTTGTCTAACGTGGCGAATGCTTTCGAATTTTTCATCTGAATTTTCTCAATTTTTGCCTACTAGCTAAATATGTATGTAATCTAACATCATTATGGTATAAGATGACGCCCCTCCTATTCATTACTTCCGGTCGACTTTTTTCAGTGGCTTGTTTTAATCTAATAAGTTGCTGATAGTAAGCATCGAAATCAATAGTATTGCGGGGTAGCAAAAGCTTGTAGTGCACGAATCCTTTCCAATCCACCAAACAAAGCATCACCTTTTTTAATGTCGGTCTGGGTTTCGCCACAAATCGTGAGGAACATTTCATTATACGCGTGTTACTGCCATATATGATCCACTTTTGATACGCCATGATCAATCGCTTGAGAAATAATTTGATATCGTTACGTGTCTGCAGAATTTCTTAAGTAGAAATACAATCGAATAGATTAGTTTGTGTTCACTCATCTGGCAGCCAAACATCGGGCCCTTTTTTTATTGCCAGTTTTCTCCGGTTGACCTAAAATTCTTTGATGGGGAATGTTTAGTTCCTTGGCGATATCGTAATTTTTTACGTGTTTGTTCTAAGATCGCTCGAATATCGTCACTAGATTTTTGTAAACAAGTTGTAGTGAGCCATGAAAAACTAGAAATTCGACTGCTGAGTATCTGAGTCCCATCTTGGAACTCCGCCGGCGGGGACTGCTTGCCATTTAAATTTTCTATTCGGTGAATGTACTGCTACGAGAAATACCGAGAACAGTTTGTCGAAAAAATTCAGCAAAGAACATTTTGGACTTGAAGGCGAATCACCCTGAGAAGGTAAATGAGGAAAACTTGAGGGCTGTGGTGAGACGCGACCCAGTTCAGAGTGCACGGACGTTAGCACTTGGGCTTGACGTACGTGAAAATACCTCATTAAAGTACATGCTCACCTCAGTCGAAGAAGTGTCGCGTGATTTGAGCGAGAACCGAGAACAGATATGTCGAGGCGCTTGCATCTTGTTGCTTTAATACTACAACAGTGACATACCCTTGCATTGAATTTTGACCTGTGATGAAAATTACTCTAATGGCAAACAATCACATTGAGACGTGGGTGTAAATGAATCGGCGGGATATTACCCTATTTGGCTGTTTAATACACCTACTACTACTCCAAGAGTTCAGAATCATAGATTATGGCTGAACTATACTATATACAATTAAATGAGATGACAAAAAAAACTCCGAATTAAGCAGCCAGAATTAGTGAACAGAAGCCTTGCGTTGCACGACGATGCTCGACCCACACTCCAAGAGTACGGTGGGACAAATGCAAGGGTGACAGTCAAGGGCTCTCGGTGATCCACCATCACTGCCATCATCACAAAAAATTCTATCTACAGGTTATTTTTAAGGCTGCGTCTTACGAAGGCGGATAATTCGCCAAGCAGTTTTGCGTGTGCTAGAAGTGTCGTTTCTAACAGTTGTAATTATTTAAATGATCACCATATACCCCGATTACATGATCAGTTGGGTGCCTAAACCGCTTATAGACTAGTTTCAGATATTATCTTTGAAAGTGTATGAGCGCCTCCCTAATGACATGAATGAGCAGTCTGATATGGTCACGTCGGGATTTCTAAATCGCATCATACAGATTCAAATCTGAGTTCTTCGATGGGCGGTATTTCGAAAAATGCTTGCATTGTCAAGCTGCCAGCTCCGCACTAATCAACTAGTGTGAACCGGCGAATCGTTTTACGCACACTTCTCTTTTAGATACTTTAGCTATCAACGACTGGACCGTAGTACAATCATGTAGATAACACTTTCTTCTACTGCGTTTGCCTTTGTTTGCAAACAATGCGGTAGCATGGCGTGGTTTTTTCGCTTGACACTCTACACGAAAACATTAGTCTTGATTATATTAATAAAAGGCGCATTTTCTGGATCGTGAATTAGCCGTCGATCACTTTTGCGGTCGAGTTTTGCATCGATGATAAATATTTTTTCTGCAGCTAAAAGCCAAACGTAGTTTGCTGCTTCATTGTTAAAAAAGAGAGAAAAGCAAATAGCACAGATCTAGTCTCTTATTTCTAATGGGCTCTGAGCGCATTTTTCATTAACAGAACAATACGTGCAATTAGAGCCTTCATAGACAATCCGCGATATGCTCTGTCCGCTCACGTTAAGATTTTCCTCTGACGCAAGGATTAACGAAAATGTATTTTTGGATAGCAGATGAAATTTGCTTCTTCCGCAGTTGCCTACGCGTTTGCGATGCCGTAGAATGGTGATTTAGCGCAACATGAAGAAAAATTGTCTGCGAACCGAACCTCATTGGGGGGTTCGTCCCGAGTGAAAGCTTTAAATACTAGCCTATTTTATCTTAAATTCCGCAAACGACGCAGCATTTTTTTAGCACTTTTTCTTAAGTATCAAAAATAACGGATACGGGCATCCAGTACAGTAAGCATCCCGCCAAAGTTTGTGCGAATTCGAAGGCCGCACCCTATAACGTCTGCTTTTCGGAGCATATAGCTTCGTCTTTGACAAACGAATCAAAAATAGTTATGCCTTCTGCGCCTTGGGACGATGACGACTGATTGAACCAAACGGTTTGCCTAACAAAGTAACGAAATTTATGAGCTATAGCATTATGCGCGATCTTATTTGGTAGCACTCAGACGTTCCTGCTTTAGCGAATAAAAAACATTCTGATAGTTGACAAGACTCCTGCATTGCAGTGGAAGCCTAATATGTTTATAAAACACTCAATAGAACCTTTACTGTTGACAATAATACCTTGAAATTCTGATACCCACTTGATTTTGCAAGTATAAATTGGAAATTGACCTATACCGTCAAAAACAAGCCGATCGATCGTATCTAATGGGAAAACAATTTTACCTGTTATCATTTTATAACTTTTTTAGTATCGAATAACATCTGTGGATGGATTGACCCTGTGACGGAGAAATTACAGTTCCTATCGTATGATCAATTTTTCGCCGAATCCAAACACATTAGCATGGCCTTTCGGGAGCTAGGTATTGGGCCAAAGGATTTCGCTGCCGTAAGCTGGATCAACTCCAAGGAATTCCTCGAAGTGATGTACGGCACTACATCTCTGAACATGGTACTTCAACCACTCTACCCGAATCTTGACGCACACGCCGTTAAATACGTACTCAAACAAGGTTTGTATCATTTAGACAGAATAGAGATTTCGACATATACTAGTAATTTGTCGGGGTTTTTTTCAACACTTAATACCCTTTCGACAGCTTGGCTTATTGTGACCGTATTTATTTGCATAATTTTTCCACTAAGCCGTATAGTCAATACTTCGGGCTATTTTATAATGCATCCAATTGAAAGTAAAAAAGAAAAAAAACAAAGGATATTCCACTGTTGAACAAAACTTTAGATGAATCGAGCTAAAATTGCTTTGACTTGTGTCTTTGTATATGAGACATGTCAGTACTTGGTTTCATCTGCGTAACCATTGTTTCTCCACCCGTGGAACATCGAAGACAATTGTTCTCGAAAGATTCATTCTTTACAGCCCGTGGAAACATTTCCAGTTGACTTGAGAAGGAGGACAAATAATAATGACATGTGTTCAATGACAGTAGGTTATATATGATTTGAAAGGCTGGCTAAGAAGTAAGCAAGCAACAGTGTATCGCGGCGTCTTTCTATTTTGAGTTCTATTACGTAACATAAAAAGCCTATGAGCTGTGAGTTATTCTCTGAGTCAACTATTAACGCATTTATGATTTGTAAATGGTTATTTAATGTCTTCCCTGTAATGTGCTTGAATGCAGGTAAACCAAAGATCTATCTATGTGATAACGAAGCAAAGTCTCGTCTAATTATAAACAGTGCCACAGAGATGCCGTTTCTAAGGACGCTTGTAGTAGGCCGCGGTCCGCCGAGTCGAGACCTTCGAAATGAGGCACAAAGCAAGGGTATTCAACTGCTCGGCATGGACGATTTTATGAAGCTTGGGGCCCAAAAGAATCATCCACTTGCTGTAAGTGCTAAGTGGGACAACAGACTCTATCTAGTTATGATCAGTACCTAAAATATGTGGTCTGTATGGACTTCATATTTCTGAAGATTATAGAACACGTCTGTATGTTCTGTATGTAAAACAAAAACTGACAGTACGGCCTAGGTGAGCTCACAAAGCTCTAACAAGTATAGTGATATCAACATTCAACTTCTCTAATGTTCCCTTTCCTTTAGTATACACAGTATCTAAGCATGTCGTTGTATGTACGCGATAAACAATAAAATAACAAAGCTTACTTGGTTAGCCTTAAATGAATTTTACTCAACTGTTTACATAGTGGCCACTTTGTATTGCCAGCTGATCTTGACTGCACCTAGTTGCAACGAATCGTAAAAATGCTGATGGTAGACACTATTGAAAGACTGGAAATATATTCAACCAAGATACGTCTGACTATAGTTGATACGTAGACTAAATATAGACTACTAATAATGTCAAAAAAATTGAACCCGTGTATTCCAGCTTTTCATAATTGTTTATTATTATACATTTTGGTAAACTCTGGGTTACAACTTACAGGTGAAACGGTTTGTTAAGTCCTCAAAATTGTGGCTATACAATTGTGTTTGGTAACAAATCCTTCGATATATTACTGCCTTTAATATATGGTATATAGATAAATGGTGTCAGACTGTTGAAGAATGATGGATGGCGACCAACAGGGGGTTGATTCTAGACTTATGAAGACGGTAGACTTTTATCAAGCACGTTCCGTATAATAAAAAACTGCACTATCTACAGGAGGCCATTCAGGTTTTCCTGAAAAGCAATTGTGGTAATTCAGCATTATGTCGTCAATCTAGAATACAAAACGTATTGTCAATTTTTACAATAGCTTGTAAAGAAACAATTAATATTTAAGTATTCTATCAGATAGCTGGCTTCTAGCACGAAATGAAGTCTGCCTATCGATAGGCTCGAATTTAGATCACAATGTGTCCCGAAAATTAGTAGGCAAATACGTTATCTACTAAGCACTAACAACCTGCTACAAGCACAACATCATCAACTTAGCGTCCTTTTAAAAATGTTAGCCTTAGGTGAAATTGTCCTTAAACACGCTGAAAGCGTTATTTGACCAATATCATGCGTGAGCGTGAATATATAATAATAACAACAAACTGACGAATCTGTGGTTTTATAAAGCATTGCTAATCCTATACATCTATGTTACACCCGGTAATCAGGCGGTTTTAATATAAATACATTTGATTCACTTTTTATTTTGGTCTAACGCACTGTAGGAAATAGAATTCGGTGGCATTTCTTCAATTATTTGATTTATGTTTTTCGAAAGTTCTGCGCAGTACCAACCCCCCTAGCAACTCCGATCATTCTATTTCCGTGATCCGGTCAAGCTATTCTGTGCTTGTTAGTGATACTATTACAGTTATTATATTATCCAATTATAGTATCTGCTTAGTTTATTGCTCCTTGTTATTGCCGTAATGCTTACGTGGTTGAATGTTCCAGTGACCTCCTCAGCTTTGTTCTATTTCAGCGCCTTTGCCTTTAAAAAAGAAGCCTAATTACTCAGGATTAGTTTTCAACACTAATAATACATCTGAACTCATTGTTCTGTAGAAGCATTCACTCAGCTAATAGTCAGTTGTAGATATCCAAGGACACGATGTAAGTATTTACTAAATGAAATTATCAAAGATTTCGACCCACTAAATAGGTCCAGGCGACATGATACTTGCACATGCCAATTTCCCAGGCCTTAAATAAAATTTAGAACATTTGGATCTATTATCATTGCATTAGGTTGCTAATCCGCATGTGCTATGCTGACAAAAAGTAATAAATCCTAAGCAATAATGCTTGCTTATATGTCTATTGTAGCCGCCTGAGCCAGACGATATTTTCACGCTAATCTATACCTCAGGAACGACGGGGAATCCTAAAGGGGCCATAGTTACTCACGAGTGCATACTTAGGGCGTACCACACTGTCAGCATTTCCGTCGGTCCCCTACGAGCCCATGCAGGAGAATATACATTTTGCTACATGCCAACAGGCCACATTTATGAGATTCTTTTTGAGGTACGTACGAGATTGATTACTTTTATCAGAAGTTGATTTAATGAAAACTATTTTTTTGTACGAAGAGAATTGCATGTTACCGTTGTTAGCATTAGCCAACAATTATTACTTAGTCATTAAGAAAAACTTTAATTGATGCCTATACCTTTCAGAGGCCTTATCCGACATAGGCTGTTTTTTACAGCATTGGCAAGTGTTAATTATAATCAGATATCTTTTCTGTACTTGGCAACAATTTGTTACAGCTATTAGTATTGGCGGAAGGAGGTACAGCTATGTTCTGGAGAGGTGACATCAAGAAGATGGTCGACGACATGAAGATCATTCGGCCGCACTATGTGCCTATGGTACCGCGGATCATGAACAAAATCTATGATGGCGTCAATGAAAAACTCGCGGGAAGCAAGCTCAAGCATGCCGTATTTACGTATTGCTACAATAAAAAGAAGAAGCTCCTACAGAGGTTTGTGAGTTGGCCAGTATTGTTGTTATCTGGGCGTGCGCTACATAAGTGTAATGCTGATGTGAAGAACAAATGTGCCCGGTGTAATTAGAAGCAAATCGGTTATTTAGATCTATATAACATAACTAATAAATGTCCCTAATTTCTTGGTTCTTATTTCTCGTATAAGGACCATATTGGTAGCACTTCCCTTTTTCCCCATAACTGTTCTGGTAATATTTTTCTGCGCTGCTACTCGCTCAGTCACTTGATTTTGTTAAGATCTGCTTGGTAGTTATGTCCGGTTCCGTCTGTGATCGGGCATTTCTCTCACGTAACCATGCTGTTGCAATTGATAGATGTGGCCGTAACGAAGAAGCCTTCCGGTTGGCCTTTGGTTAGCATAACTACTTTTGTTGTCTCTCCTTTTTGCACCGTGGATGCGGGTCGATGCAGGCGGAAGACCGTTTCACCATTTCTTAAGTGGATGAAACTGCCTGTCACTCCATCTGTAGGCATTTATCTAGCTAATTTATCCTTCACGCTCATTTGGATACTTTTTCCAGTTATTACATCCTTCCTCTCCTTTATGCCTTTGGTTGACGGCGTTCCGCTGGTTTATAGATGGGGGCATCTCATCTAGCCAGGGAATACATTTGTCATAAATGGTCTAGAGTTTTTTAAGCAAACTCTACCAACAGCCGTTCTATAGGCTAAGGATTTTAAAGAAGCGTTTTTACGGGCAGACATCAAACACTGTATATACGACTAATTGTAGTCTCTCACCATTGACCTTCGTAATAGTACGGCTGATCATGGAAATAGTACTGACGTTCCGAAACTACTTCAGAACATTTCATAAAGTATAATATAAGCTTACAAAAAAAGAAGTTCTTATTTGAATGTATTGTCTGCTGACAGTACCTGTTCTAGTTTTAATAGTCGTTTTAATAATTTAATAGTCGCGAAGTAATAGATGAGGAATTCTAATATATTTTATTGTTGCTGCGTCGCCTGCCGAAGTATACGACCTATTAGCATATGGGTAGCGACTAAGCAATCTGAACAGGGACGCTGAGGGTTTCGTTGTTCTTTTAAAGATACATTCTAGATAATATAGAATGACTACTACTATAGACGGTTGATAGGGTTCGTGATACTGATTGCGGTACTCGCTCGTAGGTCGCGGCCTAGCCCAGATGCATCTCATTGTTTGAAAGGTTTCGTATCGAGGATATCTCTAGTTCATTGATCATTGGTGACGGTCCCATAGTGCACTCTTCTTCATAGAATACGAAGTGCAAGGTCCACAAATAACAACACTATTTTCATCTAGCTAGGAACACTTACTGTGTTTTGCCTTTGCTATGCATAGGGGTGGTGTGTCATCACGAAGAATTACCTAAAGAAGCTTAATTTGTTAGTCTTCAACTACGTCATTATTAAGTACGTCCTACAAACGATGATACTTAATAACACATCTATTCAACATTACTTACTATATAGTACCTCGTTATTTAAACTAGCTGTCAGGAATCAATCTGAACAATTTGAATTCATACAAGATAATTGGGTCTTTTGATATTTGATAAGAAATGAAGCTGTTGAACGACCTATCTGTACGTTAGTGATGAAACTGTAGCTCCAAACTTGTAATCAACGCAAAAGAAATGCATCCCAAACTCTCACTTACGCAGCCCGTGCTTGTTTTTTCGAACTTGTCCTAGATTGTAACCAACCAAAAATGCTTTAGTATGCGTGTGAAGTAAAACAAACATTTTTCACGTTTTTAGCGCAGTAGCATACTTCGGTTATAGTACGGCATTTGAACATCAAGAGCTATCTATATTCGGTTATCTTGAAGATTTACATTTAGCTCTGCATCGTGAGCTATCTACTTAATTTGCAAAATGCACAATAACAAAACCCATTCAAGACATGTTTTTTAGTGCCGAAAGCACTAGCTAGTGCTGCAATGAGCATAGACTCCTTTGAGAAAAGCCCGATCCAGAGATGTGCTCTCAGTCATAAACGGCTATCACAATTCGTACAATAGCAAACCCTTGTCTACTAGTATAACTGTAGAGAACGACAGCAACCTTCATTTATTTGGTAATTATACGCATTTCAATTGCACGTTAGATTATAAAGTAAGGGCCATTTTCCGTCTAACAAAAAAGCAGTGTCTTATTCGAATTTTAGTATATATATATTTTTCATGACGTTCTTCCATCGATGAACTATTTTATTTATTTCTTCTTGCTGACAATTTTGAGGCCTGGTGTTGAAAGAACTTGTCACCCAGGTTTTGAGACCCCTCACTTGCATCTTATTATATTACTGACCAGTTTCTAGTTTTCTAGTGATCGGGAACAGGCGGCTATAAAGAGTATAGTGGGTGCAAGAGGATCACCAACCCAGACTCTCCCTGCGTTCCAATATTTGCCATATGAGGTCTGTCCTGTTGCAGAGAAGGATGACTTCGCCTTACTTCTCGGATCGTTTCGGTTGATAGCTTTTTTTAATCGATGAAACTGTTGATCGTTTCGTTCTTTTCAAATATTTCTTGAGCATAGTTTATAAGACACTGATAATCCCACCGACGACAAATCATGATTGTTGTAATGGAGACTTGGCTTAAATCTCGGCTCAACCTTATCTCAAGAAGCTACCCATTATTTTGTCTGTTTTATATCGACGTCTGCGACACCATCTATTTTACCGGTAAAAATTCTGTGTGGAAACCTATGACTGTCATTGCATGTTACGCGATGTGGAGGAACCTATTGAGAGGTAATGAGCAGCTGTGTTTCTGCGTGCCGTCGAATGAGTTCATGAAGCGCACTAGCTCTGAATTTTCGAGAGTCTCATAGACCTAAAATTCGTTATAATCCTGACTGCGATTCATTCTCTGGCATTACACACGAGTTATTTGCTAGCCATGTTTTTCAAAAGTATTTTCAGAAGTCTTCGTCGACTTCAGACGGCCGATCGGATCTGGGTGCATTTCCAAATGTCAAAGTGCAATCGTTGAACTTCGCAGATCACTAATACAGTTCAGTCCGTACGTGACAGAAATATCTTTTTGACCTTCGCGAATAATGAAATAGAGAAGGTATCGGACATTTTTTTTCACTTGGAACCTCTACTCTCGGAAATTAAACTCGAAGAAATTAAAAACGTACTTTTAAAGGGCAAAGATAAGGGAGAGGGCTTTTTAAATGGTATACAAAAGTAGATAAATAGCGACAAGGAACCGACGAATTTCAAGAAACATGTTGTCAAACTGATGCATATATATATATACAGCGTCAAAATCATATATATGCTATATATAACCCTTGAAATAAGAAAAGGTTAACATGTGTGCAGTCAAATTTTTCAGTTAGTTTAATGACGTGATTTAATTACAGGCACTGGAATAAATCTGCCGCATCGAACATTATAAAATTTATGAATGAAGTCACTGCCTGGTTTTTGATACTCCATAGCAGACGATCTTGTTATTATATGTTTATACGCTCTTGTGTCTGGAACGCGGGGGTCAAAAAAGAGGATGGGACTTCTATTATCTTACATTGTTAACTCACCTTGAACACGTAATATACTTCAGTATTTAAAAGCCAAAATAAAGAAGTTATTCGATGAACCTTCGAGTCTTTGCCAACAAACACTTTTGAAACGCTTATTTGAAAAAATGCTAGTTTGGGCTTGTGTGGTGTCATCAGATCTGGTACAAAAAATGTCTCCTAAAAGATAGCTTTGAATAAATTTAGCGTTTTTGTTGCATGCTTGATCAGTACGATGGATTCTGGTTCGAAGCAAAACGCTACCTTATATATCCACAAACACTAAATAGTGAACCAGCAATGATGGCTTAGAGTTTTTTTTTTCTATTTGCTCCATGAGCGTGGCCGTAAACTTGTGATTCCGTGCTCCTGATTGGATTGAATGGCCTGTTGTCATCGGTCTCTAGATCTGAGCCACAGATCCAGAGTTCACCCGGTTTCTTACTGAAGAAGTGGTTCTTCTGAAGTGGTTTCAAAAAGGATAGTTAACACACAATATATCGACATCTAAATTAAAGTAATTAATGGAATGAATATCCTAAATGATGTGGCTCCTCTCGCTATATAATGTAATAGCTCCGCCCAGCAATAACAGTACCGCTAAACTGAGCGAGCGTTTTTCTTTTCTTCTGATTTTTTAGAGGCATCGTGCGCAATGATACGATCTATGATAAGCTCGTGTTTAAGAAGATCCGCGCAATTCTGGGCGGAAGAGTAGCTTCTATTATCACGTCCTCGGCACCGCTTTCTCCGGAAGTGATGGAGTTCTTCAAGGTTCGTGTTATTATCTCGTAAAGATATTAGGTAGTCGAAACTTCCGATCTCGATTTTCTTTTCGATTTTTACAGGGCAGTGTAATATACTACCCTGTGAAAATATGGCTCACCCTATATATATGTGTCTATTTATTAGAGACTTGACTCGAGAGAAAAATAAGGCCGTGTTCTTTCCTATAATCCTGTAATTTTCCTATAATCTTTGCTAGACTATTCGTATTGTATTTTTGCACCCTACATATCAGATATTTGTCTGCATAGATAATAATCTATGTCGAGTCAGCCAAAATTCGCGCGTATAAAATGTTTTCTTAACACTGGCATAAATGATTCGATTTGGGTGCGTATTTTCTAGGTGGCATTTGGCTGCCATGTTTCGGAAGTGTACGGTAGTACAGAGACCCTAATCGTGAGCGGTACTTCTCCGTACGATCCCACCGGAGGACATCTGGGTGGACCCTTCCCTTCAATTGAGATAAAACTCATTGACGTTCCCGAGTTAGGCTATTATGCCAAGGATAACGTAGGCGAAATCTGTGTTAGGTGAGTTGTAGATAGTTGCTGTTTATGTTAAGCTAAGAACAAGTCGCAGGGGTTGATTGAAAATTAATGACAAAGTAAAGCAATTACTGCGATGGATAGGGCCTTGCATTTTCTGATGGTTATCTCAGTGATAATTGAAACTCCCGTTTGTGCTTGATTCTCTCTATAGGTCCCCATTTGTATTCAGGGGTTATTACAAGGATAAAGCAGCCACCGACAATACCATTATCGATGGGTGGGTCGTCACTGGAGACGTCGGGAGATGGACAGATGTAAGTGGTCATAAGTTTTTATTCTTCAACTAACATACTACTCAAGGGATTCTATTATCTCTAAAAAGGATTTTCTGTCGTTGCGCTTTGCTTATGTTCTAAATTAGCTTTATTGAACTGGCATTATAAGTTAATTAAATTACGTTACGCACGGATCTTTGTATCATGCTACTAACACAAGATAAGTTTTTTAATCATTACCCTTATGACATACTTCAGCGGGGTACATTGGTAATTATCGATCGAAAGAAGGATATTTTCAAATTATCGCAGGGCGAGTACATCGCGCCCGAAAAGGTGGAGTCGGTGTACGCACGCCTCGATCAGATTGCGCACATCTTCGTCGAAGGCCGAGGCGACCAGGTATAATGGTCTTTCTGCATCTCGTTTCTTGTTAGCGGCACCATAATGAAGTGGTTGCTACAATACAGTAAATTAACGACAATGAATTATTAGGATGTGCTACAACAAATACCAAATGTCTAGCAACGCGAACTGCTATTTAGAATAGACTATATTTATATACAAGAGAGTAATAATAAGTTTTTTTTTACCTAATACGACAACTTCACAGCGATTTTGCGTGGCTATCGTCGTTCCTGAAGAAAGCCTGTTCCGCCAATGGATAAAGAATCACGGTTTCGAAAGAGAGTCTGAACTACCACTTAGTGATATTTGTTCCGATATCCGAATTCGAAAAGCCTATCTCGAGGAGATGCGCAATTTCGGGACAGCCCATGACCTTGGCAACCTACAACAGGTACATTTGAGAGGAACAGCCGCGTTCAACTTTTTTGTCCTTTATCTCATCATCTTCTGTAAAATTGATTTTGCTTTTGTTCGGCTCTTTGCGTATAAAGTTCAGTCGATCGTGAAAAACGCACGACAAAACAGTGACTCGCCGTTTGTTGGCATTTTTCCACAGACAACTCTGCAGTAGCGACTAGAACTTTTTGGCAATTAACCGAGTCCGTTTTGTCCATTATTATTGCAGATCCGAAATTTATGTCTTGAGGTAGTACCCTTTACGGTAGAGAGCGGACTTCTAACTTCGACCCTCAAAGTGAAGCGCAACGTGGCACGCGATATGTTCGCTGAGAAGGTTGATCAACTATATCGCGAGGGGTCTCTAGTTGAGAAAAATGTATAAATTTCACGCGCTGCAATTGTGGATCTGATGTCCTTTTTAAATAATTGAGTCCAAAATCATCCTAGGTTTTCTTGAGATTACGAGTGTCCTTGAAAACGCGTCTTCACAGCCATTGTGGCCATTACGGTCCCATCCATAACTTTAACTCGACAACGAACCTTTCATATTTTTATCGTGGTTTTGACACTGTCGAATTACCGAGGAAAAGAACGATTTTAAACGGGGCAGAAGCCTGTCGTTGACAAAAGTTCGGTTTTTTTTTTATAGGGGATGACGACGATGTTGCACAGAGCTCAACAAAACGAATTATCTAGCTGTTCATGTTGATCGAATCATTCCCCTAAACTACAATATATTTTGCCTTGGCTACCGTAGAGAGCGTTATATATATTATAGATCATAAATAAGTGATGAGTCTAAGGCAGAGCGAACGCCTGCAGAATTCTGAGCAGGTCGACTTTTTCCATTGGAACTGGGATTAGCTAACCACCTGCGGTAGTTGTGATATTCATTTTCACATAAACACAAACTTCTTTTGTCCAAAGAATATCTAGCGAAGTGTGCAAAAAAAATATCGAAAAAACCCAATATAAATAGATTTTATATATTTATATAGTATATGAAGATGTTTTGAAATAGTTTTATTTATTTTTATTATTGACCACTATTATATGCTAAACTATATTTACACAAGCGAATACGTGGACACATATGTAGGAAGGCCAAAGCACAATGAGTCCTTACGCGTGTTATTATAGTCTTTTGGTACGTTACTTTGACAAAAACATGACATGATGAGCTAAACTAAAATTGTTTTGTAATCAAACATCACTTGAATCATCTCGAAAACGAGAATGAAATTAAGCAAGGCGTTGTTCCCATCTTTAGGCGCTGCATAGCTTTTACATTTGCCAGCAAATGAGATGAGAGGGTCACCTGTACATGCATATCGACATTCCACTCAGTACATCGTGGAGCGCATTTGTACAAATATTGAACGAATAAAGTATGAGCTATTTTTGTTTTAATGGAATAACTCTCATTAAGGAGTTACCTTTTTACAAGACACTTTCCGCACTAAATAAGTAAGTTAAACGTCAAGTCAAATTAAAACGATAACTATGGCCGGACCATGTAATCTAATCGTAATGAAACTTATCTGTGATAACTAAACTCTAGGTGACCTAATCCTTTGAGAAGGTATATAATATATGTATATAAAATTGAAATTGTTCTCAGAGTAATAGTTAGTGAAAACTTCAAAAATAACCTTAAAGAGGATACATCGGGTTCCGATATTACAAGAAACGTTTTTTTAGCTATGCTATAATAGTTTTGTTTTAGATGAATTAAGGGCACAAAAAAAACACTCTAGACACAGAAACAGAGATGCCATCGAAATGTGTAGTAAGCTGGCATTACGAACCACGGCTTTCGTCGAAAGTGCAAGTGCTTTGAAATCCGTCTGTAAGGGGACAGACTGCGTGTTTCTCGCTATTTCGAACTTGGGTTTTTAGCGTGGCTGAGCTAGCTTTTCGCTATTTTGATAAAGTAAAGGAAACCGGCTAGTATTCAGGAGGACAGTTTTATTAGAATCGAAACATTGCCTTATATTTGACAACTCTTAAACGTATGCCTTCGTATTGGTCTACCAGTTAACATGAATCGATACTTGAGTTTCGGTTATAGATGCAGCCCACAACTTCACAGATTGAAACATAATAGCGCTATAAATAGTTGTTTTCATTTAATACCCTTGTTCATATAATGTCTATTCCTGAGTCCACATAATGGCTGTTATCTCCTTGTAACGGACGTTCATAGAATATGTTTCCATAACAAACTCGTTTGTTATATAATATATTTCTGGCGAGGCATTTAATTATACTATCCTGATAGTAGTCACGGTCTTAATTCTCCTTGTTCTACTCAGTCCAATAATCATTTCGGCCACATGTTGAAGATTTAGAACTAAATCTGATAACGTTAGGCCCGGGACGGATATATCTGCTTTTGGCCTATTTACTATTTAGTGTTCTGCATGTAGGCGATGCAAACTAGCAGTGATATAAGTATATAGTCAAAATGATTCAACGTTTTGAGCTATTTTATGTTAGTCGGTGGCAGTGTAATGATTGCAAGGTGACTATATACAACATCAACAAGGCTTCATCCCTAAAGTTTCAAAGAGTTCCGCATTAGATAACACACTTCGCCTGTTGGGTTATGATTACGGTCTGTCAAGGTTTAGTCTAATTAGTTCGCAACCTTGAGCATTTTTGTCTTGATACATTTGTGTACATACACGCACCATACGGTAGTCGAACCCCCGTTTTCTGAGTTGTTTGTAATTGGCTAACTGGACCAAGGGAATAGCATGGGATACCACGACGCCATGCTACTCATTGGCTTCCTCAAATCTGATCAAAGTTTAATGGAAGGCAGTTACATGCGATACATTTATAGATACTGTGCTGAATGTTTTAAAAGGGGTCACCGCACCAAGTACTCTGATGAAACTGATGAAGCATGATCAATATGGAGCACTCAAAGACATGATGTTCTCCGGCTAAGCAGAATGTTTGGGTAAAAGCGTTTGCCTGGGCAGTCGTAAGTCATGATCAGACACTGGCGATTTTGCACCTGGCTAGTTGAGATAGTTTTTTTTTGTTTACATACGTGTCTATCTTACATGGGTGAAGAATTCTATGAATGGTCACGTCACTAATCAAAACGCTATGAGCCTCATATATGTAAAGTCGACGTATCCACCTAACGGCAAACATGACTTCCACAGTTGACAAAGGTCCACACTCTATGGGTGCCGACTGCAAAGTGTGAAGTTGCCTAAACAAATACATATAGCGCATATGTTTTAAGATATTACCCTTTCTTCACCTTCATACCGATTTTGGTCAAATCTTTTTATGGTCATGTCATCATTACCTTGGAACTAGTTAAGCATTTTGCTTTCGACATCAGCTAAACTCTTCGTTCAGCTCTGTACTACTTCGGAATTACTGATACGGTGAATTTATCAATTTTTGTACTAGCTAATAATAACTAGTAGTACGTATACATACATTTCTATTCATATATTGAACATTTGAAGGTATAATTGAACTGGCTAACTAAACGTCTGCTAGTACCTGTTTACAGCGCCGCTGAGAACTAAAAACCCTGAGTGAATGTGGGCATAATGAACTTTCATTTTCCTGAACCGACACCGTTTGTTTGCTGTTCGAATTATCTGTTCGCCTGGGCTGTGGCTCACATGAGTTGGGTCCAGCTAATCGGAACCCACTTCGGTTGGGTCTGAACTGAATGCCAGATGGCAAGCAAGGTAAGAAATGAGTGTTCAATGTCTTCGTTGACGATCACGTCATCAAACCACTGCCCGTAAAGATACTCCATTTTATGAGCCAGAAAGATAATGTTTCGTAATTCGTCGTCCTGTAAGCGTCACAAACGAAAATACACCTTGTAAATGCCCACCCTTTAATATCTCAAAGGGCTGCTATAGAAATCCAGTATCTATTGACATCTTTTAAGACGAGTGGGCAGATTATCTTGATGTTAAATTCACAGTTCAAGCATAAAATAATGTGGTAAGCAAAATTACAGAAACGGCTGCGGAGGGTGAAAACGGCTTTCTTGAGTGCGTAGCCATGTTTGGCGGAACGCGACATGCTCGCGGTTCCCGACCACAGCAACCTATAAATGTATTGTATATGTCTGTTTTTCAAAGTTTCATAGATTCACAGTACGAAGCATTTCGAATATCTTATTTCCTATTTGAATCACATGTCTACTTACGGCAATCAATTACTGCGTAACGAACTTCGTTTGAACCGAGTACGGCCGACGAGTACGTATCGAAGAGAACGCATAAAACAACGTCTGACTCAATGATTATATTTGAGTCATAATAACATTTATTAGCTGATTAACTTATGCGATGCTTCAAATTATCAAAGATACATTTACAGACTTCTACTTCTAGCTAATACTGAATTCGGCACCAGTTCATGCCACTCGCAAGAAATGGCCAGGGGTATATTACTTCGATTTCAGCTGTGTGGCATGGTAGTTGTCAAAAGCCTTCGTGACTCCATCTTCGATCCTTTTAGTCTGTGTTAGGTTGAGTATAAAGTTCCTGTTGGAGCCAACAGGTGGCGTAGGATCAGCTAGTAATATCTAACTGAAGCTTTTGAGGGTGACTGTTTCGACTGTCGGGTACCTGCCCCACTGTTTTCACTGGCCTGTTGTCGTTAGAAGCGATCATTCGATACGTTAAGACCTTGAGCTCGCCTACAGTATTTTCATGCCGGAAAAGATCTTGCCGAAGCAAAAACAATAGTCTGCGAAGTCGAAGGCAAACGTTTAGTAAACGTTACCATTTCTCAGATTTGGTTCGATTGTTCCAGAACCAAGTCACACGACGAAGAAGTATACACGGTTGGAAAGTGTGCCTCTGCATACGGTAGGATGAGAAAGCTATGTTATGCTATGGGCTATTCAAATCTGAAAAAGGGCTAAAAGAGATCGTGACTTAAATAAACTAAATCGAAAAAAAAAAAAAGTTTTACACCGGCAAAGGACGACGCAAGTAATATTGCCATACAGTGCTTTGATGACCCAGCGAGCGCCAACAGATCTTCAATGGGAAATTAAGCCCGACCCGACGTATAGTTTGGACATCGCACCATTCGATTATCACTTTCTTCGGTCATTTTAATGGAGAGGCTTTTAAGGATGAAGCTTTTTTATTGCGCGGGAAATACTGGCGACTGGCAGAAAGGCGGACGAAAGACGAAGGATACTTATTTGACTGAGATGTGTTGTTTCGTTTGAAAGTTACGATAAATTAAAGTGGCTAAAAACGACCGAAAATTTCTACTCAACTTGATAACATATGTGGTAATGGAAAGGTCTAGGTTATCAGTTAACTTACTATAGTTATTCTATTTAGGTAAGAATATAGCTGGGAGTTAAATCTTATATATAATGGAATCATTTTCGTACAATCAAATAGACTGCGTTTGATTACATTCCGTTAGTTTGAAACTTTTAACTTTACGCGACTCTTTAGTTAACAAATGAAGAGAAAAGTTGAGGATAAATGACTTGGCAAATATACAGTAGATTTCATTAGAATCATGCGGCCTGTGAGACCGACTTTTGTGAAGTGGCTGATGGTTGCTTTTGACAGTATGCCCCCATGATAACGTAATGGCTAACCCATTTGCCTGCTAAAATTGAAAACCTATGTGATCTACATTTGAAGTCGGGCACATTCGTTTCGTACTGGTAGGGGCCAAGCGTCTAAAGTAATGCCTACCGATTTAAGTACGTTACGTAAGGTACTAGAAACAACGTTTTGATTGTTTTCTATAGTACAGTATGCAGCATAAAACGCCACTGTGCGGAATAAATCATTAGTGGTGGACAGATCTTTCCCTTTCATGTTAAGGGCTTTCAATAGGTCAAGGTCGTTTACAGCTTATATAAAAAAAAGTTGTAAACGACCTTGACCTTCCTCCGAGTTGTTCAAGGAATAATAATGCATAAACCCGCCTAAAATCGACACATGCACATAAACAAAAAATGGCATAATCAAATATAATGCTAGATGTAGCTAAACGCTAGCCCGAATTTAATACTCCAAAATATATGTTCGTACGTTTAGTGCCACCACCCCTTGCGGTATTGGATCATTCGGTCGATTGTGATATCAAGTCTTGTTTCTCCAGACACAATATTCTAGTATTTAGATAGACAATGTGTGGGTGTTATGAGTAAATTTTCCTGTGTATACTCTGGCCCTCTTCCAGATGAGTCTGCATATGAGCTTAAACGAAAAGCTGTTGTCACGAAAATTATGAATGCCCATTGGCTTGCTATACTTTTCTAGCACGATGCGTTGCGCGTACTATAGACGGTACTTACTGTAAAACCGCGATTTCTGTCCGGATCGAAAGGTGACCGGGCGTGTGTTCTTAATCGAGTTTCCTTAAGGATTTCAAACGGAGGCGGTTTGATGAAGACGATATGCGGCTTCAGCTACGTGCAGCCATATAATAGTCAAAAAACGCAAAGAGTTACGGAAAATGATAATCTTCTAATGCTTTAGCCCATAGTTTTGAAATAATAGAAGCTAAGACAATATGACTCCACTTTACTAGGGTAACGAACATTAAGCTAGTGCTTTGATTTTATACGATTGTTGCAGGAGCTCTTCTGACGCACCTCTGACGATCGAAGTAGTTTGAGCGCATGTAGATGAGGTGTAAGCACAGCTGTGTATCCAGTAGCCATGAGGGCACGAAGCGAATCCAGTGAGGTACCGTAAAGGTTGCCTGCAAATTCGCCGTGTTCCATAAAACGGCCTTTTCGTATCTCCCACTCCATCCGCTGACGGCTAATGAAGTGATAATCTCGCCCATTTACCTCATAAATGCGTTGCGGCCGAGATGTGTCTGGCAAACGATGAAAGCGTAGAACGGCAGAATAACACCCACCCACGGGCATTTTAAATGACAAATAACGAAACTAGTTACAAATACGGCTGTTTTAAAGTATTTCAGCATAGAACGTAAACTCGTTTTTCTGAAACTATTTATCATTATTAGAGATTAAGTTATTAATATACTAATAACGTCTATCATTCAGTTAACTTACGAGGCACAGTAGTTCTGAACAAGTTCGGATTAGTTGCTATCAACCTTCGTTTTAGCTCATTTCGACCAACTCCAGGTGGTCCGATGAGTACAACCGGCCTCATAAAGTTGATCTGCGAGGACATTAACAAGGAAACTTCCTCGTAGGTGGAAATATGCTCGTGGTCGAAACTATCGCTGTCCTCAAGTCTGTACATAGTCTTTTTCACTTTACGAATTTTTCGAGCTCCGAGTATCGGTGACTTTATTGCTCGTCGGCGTTTTAACGTAGTGAGCTCACGCTGTGCCGCAAATCGTCTCTCTTGAAGTAACGGCGTAGGAATCAGACCGACGCGCACCGTCTCTTCATCTCCTATTTAGGTAGAAAAAGAGGCCAGAATTAAAGCAGATCAAATTCGAGAACGAGCGCCCATCGTGTCCATGAGCCCGTTACGCATTAGCATTAAATAACATATATAACATTACGCACCATATGGGATTTTGATAAAAAGGCCCATTAGGCTGTTCATATGTTTCTGTTCTTATATGGCAAATGAGTATTAATCACAGATATCGAAATTCGGGTTATTGGATTAGCGCCATACCAATTCTGGCTTGCCACCAGTACATGTCATCCTGGGCGATCACATGAAGTATGTCTCCTTTTCGAAATGCAAGGCCGGCATCAGGACATTCGTTACGTGGATCCTAAAACAACCATGTTGATAAAAGAAATATGAGGCTTTTCATGTACGAAAAACTTTCATTTATCATTTATGATACGCATCACAAAAAAAATGTAATTCAAACCCTACTTCTTTGGGCCGTCTTTTAATCAACAACTTCATCCTACAAAATGACTGGAGTTGAGATGTATGTTGCGACATTTTGACTTACTCGAAAGGGATCGTAATCGAATAGAGCACGAAGGTGAAACGGATTGACGTGCGTTGCCCGAAGTGGCGGTGGTCCACCAGCAGGAAGTAACTTAACAATACAGTTGGGTGAATTTCGGACAAGTTCGAAGACCTCGTCGACCTGGGCAGCGGTACGGCCCTCTACATCAATTCCATTTATCTCGATTATTTCGTCATCTGGCTGGATCAAACCTGTGAAAAATGAAAGGTGGAGAAAATGAAACAGCAATAAAGTATTCGTTTTACTACACAATGTACATGTGTGCTTTTTAAGTGAGCTAAGTAAATGTACTGAGTCCCAACGACAGGGGACCTTAAACAATAAAAAAGGTCTTCGAGCACAATATTAGAGTAATTTTTTATTTCATCAGGACATAATGAGTAAGGCTAACTGTATAATCGATTGTTTTACCACTCCTCCAATAGCGAAAACATTTATCGAAGGTCTCATATTGTAAATAAACCTATATCTTGCCCGAACGAAACGCAAAACACATTGTCGTCATATCTTGCTCTGTATATTACGAAAAATAAAGCCATTCAATGAGTATTAGATCAATAACTAGACGCAGATAATGCGTAAGGCCATTTATTTATCTATGCTGATTCCCTATCATGTTTAATTCTCAGCGCTTCTTTTAGCGCATTGCATCGAGCATTCTTTGAGGTATGGATAGTTTTTCTTCCTCCTTACCGCTTCGGTCGGCCGCGCCGCCGTGTAAAACTCGATGAACTTTAACGGCCCCGTTGAGTGGGTCAAACTTCACTGTAATTCCGAGTGGCTCCGCTCCTTTTACAAGCTGGACCACTTTCACGACCTCTTCATCAAAATCGATTGACGGAGACGGCAGGGGAGGCTCGTAGTCCCGACGAGCAATAGAATCGTGCGCTTCTAATAGTGCCTGCAGCAAATCATGCCACAATGTTATTATTCACCGTCCGCCTTATAATTTACCATTTGAATTTTAAGGCAAACTTCCGCACAAAGAATATCGAAGTTTCAAATAATGATTCGATCGCGTATGAGTCACACCCATCCAATTTTCACACATGACCCTCAAATGTTTTTATTCCGCTCACTGAATTAATGAAAACGTCCTTCTTGGGACAATCGCATCCAGTACATGTTAGCTTATTGACCCCTAACATGTATTGAAATTCCCTTGCGGTATATTGTTTTAAATTGAAAACGATGATTTTTATGACGAAATGGTTAGCACGTAGTCGGTCCGCGATTCGAGATCCCATGAGAACATTCTTCTGCCCACGAGTATAGTTTGTTGATGAATAAATAGGTTAAATTAATTTTCATTGAACGATATAATTTCGTTATGTGACTCAACGTATGGTGCTAACACTTTTTGTTGATATCTAACCTTAACATGTGGCTTGTTGAGAATGGCGAACAGTTGAGCAGCGTCGTCATCATGGTAAGCCTGGTAGGCCCCGATGAAGTCTTTTACTTCTTCAGCTTTTTTAACGGCGTGTTTCGACCGTGGTTCCCGTTCTTCAGGTTCAAGCTTTGAAAATCGCTTCTGAATTGAGAATAGCGCATTCAGCTTTGGATCCAGTAGAATAGCTTCATCTTCCGGCGGAGTCGAAATATTGGCAACCTGACGTAGAAGCTTACACTCTTCTTCTAAAATGAATTTTTCGTCAATGAAACAATATAAGATTTGAAAAGAAACTACCTTACCTCAATTCATTCCATAAATCCGGAGCGATAAAAACACCTGGTCACTTCTCTAGAGCTCTACTATCTGAATGAATGTAAACACAGCCTGATTTACGAAATTCTATAAACAAACCATTTTCATCTGATAAATATATAATATAAATAGTGTTACTTTGTAGACGGTCTCAAATAAAATATCGATCTCATTGTTAAAAGGACTAAATTGATATGTAAGAAAATCTAAACCCATGATTGACTTAATTTAGCCAGATACTATAGAGAGCTATAGCTTCAGTCATCTTCTTATGCGATCTAATCGTACGCACACGATTCGACGCTATGAAAAAAAACTAATACCTTATCAATGAACAGCTCGAATATTCCGTAAAACTATATTTATCAGAAAATTCTCTATACTTTATAATGTGGCAACGTACAGCGAAATACCCCCTAAAAATTGTGGAAAATTTGTCAAAGATCATGCGCACAAAATTGGAGATGGCTTTCGTGGCTATAAACGACATTGGTCACTAACCGAGGCTAAGGATCACTTTCCAAGTTTTATCTGGGATGTTTTCGCTAAGGTGTCCTTCACCCCTGTTCGCATCTTCCCCGTTGTGGTCCTCCTCTCCATTCGTCTTCTTCTGACGGTACCGATCTATGAAATGTTCAATAGCCATCGTTGCACCTGCCGCCCTTTTTCCAGCGCGGCCCTCTGTCGATTTCTCACGATTTTTCTTGTCACCGCCTGGGGAGGTCGGCGTGCCAACCACTTGCCCCCTATTTTGTCCGTTCTCGACGCCGTCCCAGTCCGCTTCATGCCACCCTCCTCGAGGAAGAAGGGGAGATCTGAAATTGGTATTATCCGTAAGACCCGTAAAGCCTGCTTCTTGACATGCATTACATAGTAAAGGCGGAGTTAACGTTAAACATAGATGGATTTTAAAATAATAGTCAGTTGAGCTAGCAGTCATTTGCGAATCGTTTACACGTAATGATGACTTTTTGGTAGGAATTAGCAAGTATCATACGGACAATATAACAAAAGAAATATTCTTCAAGCAGTGCATTTTGCTTAGATAAGTATGGTATCTCGTACGATGAGATGTCTGATTCGAGCTTCATCGAATCATTAATTTGTTTGTAGGCTTTATTTGAGTGAAAACCAAATAAAGCCTACAAGTGAATAGTATGTTTTTGCTGGATGAACGCTCGGAGGTATGAACACAAATGCCACTACCAGAAGTGAAGTTCTTACGCGTATATTAACAAAGCTTCTTCATTACATGTCAAACCAGGATCCTCAAATGAACGGTCTTTAGCTTTGCATCCGAGCCTCCGTGATAATATGAATTGAACAAAGGTCACTTGCCGTAGTGTTCAGTAATTGCACGGCAAAGGACAGTGAGAAGAACTCCAAACAAGGGGAGACTTTATAAAATATTAGTAAAGATTAACATCTGGTTTACGAAACAGGAATTTTTTCCCGAGCGGGTATCTATATACCTAAAATAATACATATTTCAATCGTCATATTTCGTACTTGCTTTTAACTTACATAACGATCGGCAAGTCTACATAATACGGAACTTACCTTTTGCCATTTCTGAATTTTTTTTAGGGAATATAATAATCTCCTCCAATAAAAAGGATTGTACTGTAATCAAAGGTATTATTTCTTCTTACTTAGCAGGCTTGTAGATGGACAACGCTGAGCAGAAATTTCGACCAAACAAAAGCATTTATTTGTAGAAAAAACAAAACGTTTATTCGCCGTCATTCTTAAACTTTTCTTCGGAAGAATATCGATTAACACATAAATCAGTCGTCAGCCATATGTACACTGGGCAGAGTGGTAAGTGGCAATATGAGCTTTTTAAACTGTGTGAGAATCTATCTATGCGTTAATTAAAGAAAACTGTATCTTATCAGTAAATACCAACGGCTCCAGTGCAACATAAATTAAAGCCGAGTGTAAAATAAGCGAAATAACGAAAGGTATTGAATTCTAGATATAGATGCACATTTCGTTTAATAAATCTGATAAATAAATGTTTCTGGCTTACCTATGAAAACAATAAGCAGATTTGCAAAAACAGCAATATTCCATAAACATTTGCTTCGACATTTTAGCATAAGATGGCTAGGAAAACTACTTTTTTTGCTCTTAAAGCCTACGAGTAAGCAGGCACACATTACGGAGCTACTTAGTTCGGGTGATAAACATTGAACATGCACCACACAAATAATTATATCCTCCTGCTAAGCAATCCTGTCGATTAGCTCACGTCACAGCTTTGCAGCCCAAATCAGACACAGGCAGATCTTTCAGCACATTTGTTTAGCACACCCCGATTGCCATAACCCTTTATCGCTTTGGCCACACAAGCATTCTCTTTAAGTAAATTTACTTGCTACTAAAGTTTGAATCATGTTCCCTTTGTAGGCCCTGGATAAGTGAATGAAAGAGGTACGCCGATATCTAATGCAATGGTCCTATCGGGTGTCGCTTGCCTGCTTTTCTAATCTCTGCTAGAAATATCCATCCGACTCGTCGTTCAGCCTTCGCCCCCCTTAGGCGGTTGTATGTATGTATGTATGTATTATTAACGAATGCGCGGTGTTCATTGCACTGCTGCTGCCATTGCAGCCGGTACCTAGCACTAAAACAGCACTCTCATCGATGCTGCTGCTGCTGCTGCTGTTGCTGCACCACAGGCAAAACCCAGCAGCTGGCTTCGTTCGTCAGTTAGTGCCACCACTACCACGAAGCTCTCTCTCTATTCCGATTTCCGCTATTGGGACTAACAACCCATATTACCACGGCTACTACCGCCGCAGTCACCGTAACAAACGCAGCAAAGGAAACAGACTACGGACGATATGAATAACCCTCACACTAACAACATCTCGCTTGTCTCGTGCGCTTCCCTCTGAACACTACTATGTTATTACATATGGCACATATGAGTGCAAAGTCGCACGAGTCGCAAAAGTCTAATAGGGTAACCGGTTCCTACAACAGTCAGTATTAATTGTACGACACTAGTATCGTCGATGCTTAACAAGACTCACGAATTAATGAAGAACTGAACACAACGGAACTCAAGTACGTGTGGTTATGGTACAAATAAACATCATTAGGCTCAATATAACCTGACTGCCTGGATAGACAGATATATATATACAGACTGCAATAAGGGTTAATAAAATAGTTTTTATCTTTTTCTCTATTCTTGTGCTGTACTCAAGTGGGAATTAGCTCGGCTGAGTCATTGTTACCAACTCTGCTGTGATGGCCGTTAATTGGTACAGTCGTCTGCGACAAACAAAGCCGCGTTAGATCACTAAGACTACGAAACTTGTCGTCCAGTGACAACTCAAAGGAAAAAAAGTTTTTACAAAAAAAACAATAAAAACTGGAGGAGACATGAAGAATATGAAGCTTTGTTGTCTGATTCACTCAGGAAATTAGGTCTCGACAAGACAGCAGTCCTGATCTTATCTTCAAGCCCTCTGCTTTTTCTACACCCCTGAAAAATGTTAATTAATCATTCGTTTTTATCTGGCTGAAGGAATTGAATCTACCGTTAAAAGTAAAGTTTCGCGTAGAGACAAATATTAGGCAAGTAAAAACTATTTTCGAGTTCTTTAGTGAAAGGGCCATACACTATAAGCGTGTACTTCCCAGAACTCTCTCACACTTCTGGCAGCGAGTGTGTCTTTGAGATTTGAAGATCTACAGAAATGAGCAGCGGGGATACCTTTTCTGTATAGTATTTATATCTAATTTCCTATAGAGTTTGTTGCCTATCACAGTTGATTATACAGCCTAACCAGAGTCCCATAAAATTTATCGAATAGGTGAACCAATGCATTTATTTACCATGAAAAGGTTATTTATTAAATAATAGTGGCTTTTTCATGTTCTATTCTACTCAAGTTACATTGAACCATCGTACTGTGATTTCCTGTTGTCGTACTGATTCGAGCGTTAGATTGTCGATGCAACCAGGCGTCAAAACAGCGTAACGGAGAGAAAGTCTACAATTGTTATGAGACTCTGTCGTTACTCTAATTAATGACACACAAATTTCTTCTATAGTTGACCCCCAGATACCGCATTGTTTTACTACTATATGGACTGGTTATGGGATTACCTGTCTTATGTAGCTCTTATAGGCAATCAACAGATCGTTCCAAAAAAAAAAAGTAGCTTTCGGAACTCTGTTTCTTGATAACTGGTCAGGAGCTGATGCTTTGCTGCCCACGACTGGCCAAAGAACTAGCTCTTGTTTTGATGAGTAATCTGTACAAATTATGATACCGCATACTCTACATATTCTGTTTACCTAACATACATATTCTGATTACCTGAGTGTACGTTTTGTTCCACTTGAAATCTTAAAAATGCATTTCAAAAATTGCGTCGCAATGTACTAGCTAGTATCTAGAACATGGTATTATTCGCAGAGGTCCACTATACTAGTAAACTGCTTCTAACCTGGCACAGGTTTATGCGTGAAGCTGTCAATAACAATAGCCTCAGTTGCTGGCCACACGTGGAACCGCATTGAAAATTGGCTTCTATCACTGTTTACATAAATCGCCTGCTCACGCATCCTGAACTCTATACGGAAGCGAAAGCACCACGCAAGATACATTGCGAAGCCAACAATGTCCTATTGTGTCAGAGATAATGTCTCAAACAGAGCATACGATCAGTCGAGGTTCCTTGTTGTACGCGGCAAAGCGTCGTACGTCGAATAATCATTTGGAAGTAGATACTAAAGCGCAAGTGAGCGGAAATAATAGAAATGGAGCAAGACTAATCAATGGGAAATAGTTTCATGGATCTGAATAACCCTGGAAACATGTAACGTGAATAGAAACCAGTCAATACTGAACATTACAGAGCAGTGACATTCTATTTTCGATCCTTTCATTCCCGTGTGAACATGAGCGATGCGATGTCATTTTATCCTCTCCTTATTTTCCCGATACAGATTTTTTTTTTTTACCGAAATCGATACGCAATGCTCAGTATTCGGTGGTTCGCACTGCGTTTCCGGACATCGGTAACATCTCCACAAACAGAATCTCTGATAAAATTGGCTGAATCCTTCGATAACACAACAGGTTAATTCGTTTAACAGGTAAAATACGTTTCGCGCTAAACTCAAAAGCTAAAACAACAAATCCTACTAGTCCACAAAGGCTTATGTCGAAGGCTCTCCTTAGCGAGCAAAGGTCAATGTATCATCGCTTTGCCAGAGCATAACAACAGAGAATGATCAGAAAAGTCAATCCATTGCCTAAATATAATGCTTTATTTTTTACATTTGTTAATGTTTTATCATCTATTACTATATATTTATATTTAATATTTATAGAAAACTTTATTAAAGTGATTACAATTCAGATCGTTTTTGAAGACGAAAAGAAGCAAAACGAACATACGGCCGCAGCCGAATTGAAAGGAGACGAGAACCTGTTTTATGGATTATTAAATGGAGTATAATCCACCACAATTATTGAAATTTAGCCTATAACGCACACTGAGTTGCACACTCTAGCGTACTAAACTTTCTTGAGATATATTAGCTTTTGTTGCTACTATCCTTTTAACAATCCCACCTAAATACATACTGTGTGAATTTGCCGGTCCCAATAATCATTTCCCGAATGCTGCGTCCGATATCTTTTCTAATTATGACAGAAACGTTTACGCAGTGACGCCTGCGTGACCTACATTTCGATGTGGAGGCGATGTTGGCTAGTAAAACATCAAATATTAGTACACAAATTCGCGCCCTAATTTAATTTAAAGAATAAAATTATTTGCCATAACCACTCACCATCAATTCTATGCCAGTTCCGAGTGTCGAACCATGCTCGATCAGCTGTTTCGACCGAGTTGCAGTCCTATCCTTAAGTTACGCCTAAACACCACTTAGGCAAATGTCCACTGGTACAATGGAATCCAGTATGGGATAAGTACTATTACGAAATTTATTTATGAGGGTTAAAGAAGAGACACTCGTCTCTCTGATTAACTAACATCGATTTCACGTCGCTTGTTTAGTTGCAATAGGGAGCATACAGGATTGTTATGAGACAGACCACTTGTGCAATGGTGTTTGGTAAAGGCATCAACTAGCTTGTGTAATGGGAAGGAGCTGTGCGTGGAGCGAAAGGCCCAGTGTTATAAAACTGCTGAGTGCCCTCACCCAACAATAGGACAACTGGAGAGCTGATACTTGATGATATCACCCTTTATGAGGTATCGGTCTCAACTAAGCTCATGAGCATTTGGTTGATTTCAACTGGGCTGATTTTTATGACTTTACTTATTCAAGTTTTCTATATCATTACAATATGAGTAGGACATATTTTACATAGCTAATGTTTATTGCCTGCCTATTGAAAACAAAAGGAAAATTAGGCAATTTGTGTTTAATGATTGCTTTTAAGGAAAAAAAAAAACGTTCCAATGCCCATGAGATAATTTCGAGCAATTTTTAGATACTTGGCTGAATGAGTCCGAAGCATATTTAAGTTTGCATATCCTAATTCGACAAGCACGTTACACGACGAAGATATACCTGAGCGGGATGGGGCGTCAAACATGCCGATAGCCAATTAAGTTCAATACAAATGGATATATAAGCACATAGTTAATATAAACTATGTGCTCGATTTGGCGCGGTAGCTTCCGCGGCTAAAACGCTGGTCAAGAGAGCCAACGAACGTCCACTGACTTACTATTATATAGCACTTATACAAAGCCAAGAAAAAGATCCAATGATACAGTAATTGAGATTTGTTATAGTGCTTTTTTAATAGCTTTTACGGTAGAGGAGCGAAAGTGAAATCCAACATAATTTTTAGAGGAGGAGAGTCGGCCTACATTTTATCGATGTAGATTCTATTTTTTTCGTGCATTGCTCGGTCTAGCCCTGAGAACACTGGTGAGACGTTTCAGTGTTTAGACGGATTGCTCTACTTTAATATTATTGAATTATTCAAAACGGTCAAATATGCTGGCAATTTAGTTTATCCTAAAACTGTCAATAGAGTTATATAGAACTACTTCTGACAACGATTCCATGTAGAGCCCGCTCTACGTGCGTCGGTGCTATCTAACTGCTCCCTAAGCCTGCGCTGTTCGAAGACGTCCCTTTACTACTTCACTATAATAACATACGGTAAAACTTCGGCATTCTGTGCCAACATGACACAACATCAGGTACTTAAGTACTCGCCGTATTTTAATTAAGCCTTCCTGAAGCAACGACAGACTACTATGGGCGCACATCTCACTAATAGATTGTTCAGAAAATAAAAAAACAATTTTTTAAAAATGAAGGGTGGCTACGGTTAACGCTGAACCCAATCTTGTGTGCTATTTTTATTCTTGGACGTAAATATGCTTCTAGATGATGACAAGATTCGCCAAGCGCCTTCACTTTTACTTCCTAATAAAGCTGAATATGAGATACTTAAAGCGACAGAATCAGCTCGAGTGACCCTGACGGATAGCGGACTTGAATATTAAATAGTCTTCAATAAACATACTGGGCGCCAAACCTAAAATTAAACGAAAGCGAAAAATTTACAACGTCGTTACAAACGAATCTGGTGAACTTGGAAACCGAATAACTGATGAAATAACTGGGTTAGAATGATGATTTTTCAAGATGTGTCGCAAATACTTTTCTTTATTTTTTGCACACCTGTCAGAGCAGTTTGGCAACTTCTGTACCTATTATTCGCGTTCCCATATATAATTTCTTTATCAGTGGCTTCTTAAAGTAGATCGATAGTGAGACAGGCTTGGTACCAGTTGCCTTGCTTGGACATGAAAAGCCCATAATCATACGAATTCAAATCGAGCGAAAAAGAAGCGGGTTGAAACCAAGGTTGGATATTTCTTTACTCAACCCAGAAAGAAACTGAGGTATGGTGACATAGTCTGGCGTGGTGACAAATTAACTGTGCCAAGAGTGCACATAGTATTTCAAGGAACTTGAGATAGCGGGCTGCATCCATCGTTTCATTTTTAGCGTGTATCGTATAGTAGCAGGTGCCTCTTATGCCCGCTGCAAGTATTGCCATCATCTTACGACCAAACCTAGCTGACATCATTACTCGACTTTTCTTCAGAGTGACACAATTTCCTGGTCTGTTTCTATTAGCCACATTTTGCTTGTTAGTGGCGCGTAGTTCAAAAGTTATTCAGTCTTAAAACCCGCCGGATTCGTTTATAGCAGCCTCTCTATATGGTTTATTGTTATTTAATAAGCCATAGATTATTTCCAAGATATATAGTGCCTTAAAAATGTATATACTGTTTAACGAATTATTGCTTTAGGATTATTCGTTTTGTTCATGATGTATTTAATTGGAAATAATAAGCGTATCAACAATTAACTTTAAGCAAAGGAAATTTATTTTAACATGCTATTGTTGTTGCTTATTGACATTGTCGATAAGGGTTGAAATTAAATAAATAAGAGATAAGTTTGAAATGAACAAAACTGCTTAGGATGTTCACAAGCAACATAAAAAAACCAAGAACATGAACGAAATTTTCGCTAGAAAAGCTATTTTTGCTAGAGAGTTATAGGAAATATTCCAAAAATCTATAAAAGAGATCAGAAGCTTACAAAAGTGTTTATCGTATTTTAAGATATTGTAAATGGACGTTATTTTGCCGCACATTCGAAAAGGTTTTGGTAAAGGGCGCAAATTAATTTCCAATAGGAAAGAGCTCTTGCTCACCATTATCTTTGATAAATTTCCGCAACATTTACTTCTCCATGAAACAAAAACCTAATAACTCAGCGTTGGTTTCCTTCTGAATTTTTTCTCCATGAGTAAACTTTACCGGTTTTTACTTATATGAGTATTTTCTAGCCAAATTTCCTAGTGTAAAAGTTGATCAATCTAAAAGTCAACGTTGGTAACAGCCTCATATTGAGGAAAAATAACAATAGTTGAGTTGCAAGAGTGGCGAACTAGATTATATTACATTGCCTCAATACGAAGTAATAAACGTGCTCTCTAGTAATAAGTGTTTTTGCCTTTTCTTGTGAATATTGCTGGGAAAAATGGCCTCCTCACAATTTCCCCTGTAGAAGTTTGTAAAGTCTTTTTCATGTATATAATGTAATATATATGATTTAGTTAATAGGCTCAGAATGCAGTTCAAAAAGCGCTGCTAACACTATGATTCAAGATATTTTTTCAATATTAGATGTACTATATTAGCTAACATACAACAGCAAACAACTTTAACATCAATTACTGCATACGATACTAAATAAATATTAGTAATTGTGAATAGAATATTTTGTGTGAGTTTCAATGTAACGGATAAAGGATGGCGGAAAATTCTGAATGTAACAATGTTGAAAGCTAGGAAAATTTACTATGTAGTTGCGGCGTTGCGTTGCTTGAGCTAACGATTTCCAATAGTCATTTCTAAAAGGAAATTTACATAAAAGATTAACGAAGCGACTCAGAGAAGTGGTTTGCTCCATCTGAGTACATTGATTTGTGCGTCAGGCCACAAGCTTGGAGTGCATATAAATGCGAAGCGGTAAGAATGCCATGCTGATTGAGGAGACGCGATTCGTAAACGGAGTGATATATCACAGATGTATAAAATATTACTTAGTTAGCTGATATTAATTGAAGTTCAAGTACGAAGAGAGACTTACAGCGGACGTTACGTTCTAGCTAAACGGAAAAAGGTTGAAACCCATGAAACCTACCTCGGCATCACTTTGCGTCTTGTAGGTCCATGAGTCGCGTGACGCGTACTTTCGTATGTATTTTTCCGTGCAGCATACCATGAGAATAAATGGCAGGATGTCGTTCAATTAAAGAAATTAACACTAACATTTTAGGACAACTAGAATTATTTGTTGTTACTACCTGATTTAGGTAAAAAGAAACTCTCATTATACGCAGTGTAATAGGGTAGTTTGATAAGTGAGATGAATGCCATAAAGATAGATCATTGAGTCTGACCCTGACGACTTCGTCCAGTCTAAAACTAATATTTTATTTAAAAATGTTCTAATTACTAGAAAAAAAAAGTATGGATCAAAAAGTCAGGTGTACACAATATCTGCCACAGCATTGCTCAGCTATAGCAATTGATGGGATTCGCGAACAAGAGCAAGAAAAACTAATTGGTGACTTTATCGTTACACACGTTCAACAAATGGCCAGATTTAACTAGAATTTTCGTGTATAACTACGCACTAATCACTGATAAAATATATAACAATAAAGTTACACAGCGTAACTTCGCCTTAGAAAGTTTAGGAGTTTTAACGAAGCCTTTTCAGATCGATTTCACAAACACCATAGTGTGAGTGCACTTCATCTTTTCTACATACTATTCCTTAATTAGAAAAATAATCTGAGCACTCATCAAAGAATAGCATAGCTCCTTTTAGGACGCATCGTATGTTAACTCGTGATTTGAAAGGTTGTTGGCCTATTTTTTTGTGTGGAACGTTAAAATAAATAAAAAAAAACCATAAATTATTGATTCGAAGAATACAGGAGCCACAACCTAGAAGTCGATCTTATAACCTTTTCCTTGGGACAATGTTTCGACCAGTTTAATACGGTGCACGATCATTGGCAAAGGTAATGTTTTGAGCTTAATTTTTAGGCTAACCATTTCGACTTTATATTCTCAAAAAATATCACTTTCGCCTAGGTTGGACTCATCGCATGGTTACTACTCGTAACTTCAGAACGAGGATCATTATGCCGATTCAATACCGATATGACAACATCATCCTAAATCCTATTTACGGTTCCCCTTAATCTTTTAAATCATTAGTAAATCAATCCGGCTTACGATCGGTTAAGGAATCTTGTCCGTTAAACAACAAGAAAGGTATCATTGCAATTATGAAAATAAGGTAGTATTTTATTTAGTTTATAATGTTTTCTTATGACGGTGCAGTGATAATTTTCTTGCTTCCTACATTTAGAAAACGTTTTCCTTTACCGACCGCCGGTCCTCTGGAGTGCCTCATAACTTCCGACTCGGGAATTTTTTCGCACTCCGCTACAACATAGGCTGAAAATTGCACACGCTTGGGCTCGTAGCTAAGCAAAAAAGAGCTTGTAAATGTATATATGTAATGATAGCTTCTAAAATAGGCAGGGTAATCCAGATTCGAAACTACAGGAGGAAGGAGAAAGGGTAGATGCACGTTGTTTTGTGCTGGGAGCAAGGGATCAGGAGCAGTGTCTAACGGCACTACCGAATGTAAAAATGCAAGGCATTCAATGGGTCAAAACACCTATCCATACTAAGCATGTCCTGTTGCACGAAACGGAGAACTGATATTCAAAATTATGAGGCACAAAGCTCTGCTAGATCTCAATACCTTTTCTATTCGATGAAGGCGCTTGAAATTTTAATGTTTTTGTTTTTCTAAGCAAATACATTCATTCAGTCGTTGAAATGAGCCGCCATTGAACAAAATATTTATATCTTTCTTTTTATATTATTCTTATTATAGACTTCTTTTTATATTATTGTAGACTGGCATAAAGAATTGAAGGTAACTATTAATGGTGTAAACGTATTTGTATGAATCAAATACACGCTCCGTTTGTCTCTAGGAGCATCCATATTTGAATTTCGCGGTTGTCTCATCGTCTAAATCGTTCGGCACGGAAGCCACGCGCTGGCTTGCATCCGGTTTCGATTTCTTTTTTTTCGTGGACTGCTAGGTGTGTGGTTCGACTTCTTATAAAATTTCAACTATTTTAGCGTATATATTCGAAAATCATCAAGGGTTAATGTGTCTAACACGATAGGAACGAGTGTTCTCAACTAGTTGGCAGTGCGAGTATTATTTCTTAACTAAAGCGAATCAAGTGTATAAGTGTGTGCACGTTGCCAAGCCGGCCATAGTCAATCTATTGCCCTACCGTGACAACGTGTTTGATATTGTGGAACGTTGATTTGTGCGGTTCATGAATTCGATCGTATTCTAATTTCACCGGAATCACCGTTCGAGCTGAGAATTTCTAACATTGTTGTGTTTCTTATGTTACAGTTGTTGCCAAATGGGCCGCTATCAGACCGAACCGGAGAACACGACTAAGTGTAAGTAATCAATGCAGCTGCCTTTCCCTGTGTAGTTGTCGGCCTCATTTTAGTTGAACTTGACATTACTGCATTAATCTAGCACTTCCGAAACTGAATTTCGTGTGTGGAAGCAAAATAAAATAGTCACTAAGTTAACAGTTTCGCCGACCTAACTAAAATCAGTGTATCATATGGACGTAAATATTTATATAGCTGGCATAGGTAGTTTCTACGGGAGTAGTGACTTAATAGACTAAATCGAAAGATATCGATGCATTGGCTCTTTTCATAGGCTATGCACTCCCTAAACGGTTTACGTGTTTTGGTTTTGGGAATGCTACTGAATGGCTGATGTTACTGCTGATGTTTGGGCGCTAATCGGCGAACACAGATCTTATTTGAATTATACTCTAATTTGTACTAACCCTTATGAAGATCGTTTTTGGTAAAGAAACTGGCAGTAACTCTGTATTGCCACCTTTTTGTGCTTTCACCTCGCAGCGGCGAAGAGTCGCGGACTGAATCTTCGCGTGCACTTTAAAACCACGCGAGAGACAGCTCGCGCCATCAAGGGTATGGCGCTTCGCCGAGCCAAAAAGTATCTTGAGAATGTCATCGAGAAGAAGGAAATTGTCCCTTTTGTCAGGTAAGGTTTTAGTGCCTTTGACATATTTTTGACTGGAATAGCCCTTATTGACATGAGTAGAACCACTAATTCCAACGTAATTTAAGATCTAGTTCTATTCTACAAATTTAAAGAAATCTGAAGAACACTGAAAGGGTTTCGGAAACATAGTAAAACTATGCTTTGACAGGTTTAGAAGTTAAACATTAACCTGTGTTATATTGATGCTGAAAAGTATGCAGATCCAGATAGCACCTAAGTTGCTACGTAAGTCAATTCCTCAGCCTATCCTCCACACTCGGAGATCTTCGTGATTGATCAAAAACCCGATCAATCAGCTTCCCTTGGCCACTCCCCCGCGTCTTACCATCGTCCACTTTTACCGTCAAATATTGATGGCGACCTTTCTAGCCATAGTCGGCTTCAAGTTGTCGTCTAGGAATGTTTTTGGGAAATTCATTTCTCCAGCCAAAAAATCCCATAGTAGCATCTGTGCTAAGACGAGAAGCGCTTCATTCGAGACCGACCAATACGCCCAGCTTATGTTGTCCAGCAGCGTCCTTTGGGCCAACGATGATGGACCCCTATTTTTTTACTGGTTGAAGCGCCATGTCTTCCCAAAAAGGGACCGCCTTACAGATGGCCAAAGCGTCCGGCAAAATAGGACACAAGTTAAGCTCAGGGCGGTTCGCTGTTTACTGTTGCGTATTTAACACATGCAGTTCTTCTTAGCTAGATGTCAGGCATGGCCCCAAAGTATTTCCCATCTTCTATGATTTCTATCGGGTGTCTTGTGTCTATAAGGCCAAATATTGTTGTCCTTTTCCGGCTTGTTAAGTACACGACTTCTATCTGTTCAGACAGAACGAAAATTTAAGGCTATACGAACAATAGTCACTAAGTACTCGATAGTTTGACGTGGTTAAATTTTGTATGTGTAACTAAAGTGAGTCGAGCTATTGAAACAAAATACTTAGGATCGGTAAACCACTGGCTACAAAAAAACTCGGGCGTGTCGTTCGTTAATGGCGCTAATAATTTGATTGAAGGCAATTATCACTGAACTGTTGTCTTGTTGTGCAACATTAAACTCCCAGGTTGCGAAAAAAAATGAGTCTTCCCAGTTTACTATTAGTAATCGGGACAGAATAGGCCTATGATAAATTAACGGATCATTGTACGAGCATGCAGTTGAGGTAGAATTTGCAGAAGGTTCGCATTGTTTAGTGATAAGGCAAAGCGTTGCAGATGATCCTATTATTATTCCATTCTAACAGAAACAGTGACTGTCTAGATTATGTGCATACCTTGAAATTTCTTATTCAGATATTGTAGTGGCTATCTTAGGCCATCCAGCCAATGATGATTGTTGGCGGATGAACGCTATTGTTTACAAATAGCATAGCCATTTAGTTTACAACACACAACTGCTTTTCTTCTTATAAATTTCTTCTTGATTATAAAGCAAAGTTTGCACATAATTTCATTTGTATAATAGATACCGAATGCAACGTCTGATATGGAGTCTAAAGGTGATTAAGTAAAAAGTGTCATTTGTAGAAACGTACGCTAGACAACTCAGTGCAAAATCGCTGAAAATATGTCAGCCTGACTTAGTGTTGGATGTCACTGGCTGAAGCAGTGCATCAGTATTAAGCTACTTTTCGTCAACCAGCCGCAAAAAAACCTGGCAAATTCACTGAATCGTACAGAGTACGTCGCTACCGGTAGTTGACTTAGCTTTATTAGAGTAAGACTAATGACACGGCCGAAGGGATTGGCCTGGTCAACGGGTAAAGGGAAGACCAGGGGGCTAATTTCTATGAAGAAGGCATGTGTCCATTTGGAAAGGGTGTAGGAACATGAGTCCGCTGGAGCTGGTCCCCGAGGCTGCTAGTTTTTTTTTGCGGGTTTCATTGCCTCTGGCCGCTACTCCTGCTGCAACTAGGGAAGTTGCAATAATTTTCCACAGCACCTGATCGACGGCGGATAGGACTGGACTGAGTCGGGATTAAACGACTGGTTGACAGACAAAGGCGCCTCTAGGAAAATGAGTAAGGGCCTGTAAAGGAGACGGAAAGACTGGATTGGAGAAGTGTAGTGAGCATTAATTGGAAGTACAGCTTGCTTTGTCAATGGTGCCAAGATCTGAACGGAAGTCTGCGGTGACCAGAAGGTAGTAACGAACTTTGTAGTCCGACCAGAAAAAAGGACGCGTCTGTTGTGTTGAGTTTCTTCCGACTTCATGAATCCGAATGAGGACCATGGATTTTACATGCCCCATAGACAGACGCGTACTTAAGACCACAAAGGACACGTCAGGTTACAACCACAACTTTCATTGCAGACGGTAGAGAGATCATGCGAGAGTAGTTCTGGATAATGGAAATCGGTACTACTTCACGTAGAACAGGTTGTCGTACACGGTGCTTAGAAAGGAAAACTAACAATTATGTGCAGTTGTCAATAAATCATGGGGAACGTTTTAGTCTTAAAAAATAAGTTTTAGAGAAATATGTCCGGAAATTTTTCTGACAGGCATAGACTCTTCTGACAGGTGTGGTAATTTGTCGATTGATAAATTACGTTACAAAATGTTGTTCCCAATGGTGTTTGATGTCCGAAATTGAGCAAACGACAATATAAGGTGCGAGCAACAATGTAGCTATACTGACAACTATTGCTATAAAAGCAAAGAGTTCTTGGGAGCTATGGCGAAAGTTGCTTCAAATATTGGCTTAGCTGTGCGACTGAAATAAGCAACAAGTTCCTCATATTTCACCAGTGTAAAATAGTCGTATGTGCTTATGGAAAACTGTTAGGTAGGAGGGATGATAAATAACCAAATGTTGTTCATCACGAGGATGTGGTCTCATGGTTACCGATAGCGGAACGTGGTAACGGCATGTACACCAACGATTCGAGCTGATGCTGCTCGTAAATGGAATTGGTTTCCTGACCGGTGATGAAACGGCATAACAGCAACGTATTCAGTATGCCCCTGGCCATTTGGCTAGGTCGTGCAACAAACGAGACATCGATTGTTGGTCCGAATATAGCCTATAGTTGCCATTGATTGACGAATGACTTTTTTTCTAGTACTGTGGGTACCAGTGGTAAGCGGTGTTATAGATGCAGATTTTTCTTGCGTTCTTTTGCTGTTTAGTAGCGTTGATGCTAGCTTTGTTGTTACCGCGTCTGTTTTGTTTGCTTTCATTTAAGGTGTAACGAATATGAAATGAAAAATGGAGGTTTTCGGCATCACGAGTCAAAGATAAAAGCAGTAGTAATAACACAGAAAGCAGATAGGCAGCTATAGATGGTTCGGTGAATCATGCAGCAGCTGTGTTGCAATTGCAAAATTCTAAGAAAAAGGAAAAGCTGAGTGGTTCTGGCCTGGCGTTGCGGAAGAGTACCAGTGATATGGGCAGGAATGAAAGGCAGGCGAGAGACTTTGGCTGTTTCTCAGCTGACTATTCGGCGAAAGGGGTTCTTTTAATGGGTCTTTCCACACCCCAATAAGAAGCGGCTGCGTAGCAAGCAACAAAACTCCACTCTCCGACCTCAGTCGTAGCCGTGCTTCTATTTCGATGCTGCTGCTAAAAATGTTGTTGATGCTAATAATGGTGCTAATGATCGATACTTCATTGCGGAGATTCAAGTTGATTCAGGTCAAAGATTCAGTTGGCGTTGGCTTTGCCTTTGTTTGGGATGAAGTTACATCTCGTGTCACGGCACCTCATTTATTTGTCACAACATTATTCCGCATTAAGCTAATTTACGTTCTGCTTCCGTGTCATGTTTTTCGTTTTTGCTAGTTATTTTGGAATATTTTATGGCCTTAAACAGCTGTTGGTGAAAATACGTGGTTGCTAGGTGCTAGATGGTGTCTAACGGCTCATTGTCAACTCTTACTTTATGTTGAGTAATTGTAATGTTACTTGTGATTTAATTTGTGGTTTTGTTTCTAATGGTTGCTTTTTGAACATGAAATAGGTTTAATGGCGGCGTAGGTCGTCACGCCCAGTGTAAAGCCTGGAAGACTGCGCAGGGTCGCTGGCCAAAGAAGAGCGCCAAGCACCTTCTGCAATTGCTCCACAACGCCAAAGCTACTGCTCGTACGAAGCAGCTCGACGTCGACCGTTTAATCGTTGATCACATCCACGTAAATCGAGCTCCTAAGATGCGTAGGAGGACATACCGTGCCCACGGTAGGATCAATCCTTACATGACTTCGCCTTGCCATATCGAGCTTTTTTTAAGCGAAGTTGAAAACATCGTCAGCAAACCTTCTGTACCCGCCGAGGTCGAGAAGAAGAAAGTCTCAAAAAAGAAGCTAGCCCGCGCGAAGGCCATGAGCCGCGAGTAACCACAGTTGCTGCGTATAACCTCATCCAACTGTGACCTGCAGGGCGAGATCAATAAAATACCGAGCAGCGTCGTCGCTCTCTGGCAGAAAAAAAATCTCTTTTTATTGGTGCTAGGTAGTTTGTATATTATTACAAAAATCGTTTGTGAATTAGGGGTCGTTCCCCAAAATATGACAGATGTGTTGCGGTCAACTTTTTGTTAGCCTGATGGGTTTGAATTTCAACGCATCGTATCATTCAAGATAAACACAACGACTACAAACAAAGATCACATTATTTTGTAACCCAGAAGAGAGCAATAAGAAACTATTTCTTTCTGACTACGTGATTTGACAGCTGATTTAGGTGACTATGTAGTTCGATAGCTGTCCGTGGGTTCCGTAAGCTGCGCCTTCAGCAAAGCAGAGCTTACAGCAGTGGCAATATTGAGCTTAACAATACATTACAAAGCAATTTTCATGAATGGTTAGAACATACAAAAGGGATTCTTCAGATACTAACAGCACCTAAATTGTTATATCATCGACGTTATGGGAGTAATGTAGAACTAGCGAAAACGACAGTTCAGATGTTAGACATATGATATCCAATATATAATATTAAATATATGAATATATTTATATATAAATATCTAAAAAAAAGTTCTTCGCGCCTCGGGAAGGGGAAGGTAGAAAGAGAACGAAAGCGTAGCTTTAATTCTGTTGTACGAAATCACTGCTTTCTGTTTTTTTGCTTCTCGGGCAAGGATGTGTCAGTACATAGTCCTTGCATTTGGCGGTTACCTTGTGCTTTGGTAAGATTACCATTTGAAGAGTAGCGAAGTGTTGAAATTTTATCGTATAGAGTATAGAAGTATAAAAAAGTTACATTGCAGGGCAATTTTAGCACTACAACGAATTAGCGTAATTTCATATTAATACCTGTATTAGTAGAAGCAGGCTAAACTAAAGTTGAACTGTATCTCCTAATTCAAACAGCAAAGATTTTCGAATCAGATTCAGCACAAATAAACTGCACAGTTGTTATATTTTTTACACATCTACACAAATGAGAGAACAAGCTCATTGCAAGATTGCATTCATATGCTTTTTTGTCCCTATCTCTTTTTCGGCTCATGTAAATTTACCCTTTTTACATCAGTAATGTAAGATTGGCTCATGTTCTGGTTCTAGGACATAAAAAAGATTTTCCTACGATGAGGTTTAGGCCCACCTCTGCTCAAATCGAGACGATGGACGCCTTTTTTACATAAACGATACATAATAAGGGTAATTTTTTAGAACTCCAAGTTTTAAACACTATCTAAGCAAAACCAAACATTTCAATGAAATAGTACGCATATGTTAGAAGTTTTGTTTGCAACCGTTATGATTTTTCAAGATAACCATCATCGCCACTGAAGCTTCTATTCAGTACTTAAACCATTCACTAACCAGTTTAAAAATAGCCCTTCTTTAATTTGCCAATCATGTTTAAATACTAACTGTATAACGAACAATATGGGTAGGTGTAAACTAGTAAAAGTGTCGCCCCAATACACGGTATATAAAAATTCCAACGGTATCAATTTTCGGGGCTGTAATAGGCCAAGGGCCCCAAAAATACAAGGGCCTAAAAAGGACAATAAATAAAAGCGGCGCGAAAGTCGCGAAACGACTAACTGTTAGAACACATCGCGACAATCAAATTGGCAATTGATAATCTCCTCCTTAAGCGCCCGCTAACTCCTGTATTAAAAAATGAGGTATATCAAGAATAGCTTTTAAACAATTTTTAGCTTGTTTAATCCAAACCATATTGCAGACCTTCCGGTTTGGCCCATGGAGATCTTCTTCGAATTTTTTTAGAAGCCGTACAGAAACGGGCAACAAAGCAAACCATTAATCTCAAGCAAAAGAAAGCCTTCGGTTTTGTTGGATATTTGCCCAGTGAGAAAAGATAGAATACTAATAATTTACGCTTTTTGTATGGCAAGTTTTCTTGCCTCTGTGAGCGATCCTTTTAGCCGGCTCTTCTAGTATTAATACTGCGAATGTTTGGAAACATGTCGTCAGAGAGCATCAAGAAGATTTAGAAAATAATATTTCAAATCAAAAATGCCTTTAGATTCCAACTGCGGAATTTATAGAACACTATGACGGGAGCCATGAACCGCTGGCTCCTCTTTTAGTCACGCAGCCTCCGTATATCTTTCCGGCATCATTGGCATATAGCAGCATTTTTTCTTCCTAGCAGACGTTTTTCCAATTAAAGGTCGGTTCAAGTCATGGCCGTCATCATCCTTGTGTATTCATATAGCTACTTATAAAAAAAGACCTCTCAAAAAATTCTTAGCTCTGATATCCAGATCCGAGCACATGTTTTAATTCTAACTGGCTCGTAATACTAGCCTTGCTGTTGCTTCAGCCATTACCGGGACACGCATACTGACTCACACTAGGCACATGCATGCTGCATTATCAAGCATTGTTACTGATCTTAAAGAAGTAGATATCGTTGTCATTTACTACCTCCGAAATTTCGCTACGTACGGCATATTGTCATGTTGTTGTTACATCGCAATCCTTTAGCTGGTACATGACTAGAAAATATGTGTGAAATACAATATTTGAATTAGCTAATAAAATCCACTGTGCTGATAAAACAATATTCTTAGTTCGCTCAGTTCGTCTGTAGATATTGTCATTACGAACTTCACATTTAAAAGGCACTTCCGTAAATACGTCTGGATCTTTAGTTTGGGTGGTCGACTATTGACTGAATGGAGTGTAACAGGAGCTTAGCCTAATACACAAAAATTTTATTTAGCTTATGCTTAAGCAACAGGTAAGTAAAGTGCATCAGGACAACATAATCTTCTTCACGGATAGGCGGTCCCTTTTCGAACGGGTCGCATACATCGCCCATGTCGGACCGATGATAGCGAAAGAGGCTAGCGTTAAAAATTTACGCTACGCTTAAAAGGGCGATTTAGAAGCACATTTTGTTGGCAAAAAGGGGTTAGATTAGCGCTTTGTATCAACCGCTGATTCTCGGAAACAAGACCATATATGACGTCCTAGCATTTTCACTTTTAACACAACATAATGTACACACAAATCATCTGAATAAGCTCAAAGTGTATATTTTGACTCTATCTATATGACAAGTCGGAAAACTATACAACCAAGTGACGACCACTTAATGAGCATTCATTCCCTCCAACACGAAAAAAACTGCGTCTACGCTCAATTGGTGTGCAAACCAATTGCAAGTTAACGCAGGTTTTCTAACGTTAAACAATTTCAAACTGACCCTACAAGCAACGAGTGTTCTAGCACCACGACTCGTGCCACAATGCAGCACTACGACATTCAACACGAGTTCACAAGCAGTCAGAGCGATTGCAAATAAAATAAAGAAGAACACACACGTTACTGACCATATGCTAAACATCTTCGAAAGGAAACTTTAGGAATACATATTATACCTGCAAACAGCCGTAGTATGACTAGCTATTACCTTAGTAGACATTAAAAGCAACGAGTGGTGGTATCATACGCGAAAATTCAGGACTCCAGAAATCGAATTGGGGCTCTCTGCAAACGACAAGATCCTACTGTACCAACAATGCCCAGATAGTCGATTAAGACAACGAATTAAGAAGGCTGATTTTCTTTTTGATGTACTGACTGCATCCTGCGGCCTTCATTAGATATCCTTTTTTGTAATAATCTACAGGATATACTCATTAAAGCAAACGTTTGTGAAGATATTTTTCCTAACGAATAAGAAAGGAATCGAATAGTAATTCATAAATTCGGCATGTGCTCTCCTCAAATTCTACTTCAGAGCTGACATTACATCTTAAAGTAACATTTTTGAAGCTTTTATTAGCTGTTAAGTCAGTTCAACCTTATACAATACACACCTCTGCTTTATTATTAGGAGGAAAGGATACAGTAACTGGAATGGCCATACGGCGGTTATAACAAGCCGTGCTTACTTTATTTTATCACACATAAATTGCAACATAGCTCCTGTGCATTTTATGGAACATTTAGGACCCCTCTGGCTGAAATTTTTATGCTTTCGCTTTGTTAAGTATACTGCTTGTCTATGTGGATTTTGAAAACCGGGCCATCGGATTTAATCAAAATTAGTTAAATTGCAACTATATATTTGCAAAAAATAATGAACAATGTGATATTTAAAGGACTGAGGTCAATTTCACTGAGAAGATTGTTCAACTCTAAATATTATACGTCGGGAATTTGGGTGTAGAGTTAAAAATAAAAAAAAGATAGCCATACTTCGAAGCTGCTAGAAACTGCATTGAAACGCTAAACAATTAACAACGTAACGTGCTGGAAGACCAACATGCTTTGCAACTTGTGAACACGTCACGAACTGTACAACTTCCAGCGATCAATATATGCCGTAGGATCAACTTTTCATCATAAAAGTGCTGTTCGCTTAGGCCGAAAAGAGGAAAATCTAGTTGGAAAGAGCAAAAGTCATAGAGCGAAAACGAAGAGTGGAAAGTTCGGCGTAAGGAGCGATGGCAAGACTATCGATAATTTTTGGTGAGCATAAGCGCAGTGCGCCCAGTGAGGAACGTATATGAACGACGCTTGCTGAAAAACGAAAGAGAAATCAGATAAAAGAAACAAAATGGTGCACGCTTCTTTATGACTGTACCTGTCTGGCCTGCCGCCTATCTACACAAGAGATGAAGGTACAAGATAGGCAAACGGTTTTCTCATGGCGACCAGCACGCAGCAAGAAAACCCATCAAGATTATCCAACCACTAACCAACTATGGTTGCTACCATCACCACGATTGATGTTAGTGTTAGTTTAAATGGCTTAAACAGCCCTGGCCTATGTATATCCTTTGCGTTATACCTCACACTCCGCTGGTCGGTTTTTGCAGTTGTATTATAACGATTGCAGCTCATTTTCCACAACAGATATTCAATATATATGGTATATAATGCTCACGAACGTTCAATCGAAGCACGCTACATGCATTTCGTATTACAAGCACTCTTTATAGCAAAAAGAAACTGTAGGACCTGTATAAATATAGATATATAAAAATGTACGTAAACTTG